TCTTTTCTAGTGGCTGCAGAAAGCAACGTTAGGCACTAGCCCGGCCTCAAACCCTCCGCAGCGCCTTGGCGGCCGCTTTGTGGCCAGCTGCTGGGCCTGTGCTCCAGCTTTTCCAGTCTTTTCTAGTGGCTTCAGAAAGCAACGTTAGGCACTAGCCCGGCCTCAAACCCTCCGCAGCGCCTTGGCGGGCGCTTTGTGGCCAGCTGCCGGGCCTGTGCTCCAGCTTTTCCAGTCTTTTCTAGTGGCTTCAGAAAGCAACGTTAGGCACTAGCCCGGCCTCAAACCCTCCGCAGCGCCTTGGCGGGCGCTTCGTGGCCAGCTGCCGGGCCTGTACTCCAGCTTTTCTAATCAGTCTAGTGGCTTCAGAAAGCAACGTTAGGCACTAGCCCGGCTTCAAACCCTCCGCAGCGCCTTGGCGGGCGCTTCGTGGCCAGCTGCCGGGCCTGTGCTCCAGCTTTTCCAACTTTTCTAGTCCTTTCTAGTGGCTTCAGAAAGCAACGTTAGGCACTAGCCCGGCCCCAAACCCTCCGCAGCGCCTTGGCGGGCGCTTTGTGGCCAGCTGCCGGGCCTGTGCTCCAGCTTTTCCAGTCTTTTCTAGTGGCTTGAGAAAGCAACGTTAGGCACTAGCCTGGCTTCAAACACTCCGCCGCGCCTTGGCGGGCGCTTTGTGGCCAGCTGCCGGGCCTGCGCTCCAGCTTTTCCAGTCTTTTCTAGTGGCTTCAGAAAGCAACGTTAGGCACTCGCCCGGCCTCAAACCCTCCGCAGCGCCTGGGCGGGCGCTTTGTGGCCAGCTGCCGGGCCTGTGCTCCAGCTTTTCCAGTCTTTTCTAGTGGCTTCAGAAAGCAACGTTAGGCACTAGCCCGGCTTCAAACCCTCCGCAGCGCCTTGGCGGGCGCTTCGTGGCCAGCTGCCGGGCCTGTGCTCCAGCTTTTCCAGTCTTTTCTAGTGGCTTCAGAAAGCAACGTTAGAAACTAGCCTGGCTTCAAGCCCTGCGCAGCGCCAGCTGCCGGGCCTCTGCTCGAGCTTTTCCATTTTTTCTAGTGGCTTCAGAAAGCAACGTTAGGCACTAGCCTGGCTCCAAACCCTCCGCAGCGCCTTGGCGGGCGCTTTGTGGCCAGCTGCCGGGCCTGTGCTCCAGCTTTTCCAGTCTTTTCTAGTAGCTTCAGAAAGCAACGTTAGGCACTAGCCCGGCCTCAAACCCTCCGCAGCGCCTGGGCGGGCGCTTTGTGGCCAGCTGCCGGGCCTCTGCTCGAGCTTTTCCAATCTTTTCTAGTGGCTGCAGAAAGCAACGTTAGGCACTAGCCCGGCTTCCCTCCGCAGCGCCGTGGCGGGCGCTTTGTGGCCAGCTGCTGGGCCTGTGCTCCAGCTTCTCCAGTCTTTTCTAGTGGCTTCAGAAAGCAACGTTAGGCACTAGCTCGGCCTCAAACCCTTCGCAGCGCCTTGGCGGGCGCTTTGTGGCCAGCTGCCGGGCCTGTGCTCCGGCTTTTCCAGTCTTTTCTAGTGGCTTCAGAAAGCAACGTTAGGCACTAGCCCGGCCTCAAACCCTCCGCAGCGCCTTGGCGGGCGCTTCGTGGCCAGCTGCCGGGCCTGTGCTCCAGCTTTTCCAGCTTTTCTAGTCTTTTCTAGTGGCTTCAGAAAGCAACGTTAGGCACTTGCCCAGCCTCAAACCCTCCGCAGCGCCTTGGCGGGCGCTTCGTGGCCAGCTGCCGGGCCTGTGCTCCACCTTTTCTAGTCTTTTCTAGTGGCTGCAGAAAGCAACGTTAGGCACTAGCCTGGCCTCAAACCCTCCGCAGCGCCTTGGCGGGCGCGCCTTGGCGGGCGCTTCGTGGCCAGCTGCCGCGCCTGTGCTCCAGCTTTTCTAGTCTTTTCTAGTGGCTTCAGAAAGCAACGTTAGGCACTAGCCCGGCGTCAAACCCTCCGCAGCGCCTTGGCGGGCGCTTCGTGGCCAGCTGCCGGGCCTGTGCTCCAGCTTTTCCAGTCTTTTCTAGTGGCTTCAGAAAGCAACGTTAGGCACTAGCCCGGCCTCAAACCCTCCGCAGCGCCTTGGCGGGCGCTTCGTGGCCAGCTGCCGGGCCTGTGCTCCAGCTTTTCCAGTCTTTTCTAGTGGCTTCAGAAAGCAACGTTAGGCACTAGCCCGGCTTCAAACCCTCCGCAGCGCCTTGGCGGGCGCTTCGTGGCCAGCTGCCGGGCCTGTGCTCCAGCTTTTCCAGCTTTTCTAGTGGCTTCAGAAAGCAACGTTAGGCACTAGCCCGGCCTCAAACCCTGCGCAGCGCCTTGGCGGGCGCTTCGTGGCCAGCTGCCGGGCCTGTGCTCCAGCTTTTCCAGTCTTTTCTAGTGGCTTCAGAAAGCAACGTTAGGCACTAGCCCGGCCTCAAACCCTCCGCAGCGCCTTGGCGGCCGCTTTGTGGCCAGCTGCTGGGCCTGTGCTCCAGCTTTTCCAGTCTTTTCTAGTGGCTTCAGAAAGCAACGTTAGGCACTAGCCCGGCCTCAAACCCTCCGCAGCGCCTTGGCGGGCGCTTTGTGGCCAGCTGCCGGGCCTGTGCTCCAGCTTTTCCAAGTCTTTTCTAGTGGCTTCAGAAAGCAACGTTAGGCACTAGCCCGGCCTCAAACCCTCCGCAGCGCCTTGGCGGGCGCTTCGTGGCCAGCTGCCGGGCCTGTGCTCCAGCTTTTCTAATCTTTTCTAGTGGCTTCAGAAAGCAACGTTAGGCACTAGCCCGGCCTCAAACCCTCCGCAGCGCCTTGGCGGGCGCTTCGTGGCCAGCTGCCGGGCCTGTGCTCCAGCTTTTCTAAGTCTTTTCTAGTGGCTTCAGAAAGCAACGTTAGGCACTAGCCTGGCGTCAAACCCTCCGCAGCGCCTTGGCGGGCGCTTCGTGGCCAGCTGCCGGGCCTGTGCTCCAGCTTTTCTAGTCTTTTCTAGTGGCTTCAGAAAGCAACGTTAGGCACTAGCCCGGCCTTCAAACCCTCCGCAGCGCCTTGGCGGGCGCTTTGTGGCCAGCTGCCGGGCCTGTGCTCCAGCTTTTCCAAGCTTTTCTAGTCTTTTCTAGTGGCTTCAGAAAGCAACGTTAGGCACTCGCCCGGCCTCAAACCCTCCGCAGCGCCTTGGCGGGCGCTTTGTGGCCAGCTGCCGGGCCTGTGCTCCAGCTTTTCCAGGTCTTTTCTAGTGGCTTCAGAAAGCAACGTTAGGCACTAGCCCGGCCTCAAACCCTCCGCAGCGCCTTGGCGGGCGCTTCGTGGCCAGCTGCCGGGCCTGTGCTCCAGCTTTTCCAGCTTTTCTAGTCTTTTCTAGTGGCTTCAGAAAGCAACGTTAGGCACTAGCCTGGCTTCAAGCCCTGCGCAGCGCCTTGGCGGGCGCTTCGTGGCCAGCTGCCGGGCCTGTGCTCGAGCTTTTCCATCTTTTCTAGCGGCTTCAGAAAGCAACGTTAGGCACTAGCCTGGCTTCAAACCCTCCGCCGCGCCTTGGCGGGCGCTTTGTGGCCAGCTGCCGGGCCTGTGCTCCAGCTTTTCGAGTCTTTTCTAGTGGCTTCAGAAAGCAACGTTAGGCACCAGCCCGGCCTCAAACCCTGCGCAGCGCCTTGGCGGGCGCTTTGTGGCCAGCTGCCGGGCCTGTGCTCCAGCTTTTCCAATCTTTTCTAGTGGCTTCAGACAGCAACGTTAGGCACTAGCCCGGCTTCCCTCCGCAGCGCCTTGGCGGGCGCTTTGTGGCCAGCTGCCGGGCCTGTGCTCCAGCTTTTCCAGTCTTTTCTAGTGGCTTCAGAAAGCAACGTTAGGCACTAGCCCGGCACTCCACGCTTTGTACTCCACCCTCCACACTCTACACTCCACACTTTCGACTCCACACTTTCCACTCCACGCTGTACACTCCAAAGTTTGCACTCCACGCTTTGCGCTCTACACTTGACACTCCACACCCTGCACTTCACACTCCCAACTTTCGACTCCACACTCTACACTTTACACTCCACACTTTACACTCTACACTCCACACTCCCCACTTTAGACTCCACACTCAACATTACACTCCGCACTTTACACTCCACACTTTACACTCTACACTTTAGACTCCACACTCTACACTTTGCACTCCACACTTGACACTGTACACCCCCTTTTACACTCCACATTTTCCGCTCTACACTTTACACTCCGCCCTTTACACTCCACACTTTCCACTCCACACTTTCCACTCTACACTCGGTACTTGTACTCCACACTCCACACTCTACACTCCACACTTCAGTCTCACAGTCTACACTTGACACTCTCCGCACTCACACTCTACACTCCACACTTCATACTCCACATTTTACACTCCACACTCTACACATGGATCGAAAAAACTAACCCCTGTTCGGGGTTCTCCTTGTTCAGGAGACTACGTACTGTTTGCTGAGCGCCCGACCGGCCCTTGTTCAGGGCTCTCCTTGTTCAGGAGATGCCAGGGGTCGGCGGCAGGGGGCGGCAGCCCTTAATAATATAATCAAATATTATATGATATAGTATAATGTGTATATATATATATATTGGATACACACAAATAAAGATAGATAAACAAAACACTAACATACTAAAACTGCAAAATTACTATTGTTGACAAACCATAACAACCTCCTGAACAAACTTCGAAGGTTCCGAGCCATTTTGTTCCATTCTGCAGCTCACTCCGGTACTCAGGTACTCGTGCAGCACCGAGCCATCCAGCAATGGGGTTAGCATACCAATAGTCTACCATCAACTAAACCAAAAGAGAATATATTATTCTTATTAGATATAATGAATATAAATCATAGGTTATCCATAATAATAAATATAAATTGTTGGTACAAAGTGAGCATATTATGGTATAAACCAATAGTCTACCAAGGTTAGTATAGATTGTAAGCTTGACATAGGTTCTTTCTCTCTCCATTGCCATCAGATTTCCTTGCCATCTGCGCCCTCCAAAAACATCCCCTTTGTTTTGGGCGCTGAACAAACAATCGGAGTAACTGCAGTCAGGCTTCGACGTGCTAAGCTTCGGAAAGTGTTGTGGATAGATTCCGCCTCAGGTCGCTTTGCATCCACCTCCCACAGCTCCCACACCCCAGTGGCTTGCATCCAAGGAGGAAAAATCCGTAGATTTATGGGGTGATTTTTTGGAACGACAGATCTCTTGACTTGATTTAATTTGATTTTGGGTTCCCAACACAAATGCCGATAAGTAGTCCCAGGGTGTTGTGGATGATGTTTGCCCCAATGATTTCCAAATTTCGAACTGTTTCTATCCTTTTGGGGGTTCGTGTCAAATAAGATGATTGCTCACAGTAAGAGGTAACAACACAGGTGACATCAAAAATGAGCAACATCTTTGATACGCAAGGTCCATTTTTAGTCTATCTTTTAAAGCACTGCCATCCACCTGATATCAAATATGATCAAATACCCCGATATCGATCCCCTATAATGACGAATTATAACCTGATCTATAATAGTAACCTGGGGATCTGAGGTGTGTATTTAATTTGAATATTAACAAAAACCTCCAAATACTCGCAAAACAATACTTTATTTCGAGTGATCCCCACGGTGACACACTCTCCTGACATAGTTTCTGACATACCGTCCGGAATTATGTATATATATATATATGTATTTTTATATATATTATATATATATATTATATATAGATATATATTATATATATTATATATAGATATATATTATATATAATTATTATATATAGATATATATTATATTATATATATAGTTATAATTATATTATTATTATTATTATATTATTATTAAATCTATATATATATGTAGTGACAGGCGTGGCCCACTGCATCCGGAGCTGGGACGAAGACAGGAGTGATTGAAGACAGAGTTGAAGATGTTAAAGTTGAAGGAAATAGGTAGTTGCACCTTTATTAAAATCTACAGGAAGGAAGAGAAATATGCAAAAGTACTGACTGTGATGGTTTTTCATGGTTTTTCATAGAGTAAAACACCATTTTGAAGGCTACTTGGAGGGTCACCCGGCGCCGGCGCCATCCCACAGCCCTATTGGATCAGCCACTGTCTGCTGCGCCGCGAGGCCGTCTTAGCCATCGCGCCTGGCGCGGGAACGTGCAGCAGAAACCATGAAAAATAACGAAACATTCTTCATTGCGAATCACGAAATCACGAAATCCTGAAATGATAGGATGCGAACAATTAGTGACAATTATATACAATTATGATTCCTGATCATGTGTTATTCCGGTCGTGTTTCAAAAATATTATTGAATACCCGATGGGTTGCAAAACATGCCGTGGTAATCGCTCTTCATAATTCCACCATGCATGGGGCGTGACCCCCCCCGGTCCTCTTTTCCAAGCAACAAGGTTGAAAGCTTCTTGAAGACTGCATTCAAGATCTCGTTGGTCAGAAGACAAACCTCATAGCTGAAGTTAAGTCTATTTAGTCTACTTGCCTCCCTGCCCTGAAGGAGTTGAGAAAAAAAACAGATAGAACATCAAATTTCACCAGGTTTTTCAAAACATCAAAATGTTCACTTTCGATATATCATGATATATCTATTTGGAAAATCCACGGTTTTTCCCCAAGTTGTCCACAAGTTTTATCATCCAAATATGGTGATTTCTATGGTGAGGTCATGCCATGGCTGCCATCCCATGGTACCTCCAGTAATGCTGCCTCGCGGGACCAACAGAGCACCGCATAGGAGCCCACGGCGATGTACCTGGCAAAGATGACAGCGGTCATCCCCAAAAAAACAATTCGTATCTGGTTGGTGGTTTTAACCATATTGAAAAATATGAAAGTCAATGGATGTCAATGGGAAGGATGACATCTCATATATTATGGAAAAATAAAAATCTTTGAAACCACCAACCAGGTATTATATCACACAGACAAATTATCGTTGTATGAAATTAATTGACATTATATGTAGCATTTATGTAGAATATGATGTAATGTAAGTTGCTACTATTTGACTGAGACATTTGTTTGTATCTTTTCTATTGGTGCGTTACTATGTTTGGTCCAAGATCTGATCCCTGTGGTGACCCCAGCAAGCTGTGGACCATCTGGGGCACGTCGTGTATGGCAAGGTGCGCATCACATTGGATGGCAGAAGCCGCAAGTCAGACAGCTCCTGAAGCCATGGGGTCACTAGGGCAACAATGGGGGAAAACTGTTACAACGACGTGGAACACTACCATGGTGAAACCATGGATCTACGAATGGTGGGTTTTTCAATGCTCTCAAATGTTCTCCACATCTAAATTAGCTTACAGGAGGGTATAATATCTTGATTCCCTAAGTTTGATGATGTCTAAAAGGGTGTGCAATTGGAACATCAATTTTCGCGGTGCCCAGCTTCTAAAGTTCTCCTGTTGAGCTGCGCTATGGAAAGCGGCCATTGCTTTGAGAAGTGCAGCACAACGCGGCACCTACCGAAAGAGATCTCAAAATGGGATGTTGCCAAATCATGTCTGATACTACGTGGTGGCTTCTGAAATTTGGAGCCAACATAGGCCAACACATAAAAATCGAGCCATTTACTGTATTGCTGCACAATTGCCAACTGGAATTTTCTTTTGGCCTACCATTAGACAACCCACTATCTGATCCCAGGGTCCTAGGCTGAAAAGAGTGCGCGCAGAGTACTATTCATGGGTCACGAGACGCAGTTTCTGAATCCTTAGTAGTTTCTGAGATGGTATTTGTTCCTGTTCATGAGCCCTTCATGACCCACAACCTCTTTGGTCCTGCAGATCTGGCTACGATCGGTCAATATATATATATATATGTGTGTATATATATATACAGCGTATAATTCATTTTATATACGTGTATACTACATCCCGATTTTTTAAAAAGTGTTTGCTGCTCACGTGCTTCACAATGCTCCACATGGCTTCGCCCTTTTTGAGACAACTGGCAACGACATCACGGCAGCGACATCTGCGGCATTCTGCACACGGCTCAGCCACACTGCAGATCAGAAGTTTTCGAAACATCTAAAACCCATCAGGTGGACAATCATGGACAATCTCATTGGTTGGCTGCAAGATATGAAAATATATGAAAAATGGAACTCGCAAGGCTTCAAGTTGGGAATCACTGCACTGGGGTTCTTGCTCGCAGAGCCTAAGCTCTCGCGCACAATGGGCTCCGCCTCCAATCTCAAAGGCCTCCAGTTTGCCGCGAGAAGAGGCAGCACAAGAACTGGGCAAAATGACTGGTTGGTGGTTTCAACCATTGGTTGGTAATATACTATTCATATATGGTTAATATTACTGGTTATTTTATGGTTAATGATGGTTAAGAATAATCTGGTTGGTGGTTGACCTACCCCTCTGAAAAATATGAAAGTCGGTTGGGATCACTATTCCCAATATATGGAAAACTAAAAAATGTTCCAAACCACCAACCATGTGAGTTATTGCTGCTGGACGATTGAAACATATTGAAACTATATCTGAGCTGGCCCCTGCTGAAATTGACCATTGGAATCTGGACTTTGCGGATGCCCCAAAATATGTTTGGATGCAGCCGGGTCTTCTCATTAAGTCATCAGCAATGCTCACGATCCACCCCGCCTCTTTGTTGACCCATCTGGGAATGGTTCAAAATCATACCGCCAATGGATGGTTGAACATAACATAACATAACATAACATATAGAAACTGAACGTGTCTGTTGTCAATGGCCATTTCAGGAACCTAAATTGGAGGTACCTACCATATATATAACCACCATATATAAGGCCTATATTTCAGGCCTAAATTTCAGGGAATATCCCCACAAAATATGGCCTTACATGGTACAGTACCTCCATTTTAGGAACCTGAAATTCCCATTGATGTTGGTCGATTGGCGCCCCATGAGCTCGGGTCTCCGGTATCAATCTGAGCTCCACACAGAGGTCCATGCTCAAATTGGCTCGGCTGGAAGGGAGGCGTCACCACCTGTGGTACCTGGTGGTTGTACTGACGCTTGGAATAGGATACGCCAACAACATGTTCATCGAGCATTCAAAAACATGTTCAAGCCCCATCTACAACCATAAGATCATAAGGTGTGTCTGAAAATGGTGTAAATCCCACACATAACTATAACCTTCTTGTAGGGAAAACAACATCACAAAATCATGAAAACAGATTGCACGACCACCAACACTGGTCATGATTCCCCTTGGAGCTCGGGCTGGCGCCGCCCGGGCTCCCACTGGCACTGGACCAGGCCGCGCCACTGGCCAGGCAGCTGCAGCCTGTGATTTTGTGAGGGGATCATACGATGCAAAGTTACCCCAACCAAATCAACATTTGATCTCCTATATCTATCCATCCATCCATCCATCCATCTATCCATCCATCTATCTATCTACCTATCTAATCTAATCTAACCTTATCTTATCTATATAATCTATAGTATATATAATCTATAGTCTATATAATCTATATAATCTAATCTAATCCAATCCAATCTAATCTAATTTATATAATCTAATCTAATCTAATTAATCTAATCAATCAATCAATCAATCAATCAATCTATCTATCTATCTATTTAATATCTCAAAGAATATAAAGAATGTAGTTGATGTCCTATTTTGTCCCATGTGTCCTGTTTCATAGAAAAAAAAGGTGTTTAGAGCCCAAAAACCAGCCCCAAATACAGTCTCAGGTAATCCCTCCCATTCAATGAACTGTGATTCCAGAATTGGTTTCGGAGATCATTTGGAACTTTTGACTAATCTCCTTACTTTCGCAGTAAACATCTCGTTGTTGTTCCTGTGAATTTATTGAAGCCAGTCAATGTCATCAACGCAATCAGCATGCATTCTTCATGCCCAACCTTAGATACTCAGGAAAAAAGCTGCTTAAACAGTATATATCAGGGCAAATTACAATAATTCACTAACCTGAAATAAGGCCATTTGGGGATGATTCCCCTTATTATCCATGATTCCAGGGCTCGGTCGCAGTGAGGTCGTTATAATTTGCCCAGATATATTCTTATTATATATCCTTTTGCATATCCAGTATCCAAATCCATGGCACTTTTTTTTAGTGTTTCATGTAAGTCTACGAACCTAGCAAGCTACATGGCACCGGTTTCTTGGGCATGCGCCTGCGCTTCGTGCCCCCATCCTGGCAGCGTAAGGTTTTTTGAAAATGCCTCCATTGGAAGAATTCTATCAATCATTATATGTGGTTATTACAAGTTACAACCATATATATATACACATATATCCACCCATATGTTTTGTTATTATATACTGTTAGTATTACTCATGATGCGATCTCACATTCAGAAAAAACATGACTATGTCGCACAACTACAGGGCTCAGTGATTCATGATATCAGCATGGGGGAGACTTTCTTCACAGACTCATACGGCAGTAGTTCAGCCATATTGAGGTTTGAGGCACTGTTTTCGCAGCACTTACAAGTACTAAGATATTTTCGCGTGCGCATATATGCATATACACTATATATATATATATATCTCTCTCTCTCTCTCTGTCTCTCTCTTTCTCTCTCTCTGCAGGCCATCTACATCTGCACATATGCAAATATATTTTCACGTGAGCAGTGAGCATGGTCATCCAAAGAAAATATCTCTGCAGGAAAGTAACCATACTTGGAGACAGGCCCAACCAAACATGTACCTTTTCTCTTCAGTCTTGTCATACACAGAAAAAAACATGAAAAAACAGCAACGCGGCCATGGTCAAAACCAGAACCCCGGCCACACACCTAGATTTACCCCATCCATGGGAGTGGAGGTTACTAATATACGCATACATATGTATACATATATATATGTACATGATTTCAGATGCGTATATTTGAAAAAAGGTTAACTGAATCTTACTTGTATACACACACATATATATATATAATATGCGCGTATTCGTTATCTCTTATACGAAGTAATACATGTATCTGGTTTGGCCCAGGGACCCTAAATTAAAGGCCGTTTTCCGAAAATTCCTCTCGCCTGGCCACATGGCTTGATGCGACCGGGTCAGCTCATGAGCCGAGCAAAAATATCAGGAGCTTGAACCATTTATAGGATAGGAATAGGAACTTTAGCCTGAGTGTTATAGATAATTTATAGACTTTATCCATTTATAGATGATTTATAGATGTTTAACCTGAGTGTTATAGGAATTATCCTTATAGACTTGAAAAAATGTTTTTGCCAGCAAACCTGCATGTATTACAGAATAGGAACGTATGAAGAAATCTTGGAATACCATGGGATACTTGGTGGTACGGAAGGTTAAGTCAACCATCTCTGCCACCAATTGGAACAATCTTCGGCTTGACCTGGAAGCTGCTGTCAAGGCCACAACACCCTTTGATCTTTGTGAGTTGTTTTGCCTGCTAGTCGTGTCATCCCTGAAGTGGTGGGTTTGTAATGACCTGTTTAGGTCCGAGTTCAACATGACGCGAAAGTACGCCGGAAGAATGACTCCCTTTCTTTCTGCTTGTAGGAACCCGAAAATGCATGTCACTGCTGAAGGAAAAGCTGCGAAAACAGCGTGAATCGACAAGATCTAAGATCATGCACCGAACCACTTTGCATTTAGGAAGCTCCCCGGGAAGTGATGGAACCTGATGCAACTTTAATGCCTGGGTTCGTAGAGAAAACCTTGAGCTGTTTCAGTGGCAGGTATTATGTTTGCAAATTTTAGTTTCCAAATGTTTCAAATAATAAGTCCGTGCCTGTCAGTATGTTCATGGCCCTAAGATCATTAGATCATCCGTCTGCAAGAATCACTGCGCAGCTGGTTTTGGGCCATCGGAGCTGCTTACACGGCACTGTGCAATTCTGCACCTTTGGCCTTGTGACAGCCTACGCAGCAAATCCTCTGCGCAGTGCCTGTCACTTCCATCAGGAAACTGTAAGCTGGACCTTGGCGCACGAAGACTCGGTGGGATGCAATGCATGAAGGAAGTGTAAGGAAGTTGAAGGCCCTACCAACTCCATGTGGCCACCCATGTAGTGAGGCCGCAACATAGTTCTTCCAGCATTTGGAAAAATGGTGCCCCCAATTAGTCCTCCATCGTCTATAGTCATATCGGTCATAAATCCCAGTTTTCCTACAAGAAAACTGAGCTAACTATGGGGCACTAGCTTACTGTTATGGCCCTACAGACAGTTACTCTATGGGACTATTACTCCTAAAAGTAGTTGGTTATATATCATTCTAATCCCATTTGCCACTGTTAAGGGCTATAACTGTAGGTACTGTAGGTACCTCCTTTGACGTCCGCCTTTTTCGCGGGACAGTGCACACTTGGCGGGCCGTTCCCCGGGTTCCCCAGCATTAGTAGCACGTTGACCACATTGCCATTAAGCTGGAGCATCATCAACTAATACATGGTATATAAATCAATAAACGAAATGCTATAAATCAGTAAATGTAAAATGTACTATAGTCAAGTATTATTTGTTTACCATATCAAAACATTTCTTGCATGGATGTAAATGTGAATTAGTCATGGATGATATGGGAATTTCTATTGCCAGGTGTGACGGTCACAGGGCAACCCGGATATCCTCTACATCATGCCCACTTTAAGGAGGCGGAACCCTGCACTTCTCACTTGTACATAATTAGTTGTGCCATAAGATTGGCTTCGACCAAATACAACTCGGATTGCAACTAGCTGCAACTAGCTTAACTAGCTCATACTAGCTCGCTTCCTCCCAAACATGAGCACCAGGAGCACCGTGCTCCTGAGCATCTTATCGCGTACTGCCCCGAAGTGCTCAGAAAGGAGTGCGCACGTGGAGCCATAAGTAATCCCATCCCCCTGATAAATACCCTCCATATGGACCCCCAAAAAGAATTAATGTGGTCCAGGGGCGTATTTATAACATTAAGGGGATAGGAGTATGCAAACCATCAGGGTGACATTGCATGAAGCAGTGCTTCTTCTGGTCCATCCAGCTGTGTTGCTACCTTTCGATTTGGATTTTCTACCCTTGTTCTACCGTAGTCTGACATTAATGCAAATACTGGAAGATAGTTTTAGCAATGTTGTTTCATAACAATTCAAAGGCCATGCCCCATAGGCCTGCTTCTAGCAGTCTCACCAGTAGCGCCCTAGTGCTTTGCAGTAGGACACCAAGGATGTGTCGGACCAAGAGCTTGCCTGCAGCTGCAGGTGCAAGCCTGAAACAGATTCCATCAGCATCGCCAGCGATTTCTGGCGAATTTGTGATTCTACGAAGCTGGCAGCGCCGAGGGGTTCGGCTTCGTTTGTCTTTTCCGATCCACCAGATCCACCAGCGGTTTGGAGGGTACGGCTGGACGTGACCGCGCCTGAAGATTCGTGGGCACAAGAAGGGCCCGGGAGGGAAATCGAACATTTCGAACTCCGGACACCTTCCAATAGAATACTGTAGTAGAACATTATGTTCATCCAAACTTGCATCTTTGAAATTTCACATGTCAGGGATGCAAGGGGCATCCCAGACCACCTTAAGTTTTGGCTGCGTTTTTTTTATTCCCCATCTTGTTGCTAAGACACTTATCCTCTCCACATCTCTTCACTCTTCACCAACCCTTGACCAAGGTCTAATCTCCCAATCGGCACCTTGTCAGTCCGTTCCGAACGCTCGGGGCGCTCGGGGTGGCGCACTAAGCCATTGAGCCTCGGAAATGTCTGGAATCATCAAGTGTTTCTATCCGTTTGTTTAGTTTGCTTCACTCCTATAGTAATGATATGTACTGATTAGGCTAGTAATGATTAAGTCAGCACTCGATATTCATCTGGACAGAGTGATATCACAATCCATAATTTTATAACTCCGCTGGATATGACTAATTATGTCTATAGTTAATGGTGGTTATAAAACAACTTGTAGTTGGGGGGGTGCCAACCTGTACCATTGTTTTTCTAGTAAGCATAAGAGCTTGCCATCAAAGTCCACATGATTGCTGTAAAATTATTTGTTTGCTGCATCTTTTTTTGGGGGTTACAATAAGAGGGGTGGGATATGATATGCGCTGCAGAACTCGATAGTGGGCGAATGGGATTCCAATAATAAAATAGGATAAGATGATGCCTTAAACACTTGCCTGGGCAATTTAAACAATAGAAACCACCAAAAAGAAAAGAAACGAGGAGATGATTCTGAAGGGTGGATGATAAAGGGAGATGTGACGATGGAGGATATTCACTCATACACACACGCACATATATATATATGTAACATAAATAAATATCGAAATAAATATATAGATTTAGATATTAACACTCTAACTATATGCACATATATATATATATATATATTATATTATAATTATATATAGCGACCGACAATCACTTAGAACATCCTTTGGAAAACACTTTTTGGAGTACATTGAAAGCTAGAACATCCCAAGACATTACAACATATATACTCATGATTGACATGACTATACTTACTTGAACACAAAGTTATCAATCAGCTGTGGAGACCCCCGCGCTTAGAACATCCCAAGACATTACAACATATATGTTTCTAAAAAAATGATCTATTGACACAACTATTTTTTTTATGAACGCACAGTTCTCAATCAGCTGTGGAGACCCCCACACTTAAAACATCCCAAGACATTACAATACATATATATATATAATTAATTATAATGATCTATTGACATCAATAAATTTATATGAACACAAAGTTGTCAATCAGCTGTGGGGACCCCACGCTTAGAACTTGATGCCGGGGGTGGATGACGAAAGCTAGCGGGGTAGGAGAAAGAAGGAAGGGAAGAGGTGAGTTGCGGAGGGACTGTCATCATCGTGTCGCGGCATTGTTCGTCCCAACGAGGATGCAACAATGATATATGATATATGATATATAACAATGATATATATGGGGGAGGGGGCAGGGGGGGCCCTTTCGCGTGAAAAAGCACGTGATGTCCTTGGGGAGCCCCGGAACACTTGCTAAAGCAAGAAGACTCTAGCGAGCTGACGCTAGCTTTCGTGATAATGCCAATAATTGCCAATAATGATAAAATGTAATTGATTAACGATGATGGTGATGATGATGATGATGATGATGATGAGGATGACGATGACGAGGACGATGACGATGACGATGACAAGGACGAGGACGATGATGATGATGATGATGATGATGATGATGACGATGACGAGGACGATGGCGAGGACGATGACAATGATGATGATGATGATGATGATGATGATGATGATGATGATGATGATGACGATGATGATGACGATGATGATGATGGTGGTGATGGTGATGATGATGATGATGATGATGATGACGAGGACGATGATGACGATGATGATGATGATGATGGTGGTGGTGGTGGTGGTGGGGGGGTCCCCCCCTTTCGCGTGAAAAATCACGTGATGTCCTTGAGCAGCCCCCGGAATACTTGCTAAAGCAAGAAGACTCCAGCTAGCTGACGCTAGCTTTCGTGACATCCCAAGACATTGCAACATATATATTTTTATAATGATCTATTGGCATAACTATATTTAGATGAACACACAGTTATCAATCAGCTGTGGGGACCCCTGCACTTAGAACATCCCAAGACATTACAACATATATAGGATATGTTGAAAATGATCTATTGACACAACTGTTTTTAAAAAGATCTATTGACAGAAAAAAGTAACTTGAACGAACTCTTGTTTGTGATGTTATGTGCGGGGAGCCAGGGTTAGTTGCAAGGAGCCTCACACTTAGAACATCCATCAATCTACATATAGGATGTTCTAACTGATTTTGCTCTGGATGTTCTAAGTGTGGGGGTCTCTGGATGTTCTAAGTGTGGGAGTCCAAAAATTTGGCAAACATTTTAAGTTCTAAGTGACCGTCCGGCTCTATATGTATAAATATATATATATATATATGTCTGTATATATATTTAAAAAAATACACATATATATATGCGCTATGGTCCCTTCTCCCTCTTGACCCCTACACAGCGCAGCCTTTTTGTAAAGGATGCCAGGGTCAAGTGCCAACTGAACAATGGCTAGACACCTACCTAAACTGGAGCAAATTTTGCCCCAGACAGGTAGTGTACCACCAGAAAACCCAAGCTCCAGCAGCCATCACGGAGGAGCTCGGGGCGGTGGTGGGAGTCCAAAGCTAGCGGTCGAACGAGGACCTCACGCATGCAACTCCTCTGGAGAACACATGCGCTATGGTCCCTTCTCCCTCTTGACCCCTACACAGCGCAGCCTTTTTGTAAAGGATGCCAGGGTCAAGTGCCAACTGAACAATGGCTAGACACCTACCTAAACTGGAGCAAATTTTGCCCCAGACAGGTAGTGTACCACCAGAAAACCCAAGCTCCAGCAGCCATCACACCCCCTCCTCCACGCGGCCCTTACTTGGCAGACAGAAAGAGGCGTCTGGCTGCGCGAATGAGGGGCTCAGATTCCATAGGGATGGAGATGGCTGCGAGCTCTTGTAGGGCTTGGTCTAAGTACAATCGCGCTGTGGCGATGTGCTGCCAACGTCCTTTGGACAAAAGTTGATCAAAACCCATGCCCTCACGGTAGGCAGAAGTGGCTGCTCCCCGACGTAGGGAGTAGGGCATGTAGTTTAATTTCTCCAGCTTGAGGTGAGCCACCACCTCTTTCCATATGGAACGGAACTGAGGGGCATTCTCCTCCACCAGAGAATCACCTGGTTTCTTCCCCTTGCAGAGGAATTGCAAACTCTTGATACCCATCTCTTCGGATATGAGTACCTTCTCTTGCAGGAGTAAATTCCGTTGTGCTGTCTTGGTGTCATGCAAAAACAAAATGGCCGACTGGTGTGGATATCGCGGTAGCACGACATCTTGCCGTCGAAGCTGGAACATTTCCCCTGTGCGCAGCATCCCGCAAAATCCCAGGATGATCAAATGAGCCAAGTCGGCCCACCGCCATTTGAGAAAGACGCCAGCAAAGGCCAACAAAAGTTTGGGGTCCATAGGTGTGGCCCGTCGGGGCTGCTCCAGCTTATTCCACAATGACAAAAGGCGCCAGCTCTGTTGCAAATGCCCTTTCAAAGATGGGCGGTGATACTGCATGGCCGCAAGGGCATAGCTTGCCATAGTTTTTGTGTCGCCATCCTCCCACAACCTTTCAACATATCTGCTCAGCAGGTCATCCAGACCAGGCAGTGCCAGGAGGCGCGAGACTGACACCCCCCCAAAGGAGGCCACAGCTTCAATAGCTGTCTGGTACCTGGTTTTCGTCACGGCAGTGACCTGTTGATCCCGTAGCTTGCCAATCTTTTCTCGCTCCTTCTTCCGCTCAGCCTTGCTCTCCTGATATTTGATCACTTTAGGCATGAACCCGGCTGGGGGCATCCGCAGGGTTCAACCTGGAAGCAATCCAGGCCCAAAGTGGATAAAGGTTCAAGGCAAGGCAGAGCGAACAAATGCGGCGGAGAATGCGATTGATCTTCCGCGACGAGGAGCGGCCCTTTACCAAGACTGACAAGCATATTTGGGAGTCGGACAAGTGCAGGAACCTGCAAGAGTGGAAAGTGGAGCTTCGCGCCCGCCATTCCAGCGTGCGCAGGATGGATCGCAACTCCAGCAGATTTATGTGTTCTGCTCTCTTCCACTTCCAAGACTGGGCTACCTTCCATGCCCATCGACCCGGGTTCACTGTTGTCCGGATGATGGCATCAGGCCTATAGGCCACACCCAGGTCCAACCGGACGTCCGAGCCCCTGAACTCCATCCGGCGCAGGTACTGGTGGATCAGCCTGACCCCCAACATGCTGGGGTCATTGTCTTTTCCATGGTGTGCACAGAGCCTTAACCATTCAGCACGCCTCTCGGACATCTCGCGCGCCATCACTGCTTCTTCCTCGTCCAAAACATCACCATCATCCCTCTCTTTTGACCCCGTCACCTCCAGCAACCCATAGCTGTCATAGTGATCCTTTCCCATATCCTCATGCCAGGCCTGCACAATGGCACGGGCACCCAGAGGATCCGTGCGTACCTGCATGGACCACAACCACAAATCCAGAAGGCACGCCAAAGTGACTGCATGGAAGCTATTTCCAAGCGCGGCTTCCCTTTCCACCACCTGACGATCCCTTTCGGCTTCATCGGCAGCCTCCTTCTTGTGCAGGGCCAGCGTGTAGCCCGTAGGAAACCCCATAAGGCGTTCTCGCTCTCCTACACTGGCCACCCGCTCGACTTGACTTGAACCAGACCTTGCCATGAGGAACTTTTCCTGGTAAGTGTACGGGGGGTACTTCATCCTGTCTGCTTTCCATCTCTGGACTGTCTCCTCATCACATGACTTCAATCCAGCTGGTTCTGCTGGGGGACGTTTCCGAGGAATTGCCCTGGTGAAAGTTGGAAGCCTGAGTGACTCATCGGCCTCACCCCCCGGCCAATGCCAGCCCTCATCAGGCACCAGGCTCAGCGGCTCGGGCTCCTCTTCAAAAATAACTTCATCATACAAGTCATGGTGTGCCCGGGTGAAACTTCCATGATCCTCCAAAGTCACATTGGACCAGTACAACCTTGGCCGACGTACCCGTGACAGCCCGCTAGCACAAACTAGCAAGGGCTTGGTCCCCAGGACAGCATTCATCTCCTGGATATCGGCATCGTCGCCAACGACATTCTCAAGGCCGAGGAAGCACCAGATGTCCATCTCCTTCGCCACCTCCTCGATCCAGCCCAAAATGGTGCTGTAGCAGTAGAACAGGCGCGAGCGGGGGTCTTCCAGATGCTGTCTGTCGCTTGAAAGCTTCGACAATCCTTGGCATGGAGAACCACCTCCTGCCAGCACCCCAGTGAGGCCCGGCACACTCCTCATCATCCTGTCTACGTCTTTCTTTGATACGCGTTCAATGTCGCTCCAGATATCACATCCAGGCCACCTGACAGAATTCAGCCTCCTGCAATGAGGGTCCTTCTCGATGATCACCAATCGATCCACCTTGACACGGGCCAGCTGCAAGGCTCGTGACAAACCACCGATGCCAGCAAAGAAATCAAAGACCAAGATAACTTGAGGGTCGTCAAAGTTCGGCGTGTCAATGGGGAGCTCTTCCAATTCTTCCTCCACCAAGTAGGCCTCTTTAATGCCTTGGCTCGTGAGCTTCCCCCCCCAGACGATTCCTCCACCTGACTCGCTCGCATCCGAGGCTGTCACCACCTCGTGAATCTTCGACCGGAGATCCGTAACCCGAAGCGGCTGGCTCATAGCCGCCATGAAGATCTCCTCACAGGCCTTCGACCCCAAGTCCAGCATCACGGCCCCATCACTAATCTCCTTCCAGAGATAGTCAAAGACCCCAAAGATGGGCCTCCTGAACTGCATAGTATGCACCTCACGCCCGAGCAGCACTTGGAGGGATTTTCTGGGCACAAATTCTTGCCTCAAAATCCACATCCCAAGAGAGATACTGTCCAGGGCCCGGCGTGTAGCTCCTTTCAAGATGCCTCTGTCACCATCCAACACTGCACCGAGCTTCTCACCCTTTGCGGCCCGCACCAGGCTCTTGTTGGGGCAGACTGGAATCCCCCAGTGCTGATACGCCTTGCGCAGCTGATCTTGCTCCGCTGACGTCTTTCCTTCCATATCCTTCGCCACCTTCTCTTCCAAGACTTCCAGAAGGTTCGTATCATCCAGATACAGACTCCAGAGGCGATCTTCTACTTCCAGGTCAGGGAACAAGCTATCCCTTCTGATCTCGCATCGCCCCAACAAACCAGCACCACCTGACAAGGGATTCCTCAACGCCAGATTGCGGTGGGCGTGCTGTAAGACACCCACGGCAGAGGCCCAACCCATGGGCAGCACTGTCGCCCCGACATGGACCGAACCCTCCTTTTCATAGCCGAGGGCACGCCAGCTTACTTTGCCTGAGAAGCACATCAGCCGTGACCATTCAGCTGGCAGAGCAAACAGGTAGAAGGCTGACACCAAATCATCAGCCGACAGCCTCAAAACTCTCCCTTGGGGGAGGACCACATGTTGCAAGGCCGGTGACCCACTCAAGGTCCTCACATCGCCGGCCAGGATCTTGGTCACCGCGTTCGTGGCCCTGAAGTCCATGATTAACCTCAAGATAGGCCTCTCATCGTCCAGGAATTTCCCTGGCTTCACTACGCCAAAGGAGCCATTAAGCAGCGGCTTGCCCTTCACTTCCAGGGGCTCCTCAACGGGTCTCACTAACCCCCTCGCATGAAGCTCCTTGACGATCTTCTCCCACTGCTCTTCTGAGGCATGGACCTTAGGAGCCGGGATGTCGTCTGGCATTTCTTCCTCAGGCAGCAGATTGGACAGGGGGTTTTCCAACTTCATCTTCAATTCCCCATCACAGAGTTCAGTGAGTGGCACGCTGGCACCATAGCCTGGCGGTGGGAGACCTGGCATGATCTGATCAAGCGTCAGTTTTTGTGCCTTCTCCACAACCTCGCCATGGTAGGAGATGCGCACGTCTCCAAGTCGCTTCCCCCACTCCCCCATGTCGGGAGACCGGGGAAGCTTGTCCTTTGACTCAGAGCTGTCATCCACGAAATCCTTGACCAGGCCCCACAGCCTATCATTGGCCATTCTCTGTGCCTTGCTCGGCTGACCCTGATGAACCGGGCCCTTTGCTCCTCCACCGCTCCACAGAAAGTTCAGGAGAGTCACCACCAGGCCGTGCCATATCAAGAGCCCCACTCGTCTCATCTCTTTGCCAGCCTTTTCCTTGTTCAGCTTCTTGGCACCCCATGTGCCAGCAAGTCGTTTGAACTCGCCCGTTTCAAACACCTTCGAGAGCACCGTTGCAGAGTCTGGCAAAAGCGGCAAGGGAAGAAGACTCCGCTGTCTGGTCCCTTCTGTGCCGACGTCTGACCCTGGCTTCACCAGACGTTCCAAGTATTGGCCCAATGGGGTGCCACTTCTGAAGGTGGCCAAGGCTACCAGCGCTCCGTTCTGCGAGACGGTGAGGCCCCCACATTCTTCTGATCTCAGCCAACCCTTCATGGCGTCAAGAAGCGACTGGCCGTTTTCCGCTACGTCGACGGTCTCAAGGGACTCCTGCTCATAGGACCATCCACTGGGGTAGGACTGCGCCGCCCCTTCTTTCCTTGGCCCTTCCTGTTTTGCCGCCGATCCCAATGGCCTCGGTAGTTTCCTTTTCTTCCTTGTCCCTTCTTCGGCTCCTCTTCCAGCCTCACCTTCAAGGCTCCGGCGCGAGGACCCGGTGCCTCCACCTCCTGCCCCGGCTCGGGGATCCGCAGGGGCGTCTCGTTGATGGTCACTCTTCTTTGACCCTGAGGCGACGCACTCCTTCTCTGAGCCTCCTGGGTTCCTTGAACTGGCGTCACGGGACTCAACCTCGCCCCGCCGCCTACTTCCTATTTGGTCGGCTGACCTCTGTTCTTCAGGCTCAGTTGACGGAGCTTCGAGTTTGCCAGCTCCTGCCGGGCGGCCCGACGACGCTCCTCCTCCGTGGTCAGGCTCGCTGCCTGTGGAGGAATCAGCTCCTGATGGCGAGCTGTGTGCCAGCCCTGTTCCCCGAAGGAGGTTTCCAGGGCTTTCAGGCGCTGAACCATCAGGTCGCCCAGTTCTGCTAGGCGACCTTGGAGTAAGAAGTCGATCCCATTGCCCAGCGTGATGAGCTCGCGATAGTTGCGAACCCCGATGGTGTTCGGAGGGTGCTGCACCAGCACGATCTGGTTGATGTAGCCGAGCATTCGGTATCGCATCCAGCTTTCCGGGGCGTCTCCCTCGGCCCCCATCTCGCCGAGATACCTCTGAAGTTCCTTCATGGTGCGCCGCAGCAACTTCCCGGGGTGCTTTTTGGACAGCCGCCAAAGTTCGTCCTCCCCCCGGGCCGAGGGCATGCGAAAATCCTCTGACGACTGGCTGGATCCAGAACGGCCAGCCCTGCTATGGCTTGAGGCACTGCTGCGCCTCTTCTTCCTCCTCCTTCTGCTTCTGCTCCGCGACTTCCGTTTTCGACTCCTCTTTTCTTCTTCCTTCGACTTCTCGGCCTCTCTCCTGTCAATAGCCCTTCTTTCAAGCAGCAACCCCTCCTTATTTTCAGCTTCATCCACCTCCATAGCGGCCTCACGTGCCGCCTTGTCTAGGCCAGTCGGGTCATTTCTTGCTCCACCCCCTGGCCCACGTGGGGCCTCTGGAGGAGGAATACCCGGAGGCTCCGGCACCCTCTCCGTCGGGACAAAGCTGGTGACCCAATCCTTAATCATACCCAATGCAAACTCTCTCATGTAGTCGTTCTCGACCATAGTCAAAGGATTTACCAGCCGCCATCTTTGCACATGAACCACTTCTCGACGATCTCCTCGGGGCAATTTTGCCTTGCACTTTCCAACTTCATCACTGCACAGGTGATAAACGCACCTGTTTTCCTTCAAGTGGTGCTGGGCATACCACTCATAGTAAGGATCGGATGCCACCAAGTGTGCTCCTTCCAGCCGACCTTCAGGGAAGTTGTCCCAATCCTTCAACATGAGCAAAGCCCTACCTTGTGGCTTTTTCCTGTCATCGTAGCACTCGTACTCAAAGAGCCCTCCTTTGACCAGGGAGCTTCTTGCCACCTCCAAAATGGCCTCACCATAGTCCCTTCCATCTCTCCAGCTCAATTCCTCCGGAGGAAGGCCACGTGTGAGCATGCCGTTCCAATCATCCAACAAGCCCCCTTTTGAAAGGAGCCTTTTCTTCTCCTCCTCCATTCTCTTAGCCGCCATGGGGACTCCCACTGGCTCAGACCAGCGGGGCTGAAGCTCAGGCTTCCCCGCCCCAGCAGCCAAGGAGGGGAGGACTCGGCTGTCCTCCTCGTGAGTCTCCTCCTCCTCAAAATCCTTCCCTCTCCTCTCTACTTACAAACTCAGCCTGTCCCAGATCAGGACCTGGCTGAGCCCACACTCTTGGAGAGCCCAACCGCCCTCAGCCCACCAGGGGCTCAAGGGCAGCTGAACTCCCCGCCTTGTCTGCTGACTCACCTGCGACTCCCACCCTTGCCCCACAAGAGGCCTAGGGGGGAGAGCGCAGGCAAGCCTTGAGTCCAAAGCTAGCGGTCGAACGAGGACCTCACGCATGCAACTCCTCTGGAGAACACATATATATATATACACATTCTGAAGAGCAAATGGATGGGGTGGGATGAAAATCATAATCTCTACTATTAGGGGAACGGGTCTAATTCCCCCAATTTACCTTAAGTTACAGTTGCAGTTACAGTACATTTTGGGGGACTCCCCTTCCTGAACATCCTTTGTGGGAGGTCGCTGTGAAAATACAATTATTTGCCCTAAATGATTCTGGGATTGGGAATTTTCTTCTTATGGGAATCGAACAATGCAAGGAACTATGCCATGTTTTTTGCAAATTACTGTAGATTAAATAAAAAAACAACTTTCAGAGCCCTCAATGTTTCATTGGTAATTATACGTAATCCCAAATAAATGGATATAGGTTCTAATCGGACAATTTGCAGGAATCCCATGTGTACCATCAAATGCAGGGTGAATCCCCCTACTCGTCAACCAGCTTCACCTTCTGTGATCTTAATTGATATATTTATGATTTTGACTTCCCAACCCCTGTCCCGAAGCTGGAATGGCACAGCAAATCCGTCAAGCAACTGTTTCTGCAAGCGATGTATCAGCACCTCAAATTGCCAGAGGATGCTGATATGCTGATAGTGGACAGCCCACAAAAGAAACCTCACAAACTGATTTGGCGATGCCGAGGTCCACACCATGATGAAGTGAACATCAATACTCCGCGCAAATCCCTTCAAGCGCAAGCAACCATCGAGAAATTCCTGGCAAGTACTGACCCAGAATCAGACATTTATCCTGGTAATCGAAAATCACCTTTCTATAGACTATAGATCATGCTCCCCATATATTTGTCAATTTTCCTCATGTTTTCCATATGTTTCCAATGCCATCTTTAAACCATCGGTCCTCAATATCCACAGTGCCTGACCTTGGTCGCCAAGGAATTGGGCTTGCTCCGCTTGCTCCAGGCTCCCAACAGCCCCTATGACTTGGAGCAACCCCGTTATTCATGGGGGGCAATTGGGGCAACAAAACATGTTCAAAAAATGGTGGATTTGGGGGTGCCCCAAGCCCATCCAATCATCCCCTTAGAATGGCTAATGCAAATGATTGGATAATCATCTATACAAATGGGTTGCCATATGGCCATATGTTGCGATTTTAAATTGCCAAAGGGTAGCAGGCAAATATTTGTTCGTATGTAGTCATCATGTCGCCACTAAGAATAAACAGAAGATTCCCACCGAAACGCAGGCTGGGGTGCGAATCGGTGTCCAAGAGGGTGAACAAGCGCACGCAATCATGAGGTTCAAAACCTGAAGCCGGAGCTGGATCAAGGGTCAAACTTGGGGTCAGCCAACCCACTAACTACATGGAGGCTATGGGAAAATCCGCTGGGGGATTTGATGCTTTGAATATCAGCCCCGAAAAATGGGAGGACTTACCACCAGAAATGGCCGAAATCCACTGTCACATCAGGTTGCTGCAAAAATCTGCAGCTGCTGCAGGCAAATCACCCAGAGCTGTGAAATATGCCGCCATTCTGGGGTCCTCGCGGACATGGGGCACGGTCAACCGTTTTTAGGGCCTCCAGGGATGCCCGGGATGTAGCTTAACAGCTTAACATAGCATGGAAAACAACCATTGTTCATGAGAATTATCATGATCTATAAACCAGCCATTTTTCATCAGTTTCCATCATTTTCATTAATTTTCCACGTTAGATTACCAAAGGGTTGGATCAACCAAAAAAAGGAGAAAAACCAAAAACCTCTAGCTGTCCTTCACCAATTGTTGCATCTCCTCTGCTGTGAGCGTCCCGGACTCATCATCATCCATCTGCCAGAAGAGATTTTGAAGCCTGGGCCGATGCGAGACGTTTCCGGAGGCACTGCGATGCATCAAAAAAAGGACAAAGGGGGACTGATGGGGACTGATGGGGACTGGGTTGGTAGGAATTTGATTCCCATCATGAAGTTCCATGAAGCATCCTGATCCTTACACCTCGAACAGGGATACACCACGGTTCGAACATTCTAGAACACTTGGGGCTGACAATGAGTTCAATTACCATCATCAGCGGGCAAACCAATCCCCATGGCATCGCCATGATATCCCTGTTTGCTGGCTACTGTAAATCCACATGTTTCATCGTAAACCACCAGTTCACCAGGATGATTCCTACATTGGTTGTGGACCCACTTGGTGCCACCACTCGCGGATGTAGGTCTCTTTCACTTCTCGCTCCTGTTTTTCAACACGAAGAGCGCCACGGAGGGTTCAACGCGCCACATGTTTAGCAGCATGCAGAGCATCACAGTGGTGGTTCAGCCAAAACTACATGGGATTTAGTCAACCTGAGTTCAAAGAACCCCTCTGAGTGGTTTAGTTTCAACCTGAGGGATATGTGCGTTCATCCCATTTCTGGGCATGGAGTAGCAATCAGCATTGGAGACTGCCCATCTCCCTTCACCTGGGTTTCTTTAAACATCAGGGCGCTGCAAATCCAGTGGTCAAGCATGATGTTTGAACCACCGAAATGGCCATGAAATCTACCAATGGATGTTGTGGTTACATACGCGCACTAATACCCATGAAAATCCGGTGAATCTCCTAGTGGGTCTCTTTGACAGCCATGTAGCCTTCATGTTTTGTTATAATATCAATGTCAAGTTGTATCCTTTCTATCCCCATCTCCCCAAAGATTTGTTGTTTTGATCAGTTTAATGCCAATTGTTTTGGGGTCGGACGGTCAGTCCTTGCTTTTATGGTCAGAATACATCTTTCAGCCCTTTTCAATATCCCGTTTCTACCCATATAAATGCATATGGGTACAACTGCATATGTATTTTAATAATATGTATTTATTGGCATCGCCCGCATCCTTGTTGCTGCTTAATAATATTATACCATATTTCACTTGTGGTTAGTTGGTTTCACCCGCCGCGTCCTTTTCAATGATATAGTCTCGCTGAGTCTTGGCCGCTGCTCCAGCATTGTCCACGAAGACTCCTGCGGCACCACCCAAGCGAATGCACGCCACATCTGATGTATGGTTTTATATACATATGAGCCGCCGTCAAAATCAATTGTTTATGCCTGGTACAAAAATATAAGTTATCGCTCTTTGGGGGGGGCCCTATCGCTTTCCAGTGTTTTGTTCAAATCAACACGAAATACTGCAAAAATGCAAGGGAATTAGCTTCACGGATTCAGATCTAAACTGCCGGGGATGGATTAAGGGCCTTTCGTTGTCTTTGCGTTTGCAACCATGTTGGGGAGCTATCTAAGCACATTCCTAGACTCTTTCCTAAGCAAGGAAATCTGTTACGATCTCATCTCCGAACTAGAAAGACCGTAGTTGATATAGACCAATGGTTCCAAAAAAGAAGCGTTCGTAGCTATGAAGAAGTGCATTAGGCTCCCCAAGTCTGAATACAACGTGGTGGCCTGCTGTCGAGAACCTGTTCACTTTTTTGTTGAGCCCTTCTTCTTCTTGGGATCAAATGAGTCTATCCCTCCTCCGGAGTCCCTTTTTCAACAAAAGGTTATCGCTAGGTTATCGCTAAGGTTATCGCTAAATTGGAACACTTTGACGATCAAGAAAGGAAAGGAAAGAGGAACGTAGAACAAAAAGGACAACTGAAAAAACAGAAGGAGAAAGGAAGGAACGAGAAAAGGAAACAAAGGAAGAAGAAACGACAAATCAAACATGGAATAGATGGAATTCAGAACAAGATTCGTAATCAGAGTTGATTTGGTTCAGAATTCAATTGCGTTTAGTTTTAACTGAAAAAAGAAGGAACAAGAAAAACAGAAAAAGAAAAGGAAACAAAGGAAGACGCAATTCGAATTAAATCTAAACACACAAAGGGCATTCAGAATTAGATTTCAATCTATTGTTTGCTTAATTCAGAATTTGGTTGCGTTCAATTTGGTTTAATTCTACTGCTTTGGGACCTGGGAAGAAAAAAACAATCTGCCTGCAGAAAGCAATGGCTCAATCACCTTGGACAGCAAATGAAATGGCAACTGCAAGAAACGCGGGCACTGCAGGTTAAATTTTCATCAATTTTGCCCACAGATGGTTACAAGTTATCGCTTTTTGGCAGGGGCCCTATCGCTTTACATGGTTTGGTGCATTTTCTCAACACGATTGGACCCTCCCTTACTAAAGTAATCTGCGCTTATTTTGACCGTATCTCATATATATATATGATATATCCATTTATGTCGCTGGTTATTAATTATGCAGCAATTATGCATATTGGTTAAAGAACGCATCAACTAGTTCGGCATATCATAAACCATCGAATTCATCATGACAACTTAGCTGCAGGATTGGCATCACCTTCTAAAATTCTGCCTGCATCGTCACCGGGCTCCTGTCACAATGTTCAAGACAGCCTGCGGTTGGGTCGAATCGATTGATTTTTTTGGACATCTTCACCGGAAACCAGGTATTACCCATTCAAAATATGTTTGGATTTTCTAAGTCTATGATTTTACCAATAATCAAATGTTGGGATTTTCGAATTCTATGATTTTCTATGGTTTCCTCCAGGATTTTGAACATCTTTGAGCCAATTCTGTGGAGATTGGCATGCCCTTCCCAGTGCTGGCGGGGGACCAGCATGGTGAACAAGATGTAGAAAATGAAGAGCCTCAAAAAACGCAACAGCGAAGACAAGAGCAGAATGCGACCGCACGGTGGCACAGTGAAATCATGCGAAATCTGCGGTTCAGATGCATCGGAGAAATGGTGTCCATTTTCAACAGCATATCACCTCAGGAAAATGGCCATCGCCTAGTCTCGGGGTTTGATCCACCCATCAGACCCATGGAGTGGTTGAAGGCAACATGTGCAGGGTATACCCACATTTTCTCCATGGGAAACATATGTGAAAATTTTCCCTGAAATCAATCCAGTTAATTACTATGAGTTCTATCAATTTATACCATAGTATATCCATGTATATGACGGTTTGTCAAACTGTCTTCTCCTGGTTTGGTTGATAAATGGTAATTCCTTGCGTGCCGCTTCTTGTTTAATCTTTAAAGTTTAAAACTATGACTTATCTAAATAGTCTGAAACCCTGCATTTTTTCTTTCATGTTTGAAGCCGTAGCTAAAACCTGCAGTAAATGCTAACACACGTCTATATGAAGTGGGTACCGCTGCTAGTTGTTAGTGGTGGAACTGGAATATGTTTCCATCTGCTACAGGGCTTGCTGTTGCCTTTGCTGTCACTGTTGCTTTTGTCAAGCAGACAGGAAAAAACATGGATAAACTACAAGTTCTCTGGGCCACGGGTCAGCCAAAGCTGCTTACTGAAACTTTTGCTAGCACATTGCTAGCGGGGATCTAGTGGGTAAAATTACTTAAACATGTGCAAAATTGAGCCGCAAACTCAAAAATATGAGAAAAATGTTGAGTAGCAAAGAAAATCATGAAGACATCCTTAGGTTTAAGGAGCTAAGTGTTACATTTTGACACTCTGCATGTTTAAATAACAAATAGTCAGGAACACATAAAACATATCCTGAACATGGGTATGAAAATTAAACTAACGCAAACATAGCGGGTTTGCTAGCGTTGCCTTGCAGAATAGGTGAATTTAGTTGTAACGAAGAGGAAAAGAACCACTAGGTCCACACTAATTACCAACAACTGGTATAAAGCTTCCGTCAGCTATATAGATATAGATTAAGAAATAGATATAGGTACAGATAGAGAGATAGAGAGACACAGAGATAGAGAGCTAAAGAGATAGATAGATAGATAGATAGATAGAATAGAATAGAATAGAATAGAATAGAATAGAATAGAATTAGAATTAGAATTAGAATAGAATAGAATAGAATAGATTAGATAGGATAGATAGGATAGATAGGATAGATAGGATAGATAGGATAGATAGGATAGATAGGATAGATAGGATAGATAGGATAGATAGGATAGATAGGATAGATAGGATAGATAGGATAGATAGGATAGATAGGATAGATAGATAGATAGGATAGATAGGAAAGATAGGATAGATAGATAGGTAGATAGATAGATAGATAGGTAGATAGATAGATGGATAGATGGATAGATGGATAGATGGATAGATGGATAGATGGATAGATGGATAGATAGCTAGATAGATAGATAGATATAGTCATATAGTCATATAGTCATATAGTCATATAGTCATATAGTCAGGAATAATAAAATCCCCGAATTAATCATACCCATTCTCTCCTGAAATGATAGATCGATAGATAAATAGTCGGATAGAGAAATAGTTAGATAGAAAGATAAATAGTCAGATATATAGAGAGAGACAGAGATAGATAGATAGCTAGATAGATAGAGAGATAGATAGATAGATAGATAGATAGGTCGATCGATCGATCGATAGATAGATATGGGTAGATAGATAGTTAGATAGATAGATATAGTCAGGATTAAAAAAATCCCCGAATTAATCATACCCATTCTCTCCTGAAATTTTGGGACAATACTAAAGTCAATTAGGTGCTGTTTACCTCCCTAATAACAATTTAATACCCCCTAATTAATCATACCCCTCCGTCATACCCCTGAAAAAAAGAATTTCAAAAAATCATCCCCCAAATGATCGATTTATGATTAAAATCTAGTGAAAATACTGCTGTTTTTGGGAGCTCAGAACCCCCCTTAAGCGTTGTCACCCTCACAAATAAAAAGACGCTCCCCCCAATTGAAAACCACCACCCAGCCGCGAAGATTTTTTTCACTATTCTTTTCTCATGTGCAATTACTTTGATTTTTTGCAACAGCTACATCAACATTGCATTGCCTGATGTTTCCTCATCCACCTCCCTGGGATGTTTTTGGTCCATATGTTTAATGTCAAGACGCCAAAATTGAAAAAACACATATCCCCCAAATGTTCGATTTCTAATTAAAAATCTAATTTAAACATGCTATTTTTGGAAGCTCAGAAAGGCTACCCCCCTTGAGCGCGGTCACCCCACAAATAAAAAGACGCTCCCCACAATTAAAAAACCCAACCCACCCGCGATAAGTTTTTTTCACTATTCTTTTCTCATGCGCAATTACTTTGATTTTTTGCAACCGCTACATCAACATTGCTTTGCCTGATGTTTCCTCATCCACCTCTCGGGGATGTTTTTGGTCAATTTGTTTCATTTCAAGACGCCAAAATTGAAAAAAACATCATCCCCCAAATGATCGATTTCTAATGAATCTAATTAACAAATGCTTTTCGGGAGCTCAGAAAGGCTACCCCCCTTGAGCGCTGTCACCCCCACAAATAAAAAGACGCTCCCCCCAAATAAAAAACTCCACCCAGCCGCGATAAGTTTTTTCTATGCGTGCTTCAATTTGCAAACAATAAACCAATGAATTAATTCAACAACTACATCAGCATTGTCTGATCTTTCCTCATCCACCTCGCAAATATGTTTTTGCCATGTGGCAATATTTTTACTAGTGCTACTACTACGACGACGGCTACTACTACTAAACTACTATTACTAAAAAACTACTACTACTACTACTACTGCTACTACTACGACGACGGCTACTACTACGACGACGGCTACTACTACTAAACTACTATTACTAAAAAACTACTACTACTACTACTACTACTACTACTACTACTACTATCACTACCACCACCACTACCACTACCACTACCACCACCACCACTACCACCACTACCACCACTACCACCACTACCACCACTACCACCACTACCACTACCACTACCACTACCACTACCACTACCTACTACTACTACTACTACTACTACTACTACTACTACTACTACTAGTACTACTACTACTACTACTACGACGATGTACTTTGATATGCACATATACAGGTGGATCCAGATAAGCCAAAATCAAAATGAAGAGGGCATCTTGAAGGCTTTCTGGAGGTTGACTCACATGTTGGGAAGGAGTGGCTTCTTTCCAAGAGCTGTGCTTTCATTAGTTCCAAGCCACTGAAATGCAGAATTGGATTCAAAATTGATTTTGATTTACTTCAGAATTCCAAAGGAAAATAAAGGGACAATGGAAGGAAAAACAAAGAAAAGGAAACAAAGGAATACACATTTCAAATACAAGTAAAGCACAAAAACTGTTCATTCACCTCAGTCAACAAATGGTATGGCAACTGCAAGAAACGTGGGCACTGCAGGTTGAATTTCTTCATCAATTTTGCACATCGCGTGAAGGCAGACAACAATATTTGCTTGGTTTACACAAGTTTACACCAAGTTTAATGCACTCTCATATGGTTACATGTTATCGTTTTTTTGGGGGTGGGCCTATCTCTTTGCATGGTTTGGTGCATTTTCTCAACACAAGTGGACCCTCCCTTACTAAACTAGTCTACGCTTATTTTGACTGCATCTTAAATCAATATATATATATGCATATATATCATATATATATATATATATGGATGGATAGATAGATAGATAGATAGATTGATAGATAGATAGATAGATAGATAGATAGAAAGATAGATAGATGGATAGATATATAGATAGATAGGTTAGATAGATTAGATAAATTAGATAGATTAGATAGATTAGATAGATTGGATAGATTAGATAGAGTAGACAGAGTAGATGGATTAGATAGATTAGGTAGATTAGATACATTGGAAAGATCAGATAGATGAGATAAGATAAGATAAGATAAGATTAGATTAGATTAGATAAGAGATCCCCATTGTGGTGTCTGGATCTCCCAAATGTGACACTTAATAACCTCATGTTGTCCCCACTGTGGTGTCTAGATCTCCCAATGTGGTGGCTGTTTCTGCCCAATTTGGTCCCCATCGTGGTGTCTGGATCTCCCAATGTGGTGGCTGAATTTCCCAATGTGGTCCCCATTGTGGTGTCTGAATCTCCCAATGTGGTGGCTGAATTACCCAATGTGGTCCCCATTGTGGTGTCTGGATCTCCCAATGTGGTGGTTGAATTCCCCAATGTGGTTCCCATTGTGGTGTCTGGGTATCCCAATGTGGTGGCTGAATTTCCCAATGTGGTTCCCATTGTGGTGTGTGGTGGCTGAATTTCACAAATCTTCCAATGTGGTGTCTCATCCGAGTAGTACCCCATTGTGGTGTTAGAGTCGGCTCCCATTGTGGTGTTAGAGTCTCCCCTTAATTTCACAATTCTGCTCTGTTAATTCGGGGGCAACGTCGTCCCGTCGAATTAAATCGCACAGTCAAATGGAACAATTAACCATACTTCTATTAAGGTGTTATTTAAGGTTTATAGACTATAGAGGTTATAAAATCCCCCGGCCCCAGGGAACAATCAACCATACTTCTATTAGGGATTCGTTTATGATTTATCGAAGAAAGTTTAGAAGTCAAACTTCCGACAATATGGACAGATGAAAAGCAGAGCAGGGCAGAGGCAGAGAGAAGAGAAAGATTAGAAGAGAGAAGATCAGAGAAGAGAAAGAGTCAGAAGAAAGAAGATGCAGCTACGCGAAAAGGTAGGAAAGTCGCGAAACACTGTGTTTTTCCAATGATTTGGGGCTCCGGAGGGTCGAAAAGTAGGCTCGCTAAAGCGGCGGGTGTGGAGCGAGCTGGCCAGAACAATTGCACGCCGATGTGGCGCGAAGCGCATTTCGAAGGCAAAATGCACAAAACACACCACGTTCGGACCACTTTTGGAAGTTGAGATGTCGAAAAAGTGCATGCCGTTGTGGCGCAGAGCACATTTCCAAGTCAAAATGTACAAAACACACCAGCTTCGGACCACTTTTGGAAGTTGAGATGTCGAAAAAGTGCACGCCGTTGTGGCGCGAAGCACATTTCGAACTGAAAATGTACAAAGCACACCAGCTTCAGACCACTTTTGGAAGTTCAGATGTCGAAAAAGTGCACGCCCTTGTGGCGCGAAGCATATTTCGAAGTCAAAATGTACAAAACACACCATGTACGGACCACTTTTGGAGGTTCAGATTTCGCTTCGCTTCACTACACTACATTACACTACACTCCACTACACTACACTCCACTACACTACATTGCGCAACACTCACTACAACTACAACTACACAACTACACTCCACTACACTCCACTACACTAAATTACACTACGCTACACTACATTACACTACACTACACTCCACTACGCTACATTGCACTACAATACCTTCCACTACACTTCATTACATTACACTACACTACAACTACAACTACGACTACACAACTACACTCCACTACACAAAATTACACTACACTACACTACATTACACTACACTACATTCCACTACACTCCACTACACTACATTACACTACACTACATTACACTGAATGACACTGCACCACAGATAGACAGATAGAGAGATAGACAGATAGACAGACAGACAGATAGATAGATAGATAGATAGATAGGTACATAGGTAATTAGATGAAAGAGAGAAAGAGAGAGAGAGAGATAGATAGATCGATAGATAGATAGATACATAGAAGATAGGTTGGTAGGTAAGTAGATAGTCAGAGAAAGAGAGAGAAAGAGAGGAGACCTCAAGCACCTTTCGGTCCATCAGTGGATTCGCTCTGCCATCCCTGATTCACAACAACCAATCTCTCCTATAGGTTTCCTATTTTCGAAACTTCCGCCACCGCCTTGTGCGGTACTACTGGTACAAGTTATAAAATCTCCCGGTCTTATGAAACATTTCACCATAACTTCTACATCAGGGTCTGATTTAAGGTTTATGCAAATTATAAAACTCCCTGGCCCCATGAAACAATTAACCATACCACGATGAAGATCGAAAACAAATGTTTTTTTTTAATAAACTGGTGGAACCGAACCGGTGGAATCGATTTTTTGAGGAAATCGAACCGGTAGAACCGAACCCTTTATTCAATAACCGTTTATGAACCGAAACCGTGCACTACGAACCGGAAATTGGAACCTAACCGAACCGAATCGAACCGTTACCATGCTGTAGATAGATAGATAGATAGATTGATAGATAGATAGATAGGTAGATAGATAGATAGATAGATTGATAGATTGATAGATTGATAGATTAGATAGATTAGATAGATTAGATAGATTAGATAGATTAGATAGATTAGATAGATTAGATAGATAGATTAGATAGATTAGATAGATAGAAAGATAGATTAGATAGATTAGATAGATTAGATAGATTAGATAGATTAGATAGATTAGATAGATTAGATAGATAGATTAGATAAATAGAAAGATAGATTAGATAGATAGATAGATAGATAGGTAGATAGATAGATAGATAGATAGATTGATAGATTGATAGATTAGTTATAGGTGTATTAGCTCCTCCCCCCAAAGTTCGTACCCCCAGATCTAAATGGAAAACTGATCCTGTAATGACCCTATGTTTTCCAACCTTGTCAAAACTGAGAAGGTTTACTCTGGGAAATGGATGTTTGTTTAATAAGGCTTATTAATAAAGGTTCCATGAATGAGCCTGTGGGCGCTAGCAAGACTTCAAATGGATCAAACCCAAATGATATGGGGTTCTTCATCACCTGCAAAAGGCATTGCTCTTGGGAAGCCTTAATAAACATCCAGGGGTTGATGTTGGGAAATTCCACCAAACGCGGGCTTGCTAAAGCCCAAAAAATGATAGGCATTGGATTGGGATTGGTAAGGCTTAATAAGGCTTAATACCCTTTACTACAACAGAACAATTGTTTTGAACATCGCGCCAAACGGATTGGTTCTTAATAAGGCTTAATAAGGCTTAATACCCCTTACTCCAAAGTGCACTTACCACAGGTTTTCTTTACTGAATCTGCACATCTTTTCCCATGGGCGTTCACAAAGCTTAAAAACTACTCACGTTAAGCACTGCATTTGACACCCTTTACAACAAAAGGCAGCCTTCAGTCGCTCGTGGCACAACTTTCCATCTTTGGGTGGTTGCAACACATACACGACCACAACTCTCTTAATAAGAGATTTCCATCTCCACAAAAAAGCGCGCAAAAGAAATAATCCTTATGTAGGCCTTGCCAAGGGGAAAATAAGGACCAATCCGTTTTGCACTTTTTTCAAAAAACCTGTCCTCTTTTAGCAAGGGTTATTAAGCCTTACCAATGCTTATCCAAGCTTTCCAAACATTGATAGTGCTTATTTAGTCAAACATGGTCAACACATATTTGCGCACAAAACCCATGGTTTTCCATTTAGATCTGGGGGTACGAACTTTGGGGGCAGGAGCTAATTCACCTATAAATTAGATAGATTAGATAGATTAGATAGATTAGATAGATTAGATAGATAGATTAGATAGATTAGATAGATAGATAGATAGATAGATAGATTAGATAGATTAGATAGATTAGATAGATTAGATAGATTAGATAGATTAGATAGATTAGATAGATAGATAAATCGATAGATCGATGGATGGGTGGATGCATGGATGGATAGATAGATAGATAGGTATATGCTCACCCCACCTTAAATTTAATGTAACATATTTGATGCAAAAAAAAGCATTTTATACTGTAAAAACCAGTAGAAAATTGAAAATGTAGGTCCTGGGGGGTGACCATATATATATATATTTATATCCGCACCTTTCCTGAAACCCATTGGACTGGTGTTTCTACTTCCACAGTCAAGTCGCATAGAATCCCCCAATTGATGCCACCCAGCATGGAGCGTAGGAGGCTGTAGGTGGTAACATAGAGCGTGCCGAAATTGTTCTTGATGTCATTCACCTTGGCATTCCCCAAATGCTCCATTTTACATTTCACGTTGCTGGAATATTTACCAACATCATGTAGGTAAATATTCCATACATGGAGCATATTGGATTGGTTGATTTTTGGGATTGGAAGATTCCGAACGACCGGCAAAAATGCTATATTCACCAGCAATAAGGGCAACCCAATGCCATAAACCTACCATGACTGGGGCTGGTTGAAATCCCACCTATAAGAATAATGATTTTGGGGGTGGTTTAGCATTGGTTTTACCACATTCGCAATGATTTCGTTATACCGTACCCATCGTTGGATTGGTCGAAGGGAACGTCTTAACCAGAAACCATGTTTTTACACTAAAGATCTCCAAACTGTCTTGGGGGTTCCCGCAGATTTCCCCTCAAAACCAACTTCAGGATTGTTTGAATCGAAGAGATGCTGACACTGAAATCTTGTCAGCGGAAGTGTTCAAATTATGCGGATTCCTCATTCAATTTTATGGCGTCCCCGAACTCAACTGCACAACTTCACACTTGATCCATCCAAGCTTGCTTCTCAGCCCAGCACCCCCCCAGTAATTTGATAGAGCTATCGAAAATTGACCATTTATATAGATGATTTACTTACTGCATTATGTAAAATGGTAATTTTCCAAAGTTACTACATTGCCAGAGGGAACGCCTTTGCAACTGAGCCAAAGCAAGTTCCCACTACCATCTCGAACCCCCGATTTCTGCTGGGTTTGTCCCCATACTGGTCCAGTATCCCCAAATAAATCCAAATGATGCATCAGTTGGGTTCATTACCCATCTTTTGTCTTTTTCCCACAATCTGATACAGTTTCACGTCATTTATCCATCGGTTTCCCATCAAACATGATCAATAAACCTTGGGTCCCCCATTACTTAAAAACACGCACACACACACACCCATCCCATTGGTTATCCCATTGTCACATAAACTGGTTTTATCACCTCAACATTCCACCAGTTGACCTCCAACAAAGTATAGTGGCTGGTGGTTTGTATACTTGTTTGAACCCTCTGAAACACATCATCCAATTAGCCATGGCGCCATCTTCGGGCAGCTTCTGAATGTTGGTATAGCGCAATAGGATCCAACCATCCCCAAATTTACCTTATGGGTTATAAAAACCATCAAGATATGGATGGTCTATGACATGGCTTCACTAACATTAAGCATCTATAAATTGGGATAGCATGGAAAACCAGCTATAAATAAGGAATATCATATTCATAAGGATTTCATAGGTTTTCCAGCCATGATATCCACACCCCCCCAGAAAAAAAAAAACACATGGCTACTGACTGGGCACATTCTCTGGGGCCAGTTTCTGCAGGTCCTGATACCATGTGGGACCTGAAAGGTGCGGCTGTGTTTGGACCATTTTGGGCCTGCTTGGCAGGCTGCTGCTGACGATGACGATGACGATGACGATGCCAATGAGGATGATGATGATGATGATGAAGAAGAAGAAGATGATGATGATGATGATGAGATGACGATGACGACGATGACGATGACGATGAAGATGACGATGATGACGACGATGACGATGACGATGACGATGACGATGACGATGACGATGATGATGATGATGACGACGACGACGATGACGATGACGATGATGACGGCGATGATGCTGACGATGATGATGATGATGAAGATGATGATGATGATGATGATGATCTTTCTAGATCTAATCGATTCTAACCGATTCTAATCGGTTCTAATCGATTCTAATCGTTGCTCCAGAAATGGGTCTGTCTGAAAACGGTGTAATGTGAGTAAAGCAATAGCAAACCATCCCCAATTTCATCATAAGTTGTATAAACCATCAAAATATGGATAGTTCATTATTTCGTTATATTGCGTTACTAACATTATACATCCCAAATGGTACTCTTAGTAGGGAAAATGATAATTAATCAATGGGTACTACAGACATGGTTGAGTTAGTTCAAGTTAAGTTACTGTAGTTCCCCCACAAATGGATACACCATGGCCATAGTAAACGTGTGTGACAACTTAGGAGTGGGCCCGAAATTTATGGTCTATAGCAGCGATTTTAATGGGGAGAATTCATGAACACGATGATCGAGCATGGGACGGCTTGGGATTTTGGAGTACATCAGATAAAGCCATAGCATTGGTGCCAGGATGCTGCTGGTGTCAGCGTACTCTCGCAAGTAGAAGGTGGCGTTGGTCGTAAACCATACCGCAAACACAAAAATCCTCGGGTGTCCAGCCAGAATCATCGCGCAACAAGTCCAGCCATCGCAACAGAAATCAATTTAAGATCCCCCAGTGGGACCTGAGAAGGCCTTCTTTGTTGGGATTCGTGACCCACGGGGACTCCTGATTTGGCATCAGGAGCTTCGCAAAAAATGGTCCATATTTCGGTCAAGACTCATCAGCATTAACATCAGCATAGCCTGCAAGCGGAACATCAAGGTAATTTGTGCAGTCCACTGTGCTGGTTGGAGGTTTCAGCCACCCCCAAACATAGTGGTGAGCTGAGTGCGGATGATCATCAACAGCCAACTTCCCATGCTCTTCCTGCTGAAATGTTGGTCTATTTTATGGTTTTGGTTTGCTACTGTCTGGACAATCAGAGACTTGACAACTTTGAAACAACCAGAAAAATCATGCCGCGCTTACGTTGAATCACAACATGTCGCCCTTTCCAGCCATACCCGGTGCCCCGCTGAGCAAAGTGGCCCACATCAAGGATCGCATGGAGTCAACGATCATCAGCGCCATCAAGGACAGCTCGCGCGAGAATCGGAACTCAGCAATGTGCTGAACTCATCGGCATGGTATTGGCGGATGGCTGGGCCCAACTGTTGCTACCCAGATCCACTAAAAGAACGAAGGTTTCTAGATAGTCTCTCTATAGAGAGAGAGAGAGAGATCTAAAGCTCATAGATTCCCAAATCTGATCTATTTAACTGCGGTTCTTCTTTTGGATGTTCATCACCGGACCCATGCGTTTATTCTTCCATTGATGTTGACATTTCCCGCAGTTTTCCGGCCGGGATCTCGATGCCGCCAAGCAGCCACGCGAAAGATGCGAGCGATGCCTGAGCATAGCATTTAATTCCACAGTTCCATAGTTGCTTTACATATCTTTACATATTCTATCTGGAAAATAAGCATCATATTTCACCAACCAGAATAGTCCGGCCATTTGGGGATGATGGCCAAATTGCCCGAATAAAATTGTCCAATCATTCCGGTGACGGAAATTCCAGTGATGTCACTATTTATTAGTCATCCAGATTTTGTAAAACAAAATGCCATAACACCAGGAGAGTGCAGGATGCAGGATGAATTTCCACATGCAATATACATATATGTATATATATATACAATTAGTGTTATATAGTGTTATATACACGTCTAAACACTTGCAAGCCACACGAGTTCTTCAGTGACAGATCACAAATTCCACAGTTCCTCTACCCACATTCCAATGGTCAAGCAGATCGTCATTAATTATAGAATTTAAGCACCATTTTCTATGGGCATTTCTTCTTACAGCGTACCCCACTTTGTTTAAAAAAAAAACATAGCCCGAGAACTGCCCCAATGGCCATGGCGGACAGAACGCTGCTCCAAGCGACGCAACATCTTCAAGATCTTCACGGCTTGGAGGACGTCCACGGTGGGATCCTGAAAAGCTCCAGCGGTGAAAAGCACAGTTCTCCAAAAGGCAATGCCACAGAGATACCAAAAATAGGTCCAGTGAGAATAGAATAGCAATGTAGATAATGATAAGGATAATTCAGGATGATAATAATACTTGTGCTAGATGTACTAGTAAGAATACGTATAATTAACAAGTATGGCCCTGGTGTGGCTCCCCCCAAGTGAAGAAAAACATCTGCCTCTCGGCCATTGACCAAGGGACCCGAGTGAAGAAGGCGGAGGCCAGATCAACGAAGGACACTAGGACGAGTAGCAAATCAAAAATATTCCAGCCTGCGGACCAAAGAAAAACATTCAGTTTAGGATGTTTGATATGTTTGGGTTCATGGGATCATATGGGATCTTCAGATGGAGATGATGGAAAAGTCGTGGTCATCAACAAAATCGGGGATATAACCCACCGATAGCTCCGGGGAATCGGCGCGACAAAGCTCAACGCATCTCAGCCATGCCATGCCATGCCTCTGCTCCCAGGGCGCGTGAAGAATTCAATACGATACCTCAAGCCGAGAGTTTGCTCAACAGCTCTGCAATGTCCCACCGACCATGAATTCATCTTTTCAACCAAGTAGCGCCATCATCCGCATGATCAGCTCAACAAAGAAGAAGAAAGAGCAGAAGTAGTTCATCACCTGCACTTGAGGTTCATTGACATGCTCCCTTTCTGCATTTGTATCCAGGTATATTTAGATGGTCTGAAAACGGGCTTTTTGCCCGCAGCTCTGGCAATCGTCATAGTGATTTGGCGCCATTTTCAGTCAGTGATTTAAAGACGATCAACCATCATGTTCGGTGATTTCTGACAAACCCAAACGATCAACATCAGTGATGATTTCAGATTCAACCACTTTCAGACAGTGATTCTTCTTAACCATCGTTTTGACTTTCAACTTCTCATTTGCAGACAGCCCCCCAACCCCAATCAACAGATTTCACGCCTGCACAAAGAGCGGGCTTTTCAGGTTCGTCGCCATCCACTGGGTCTCAACCGCAATAAAAATGGAATTTACCTTGGGGCGAACACTGACCCTCCGGTGTCTATCATGATGACTGCATGGTGGAGTTTCCATTGACATGTTTGATTAGGATAAGGATGGATCAAACATTAAATCATTACAATATGAGATACATGACATGCTCAAAGGGCTTAGTTCGTGATTCACCCCAGCTAGCAAGTGGGTTGTAATCCCAGGTATGACTGGACAAAACTATGGTGGCTATTGTCATGGCTGGTCAATCCCTGCGTATTTATATACCCGAAACAAGCCAGGAACTTGCGACGGTCTCACGCAATTCTGAAACTTGCGAACGGACCTCTGAACAAATGGGCAGAACACTACCCTCTGGTAAACTAACATAACTATGGAAAATCACCATTTTTAATGGGAAAATCCACTATAAATGGAAATTTTCAATAGCTACGTTAAATTACCAGAGGGTACCACCTCAAGTTCCCACGAAAAATTCAGGACATCACTGGATCATCACTGGTTCCATCCGTGCTGCAAATATCATGAGGGAAGCGGTGGCATCGAACCTTAGAACAGGTCAAGTCCCTGGTCAAGAGCAGTGTCATAGCTATGGCAAACTGTTAGCTTATCAAAGGGTATCAGCCAATATGGTTCTAAAAATATCATATTAATATGCCATTATATCTCCATTATATCCCAGTCAAACCACATTTTTTGAAGTTTTTCCCCATTAAAACCCTAATGAAACCATGATATGTTCATTCTATCCACCCAACTGATTGATAGGTGATACTACCTCAACAAGTCCAGCCGCGCGCTGTGTTGCACAATTCGGCCCATCCAATCCTTTCGCACCTCAAGCGCAGGCCGAATCACAAATACTGGTTGGTTGATAGGTTCCCCAGACTGATGGGTTTGATTCATCTTAATTCCCAATAAACCAGGTCCCCAGTCACCAATCAACAGGGGTGTTTTGAATGGTTTGAAGGAACGAAACGTGGCATACACGTTTCGTACCTGGAATGCAAAACATTTTTCCAGCATGTGGGCATGTCAAATCTCTGGATAAAATGTAATGGTTCACCAATCTGAGAAGTTCGGGATGATTTCCCCCATCTCAACCTCTGTGGTGACGCTGCAGTAAGGTCATGGTAGTGTATCCGGAAATATCACAGCAACCGTTCATTTACGTTGCCGATTGTAGACTCCCGTTCTGTTCCCGTTAAAACCCATTGAAACCATCATACACAATACTGTATCCGATATTACTGTTGTAAACCCGATATTGATAAACCATCCCATTAACCGATTGGACCATGACCGGGGGTCATTTTATGATATTTTATGTACGTCATCCCGTTGCCTACTTTCATAAAGCTGTATCTTGGGCATGCTCTATTGCATCGGGTTTACTGCATTAGCCCAATTGTGTCCCATTAAAATCCCATTAAAATCTCATTATATAAATTCTTACTAAAATTAATCCCATTAAAATCCAATTAAATTCGCATTAAGACTCATCAAAGTCCCATTAAAACATATATTAAAAAATAAAAATAATCCCCATTGTATCCCTTAAAAAAAATTAATCCCACCGCTGGAGAACGCAATGACGTAAGGCGTTCTCTGATCGCTAAAGGTCTCAACTGCTGCTTCCTAGGCACCACCTCTTCCGACGAGGGCATCTTTTTCAGGGCAAGATTGACCTAAAGTGAGGGGATGTCAAGGCATAAAAATAGTGATTTAAGCGGCGTACCGCAAACATGTGGGATATCAACCAACGACAGACTGGAAGTTAAACATGTTTTTTGAAAAATGGGAATATCAACCAATAATTTGAACACAGATGGATTGAATAGGGCCGGTAATGGCCGGTGTCAACCAATAGACAGTTGCGACGAACAAGGGCAAAGACCAATGGCAGCCTCGGCGATTAGACTAAATACTATGGATCACAACCCTACAAAACAAAAAAACAAACAAAACACATTATATGTTTTTCGTACCATTATTATGTATTAATAAAGACATCAAACTTAATAATGCTTAGTCATTGAGTGGCAAGCCATGGTGAATTTTACAGCAAACCATTTTTGATTTTCAGAGGGTAATTCAATTGCAGTAGTCACCATTATCTAATTCATCATTGCCAAAACCACTATATATTACCTAATTATCATTGTAAATAATATATATATATATCTCTCTCTCTCTCTCTTTCTCTCTCTCTCTCTCTTTCTTTCTCTCTCTCTCTCTCTCTTTCTCTCCCTCCCTCTCTCCGCCGTCATCTCAGAGAGTTCAACATTTTTAACCTGTCTCTCTCTCTTCTCTCTCTTCTCTCTCTTCTCTCTCTCTCTCTCTCAGAGAGTTCAACATTATTAACCTGTCTCTCTCTCTAACTCTCTCTCCCTCTCTCCGTCGTCATCTCAGAAGAGTTCAACATTATTAACCTTTCTCTCTCTCTCTCTCCCTCTCCCTCCGTCGTCATCTCAGAGAGTTCAACATTATTAACCTGTCTCTCTCTCTCTCTCTCTCGCTCTCTCTAAACATACTAAACATACACATATATATATATATCGCCATCTCAGAGGGCTCAACATTATTAACCACTATTAACCGTTTCTCCTATTCTGGTTCACCAAACTCCTTTTCTTTGCCAAAACCACGGCACGAACTTGCTTGAAAAACAAAACGCCAAGCTCTGGATGGTGCTGGATGCTTCTTTACTGCTTCGTAGTTCCTTCCCGCTAATACCCTCTGGCAAGTTATCATAGCTATGGAAAATCCCCTGTAAATGACATAAGGTTTTCAGGGGAAAACCATCTATAATGGGAGATTTTCCGTTGCCACGTTCGATTACCGCGCAGTACCCACCAAACCAACCCTAGTTAAGTATTAGAATTGTGAACATTTTTGGGGGACCTTCCAGGGTATTAAATAACCCACTGGAAAACAAACATGGCAATGGACAATCACCAATGTTTGTCGATGATTTTCCGATTTACATGCCACTTAGTTTAGGGATTTCCCAGGTTGACATGCTTAATTGCGGCGGGGTCATGTTATCGCAGTGAATCCCACTAATCCCATTGATTGCTGATAATTCAGACCCCTAATCCCACAATTGGTTACATATCCCAATGTAATAATATCCCATTCATGTCCCCAACATATACCTATATCCCCATGAAGTTTTAACAAGGGTGAGGCGACCCCACAAATGTTTGTTGGTTTATACACCTATGAATACTATATATAGTTAAATTCCCCAACAACCCAACACTTATCCAAGTTATGTGCGACAACTCAACTTAGCTACTATCTAGGTCGTAAACTCATGACCTATAGAAAAACATCGGTTTAAACCCTAAATCTTCCCTTCACCCACCCATTTAATTTACGCTTCATTCCCCGTTTCCCACTCTCCGTTGCTGCCCAGGGACCCCGTGGTGGGCTGCGAGTTCTTGCAGCTCCACTTCTCTGACCTGCCAAGTCGCACATTGTGACCGATGGGATCCATGGGCCTTAAACCAAGGGGATGCATATATCTGGGTAAATTAGAATATTTCACAAACCTGAAATAAGGCTATCTTGGGGATAATCTTAGGGATACTTCCCTTTACTAACCATCATTTCCAGTGAGGTCGCAGTGAGGTCATTATAATTTTCCCATATATATATAATTTTATTATATTCAATTACATTATATTATATCATATATACATTCATTACATTGCATTACATTAAGTTACGTTACATTACATTACGGCAAAACATACATACACACACATACTATATAAATACAAGTATATGTATATACATATATATATATAAATAACCATTTATACCTATATAATTATATATATTATATACATATTTCATGAGAATTATTTGTATATCTAACAGTGCATTTATGATGATGATGATGATGATGATGATCATGATGATGATGATGATGATGCTGACTGATGATGATGAAAATATCCATGGGCTATGCATTTGATATAACTATGACGATTCAACATGATAATAGTTGGGAGTTGAAATTCGTTAATTGTATACTTTCTATGATTTAACAATATTTAACATGCTCGGCTATAATTATATGTTATGTATATATATATATAAGCCAAGCACCCCAAATAAGAAGTGCGATGTATCCACATAAATCCAACAACAGTGTTGGAATTATAAACTACCGTAGCTATCGTTTGGGCCCCTGGTTGCCTTCACCGCGCTTTCCTTGTTGCAAATTGCAATTTTCCATGTTGCTACGTCAGAACAGTGGAGTGATGATAGTGATGTGGAGTGGATCTAAATCCCGGAATCTGGGATTTTTCAAATTTGAAACCCAAGATTCCCTCTATCTCTGGATCCCATCGCAAGGCCGGTCACGAGGTCACGAGGGATCCACATCTTCCAACTTCCTTTGTCCCAACCTGATCCACATCTGCTCCCGCTGCATCATCGTTGGCCGCTGGAGTCGCTGGAGCCAACACACCTTAGCATGTATCATGTGGGTTGTATTTGGAGTATTCCCCCGCCCCTAAGGATCCAAGAGGAACATGCTAGTCGTATAATAATCAACAAATATTTTTTGGGGGAGCCTATGTTCAAAAAAACCTCGTTCATGGACAATCTTAGATACTTTGCAAACAAACAACTTGTTTGGCTACACTACTCGGCACAATGTGCATTGCTGCATAACTTACAGTACAATATATATATATATGGTACCCCCCAAGACCTACCTTTCAAACAAATTTAGTGGTATTTACATTGTTTTTCTTAGCATTTGAACTCTGAAACTTATGGCATGTTTTGGTGATCAAAAATTGCAATTTTGTGCAAGCTTGTTCCCATCCCACCCTTTCCGAAATACATCGGGCTCAAGATTCAAGATTCAAGATCCCAAAGAAACTTCTTGAATCCAAGGCGTTGGATCCAAGATTCAAGATTCAAGATCCAAAAAAAACTTATTGAATCCAGGGGGATAGGATTCAAGATTCAAGATCCCCCCAAAAAAATTGAATCCGAAGGCCTTCAGCCTTGAATCTTGAATCCAAAGAGGTTGGGTTGAAGAAGTTTTTTCTGAGCCTTGAATCTTGAATCTTGAATCCAAAGAGGTTGGGTTGAATATTTTTTTTTTCTAAGCCTTGAATCTTGGATCCAGAATCCAGATACTTAGAATAATATTAGTCATCAGAAATTTCAATTTCTAGCAATTTCTTGCAAATGATCGGCCTGTCTGCTAAGGACATTCCTCAAATAAACTTGCTTATCCTGTATATGAAAGAAAATTCTAAAGCCCATTAAATTGTCTTTGCTTTCCAAGCAAATCAATCAACTTTGGCAAAAATAACGAAAACATAAAAATGCAATAAAGGCAATTAGATTCATCATAATAAAAGAACCTTCTGCAATCTTAAACAATAATTGCTTTAACAAACACGAAGAAACAATAAACAATAATAAGTGAAAATACATGGACTCATCCGATAGCAATACCTCTTTATCAAAACATCCCCAACAAATGTATGAGAAAGGGTCGCAAATAGATCGGCAAAGAAAACTTTCTTTAACAAAAAACATGGCTGCAATTTATGCTGAGAAAAAAGGTAATAGACTACAAAAACACTGAAATGCTATCAAAGTTCACATCAAACAATGGTAGACTATTATCATAAAAAAGGCAAACAAACCAATCTGAAAAACATATTCAAGATAAAAAATAAAAATATAATAATTTGATTAACTTAAAACTAGATCCTCAGAATATAGAGTTTAAAGAACCAGTAAAAATATAGGATCTTTCGAAGTAAGAATGCATATTCACCCAATGCTAGAAACTCCTATAATACCGTTCAAAAGATCACAAAATTAAGAACTATAAAAAGTAAGACAATTTATAATATGACAAATATAGTAAAAACTGATCTAGATTTGTTTGTACTTACTTATTAATTGATTATCATCAAAATCATGTATGTTTAGCAAATAAAATATCAAACTCAAGCACTCCTGGATTTAAAGCAAAGAAATTACAAGATCATCTACATTTTACAGATTTTTAAAAAAGAATTATTACAGCAAAGAAATATCAACTCTTCTACAAAATGAAATTGTAGATGCTGAAGAAAAAACTAATGGAAATAACGTAGGTTCACAAGAACAAATAAGACAATTAACATCAAATGAGAATATGATTGATTATTGTCAATTTACTATTCAAAGCTTGATGGAATGTTATGAAATTGTAGGAGGGTTAAAAAGGTAACTGCATTATAAAATCAATATGTCTGAAAATTGTAACTGAAGATCAGCCTTATATTTACACCTTTATTATCTACAAAATCTTACGTAAATAAAAAATAAAATCTCAAGATGCACTAACTAATATATTATATCATCTAATCTTGCACAAAGCTCAGCTTTGGTAGAAGCTAAAAAGTTTCAAATTGCTACAGAAATTTTAGAAAATACCAAATGTTGTAGAAGATAGTGAAAAAGCAGACTTGCAAGAATCAAATCATAGAAATAAAAATTGTGTTGATATATTAATAATGTCTGAAAACATAAACAAATGAGGAAACATTGAATATAATGAAATAAATATGTCAAACATAGATGTTACAGCGTAATGCTGCAGCTACATATGTGGGCAGGATGTGTCCAGGCGCATGCACCCAAGATACTTTCCTGATGCAGTGCTACAATAGGTGATAAAATAAGAAGGAAGATAAGGCATTCAGGAACATATCTGCTACACAAAAGGTAGGTCTTGGGGTGCATGCATATACATACATATATATATATATGTATGTATGTATGTGATTGTGTGTGTGTCCAAGGTTAAAGCGCTAAACTATCCAAGGTTTACCCAGTTTTGCGATGTTGTTTATTGCATCGAAGCCCGAAATGTGGCACACGACACATGCCCTCTCCCACCATGAAGCTTCCAAGCTGCTAAATGTCCTTTTCAGAGCAATGTTCGACGGAGTTTGACCTGGTCGATCCAAGTTGAGGCCCTCCAGCAACCCAACAGGATCATGAAAAAATGTATTAGACCCTCTACGCACCTGTAAGAATGGGTCAAAGGTAAAAGTACGAAAATTATAGAAAATGATGATAACATAGGTATATTTATGGGTACTTGGACTTGGAGGATCAAACTGTCCAGCAAATGAACACCAAGCACATGGGAGATCCATGGAAATCAGTCATTTGTAGATTCATTTTCCTGGTGAAGCAACCCTCTGGTCATCCAAAAATGGCCTTGGGAAAGCCACCATCCCACCTTGCGCGTCATTCACCATCCGCTCCGCCACGTGGTGAGTCTGAGGATAATGATCCTGTGCAGGATCTTTTCCGGGATGGGTTGCCAAGGGTTGGCGCGGGAAAGAATAAAATCTTCCGAGTGTTTCTCTGATCACATTCTATTAGTTTTTTGTTCTGTCAAGTTGCGCGCAGTCTGGGCGCCCTAGGTCCGTGACTTGCATGGTAGTTGGTACATTCATTCATCATCTTTCACCTTTTTAAAACAAGGTAACTCACACGAAAATCTTATCTATATAATGGTTAGTCAACATCTTCTCTAGTAGACTCTAGTAAAATATGCATGCAATTTTGGGGTCTACCTAATTTTCAAAACACTCCTAGAAATATTATCAATGCATATATATATATGTGTATATGTATATAGATGTGTGTGTGTGTCTATAAATGTTTCACACTGTGTGGTGTATATAGCATATTGCAATATGTTTTGCAGATAATCTTGTATAGTTTGTAAATATATTGCATATCATAGGTGTGATGGGGTGGGTGTGATATGGGAGCCAAAGACCATATTTGGTTGAACACCATCCTATTTCGGTGGGGAATGCCCACCCTCTTCAAGCCCCTCAATCTCCATGGCAAGCCTTGACACTGGACAAGTCCTTAGCAGAGCGCAAGCTGAAGGTGGATAATGGTTGGCCAGGAATACGAAAAGAACACAAAAAAAATAAAAAAAATCTAATGGGGGGGCATCAATTTCAGGAATTCAATTTTGTGGAGGTACCTTTCTGAATCATCAACGACGAGTGTAAATACGGAGCTGGCATCAACTCTAAATCTGTAGGATTCCGAAAGAATGTTACATAGAACATCACCATCAAAGCAGGGGGTATCACACGACCAGCCAGTTTTTTTGATATGACTATTAATGACTATGTATATATTTGGAAGGAAAGTCCTGACAAACCTTGTTCATGTTTCTATGCTCTGCGGAGGGATTGCCTTTTTTCAACGCGGCAGTCTGTGCAAACTTCATTGGCGAAATTTAAGTCAACACCTCTCCGCGAAATCGAGCACTTCTGGCCCTGTCTGTGGCAAGGAGCACATCAAAAGAACAGCCGTGGACTCATCATCTGCCTTATCGGGGTTGCTTGCAGCAAACTGAGCCCGGAGGGTCTCCGCAAAGCCTGTTCTCCGGCAAATTCCCACCGAAGCAAACCTTGGATTTGCGATCCAGGGGGGCATACATTACCAGTAGTACCGCGCAAGGCTGTGGCGGAAGTTTCAAAAATAGGAAACCTATAGGAGAGCTTGGTTGTTGTGAATCCGGGATGGCAGAGCGAAGCCACTGATGGACTGAAAGGTGCTTGATCTCTCTCACTCTTTCTCTCTCTTTCTCTGACTATCTACCTACCTACCTACCTATCTATCTATTTTCTATGTATCTATCTATCTATCGATCTTTCTAGTGTAGTGTAATGTAGTGTAGTGTAATTTAGTGTAGCGGTGTGTGGTGGAGTGTAGTGGAGTGTAGTTGTGTAGTTCTGTAGTTGTAGTTGTAGTGTTGTGGAGCGTAGTGTAGTGTAATGTACTGTAGTGTGTGGAGTGTATAGTGTAGTGTAATGTAGTGTAGTGTAGTGGAGTGTATAGTGTAGTGTAATGTAGTGTAGTGTAGTGGAGTGTAGTGTAATGTGGCGTAGTGTATTGTAATTTAATCTAGTGGAGTGTAGTGGAGTGTAGTTGTGTAGTTCTGTAGTTGTAGTTGTAGTGTTGTGTAGTGTAGTGTAATGTACTGTAGTGTAGTGGAGTGTATAGTGTAGTGTAATGACCCGAAGCGAAGCGACATCTGAACCACCAAAAGTGGTCCGAACCCCTAGTGTTTTGTACATTTTGACTTCGAAATGTGCTTCGCGCCACAACGGCGTGCACTTTTTCGAGATCTGAACCTCCAAAAGTCACGCGAACATGTGGTTTTTTGTACATTTTGACTTCGAAATGTGCTTCGCGCCACAACGGCGTGCACTTTTTCGACATCTCAACTTCCAAAAGTGGTCCGAAGCGGGTGTGTTTTGTGCATTTTGACTTCGAAATGTGCTTCGCGCCACAACGGCGTGCACTTTTTCAACATCTCAACTTCCCGAAGGTGGTCCGAACCCCTCAGTTTTTAACACATTTGACTTCCAAATGTGCTTCGCGCCACAACGGCGTGCAACTTTTCATCTCTCATCTCCCCAGATGTCTCCGCACCCGCCGCTTTAGCGAGCCTACTTTTCAACCCTCCGGAGCCACAAAACCACGAAGAAACACAGTGTTTCGCGACTTTCCTACCTTTTCGCGCACCTGCATCTTCTTTCTTCTGATCTTTTCTCTTCTGACTCTTATCCCTGCTGACTGGTTTTTCATCTCTCCATATTGTCGGAAGTTTGACTTCCAAACTTCCTTCGATAAATATCCCTAATAGATTCCCCATTGAATGCAAATGCACCAAATTTTCCATTCAACCAATCAAGGACATGTTTTCTTTTTTCATAGCTCATTCTTTGCCAGTTACCTGGTGTTTTTTGGGGATTGTCATCCAGTGAAGCGCAAATGCACAGCTTGCTGTTTCTATGACAGGAAACACAAAAGAGGCTGGAATAGCCATAGGTCTGCAGCCGGCCATTGTGACCCTTAGCTTCCGTGCATTGGTCTCGACATCGCTGTTTGTTTTCGTCCAAGGACCCATGGTGATAATGCCAGTCGTCCATGATCCAAGGACAATTGCCAGGGGCATAGGCGCTTCTCTCACCTGGAAACATGTGAAACAAACTTGGACCCCCAGTCCATGGTTTAAAACCATTTAACAAATTCGTATAATTTTAATATAATATATATATATATTGTGATTTTTTCTGATGCTTTTAAGGGCAATTTAGGAACCTGGAAGTTGGATGCCCACACAGCCGGGGTTGTATGGATTAATCATCTTGATTTTTATCAAAAAGCCACCTGTCTTGGCTTCTGACTCTTCGCTTTGCTTGCGACCTTCCAGTTGCAAGAGATGTGTGGCCAGCTCACTTTCGGTGACATCCAGGGCCGCCTTTATGTCGTCATCTGCAAAGCCCAATGTCACCAAAGAGCTAACGAAGAGCTTCAGCTTCATGACGCAGCTGGCAAGTTGAACCAAGCACTAGGAGAACAAAAAGAAACACTGCGAACAAGAAAAAGTTGAGCCAACAGCCTCAGTTTCAAATGTAATGATGGTGGTGAATGCATGTGAATGCCAGATTTTATTGATGAAACGCAATGACATAGCGTCCTAGAAATGGATAGAAATGGGAGAATGCTCTAATTGTTTGGACCATTTTTTGGTCCCAAAGAAGTGGGGAATGCGATGAGATACCAGGTGCAATATTAGTTTGCCAAAGCATCTCTCTCCCGAAAAGTAACCTAATGTCTCTGGGTCAAGCTGAAATGGGCGCTCAACCACCATACTAGAACCGGCCAAAGCCAATGGTTGCTCCCCAATCGCCATCTTCCAGGAGCTGCAAGCTGGGAGCTGGATGTCACTAAGGTTCAAAGCTAACGGTTCCATTGGCTCCAGTGGCAGTGCAGGTAGCCTGTTCAGCGGTTGAATCTACACCAGCCATGCACAATCTAAGATGTTAGATATGTTAGGTTGAAACACATGTAGCTGACTTAGGCACCTTAAAACATTTGGATAAAGAGTCGCTCAAAAATGATGTCCTCTTGGTCTACACCCAGCAGTCGCGAAACATGGGGGACCAACTCGGCCTTATCATGCGCTTTCTCTTCCTGCAGATGTGCATGCATCTGCAGCGCCTGCAACGTCGTCGACCCAGTGACTTCATCCCTTCCGGGAATCCCCAGGGTTCAAACGGGGAACGTCCCTCTGCTGCGCTGGAAGTAATTCGAATAAAGTTACCCATCCAAGAACTGTAGACTCACCTCCGCAAATTAACAGCACGGATAGAAATAGTTAGCATCAAAAGGGCTACACGACAAGATTTGGGGATATGGCTACGGCAAAACAAATCATTTGACTGCACAGTCATAGGATGTCATAGGAAATTTACAATCAATCATAGGTACGCATAGGTACTCTAGGATGTCCTCGCAATCATATATACATAGATATACCAATAGATGCACTCCGGCGAAGGATTTCCTAACCAATTTACTGGAGAGTAATGAAGATAAGAAACCGTTAGATCATATGGATTCAATCGACTTAAAGGAACAACATGAAGGAACCTAGTGTCCATCCACTGGTTTATCAGATGAATCAAATATTTTGTTTTCCTCCTACTAAGTGGCAACGTTTTCCATTTTCAGCCACAACCATAGATTTCCAACACATCCGCCTGAAGAATCTGCGAATGCATCTCCATGAGGCTTGACCTTCAAGAAACATGTCGCTGCACTTTAAACCCAACGACTCATGGAATACCCCTAGGTTGGTTAAGTGTGGGTTATCACTACAAAAAAGGTAAAATGAGTCATTTGACTTTCAGGGCTATGTGTTCTACAGCATATGTTCATGTACCTACATATGTAAGTTCATGATATATATTACATATATATATAATATGTATGTATATATGTATGTATGTATGTATGTATGTATGTATGTATGTATGTATGTATGTATGTATGTATGTATATGTAAGTATGTATGTATGTATGTATGTATGTATTTATGTATGAAAGTATGTATGTATGTATGTAAGTATGTATGTAAGTATGTATGTATGTATGTAAGTATGTATGTATGTAAGTATGTATGTATGTAAGTATGTAAGTATGTATGTATTCTTGCAAGTATGTATGTATGTATGTATGTACGTATGTAAGTATGTATGTATGTATGTAAGTATGTATGTAAGTATGTATGTATGTAAGTATGTATGTATGTATGTAAGTATGTATGCATGTATGTATTTAAGTATGTATGTATGTATGTATGAAAGTATGTATGTATGTATGTAAGTATGTATGTAAGTATGTATGTATGTAGGTAGGTATGTATGTATGTAAGTATGTATGAATGCATGTATGTAGGTATGTATGTATGTATGTAAGCATGTATGTATGTAAGTATGTAGGTATGTAGGTATGTATGTACGTATGTATGTATGAAAGTCTGTAAGTATGTATGTATGTATGTATGTAAGCATGTATGTATGTAAGTATGTAAGTATGCAAGTATGTATGTAAGACTGTATGTATGTAAGACTGTATGCATGTATGTATGTATGTATGTATGTAAGCATGTAAGTATGTAAGTATGTATGTATGTATGTAAGTATGTATGTATGTATGGATGTATGTATGTATGTAAGTATGTATGTATGTAAGTATGTATGTAAGACTGTATGTATGTATGTATGCAAGTATGTAAGTATGTATGTAAGTATTGTATGTATGTATGTAACTATGTAAGTATGTAAGTATGTAATGTATGTATGTAAGTATGTATGTATGTATGTATGAATGCATGTATGTAGGTATGTATGTATGTATGTAAGTATGTAAGTATGTATGTATGTAAGTATGTATGTATGTAACTATGTATGTATGTATGTATGTATGTAAGTATGTATGTATGTATGTATGTATGTATGTATGTATGTATGTATGTATGTATGTATGAAAATATGTATGTATGTAAAATATGTATGTATGTATGTATGTAAGTATGTAAGTATGTATGTAAGTATGTATGTATGTAAGTATGTAAGTATGTATGTATGTAAGTATGTAAGTATGTATGTATGTATGGAAAAAAAAAATGTATGTATGTAAGTATGTAAGTATGTAAGTATGTATGTATTTTTGTAAGTATGTATGTATGTAAGTATGTATGTATGTACGTATGTAAGTATGTATGTATGTAAGTATGTATGTATGTAAGTATGTATGTATGTAAGTATGTAAGTATGTAAGTATGTATGCATGTATGTATTTAAGTATGTATGTATGTAAGTATGTATGCATGTATGTATTGTATGTAGTATGTATGTATATGTATGTATGTATGTATGAAAGTATGTATGTATGTATGTAAGTATGTATGTAAGTATGTATGTATGTAGGTAGGTATGTATGTATGTAAGTATGTATGAATGCATGTATGTAGGTATGTATGTATGTAAGTATGTAAGTATGTAAGTATGTATGTAAGTATGTATGTATGTAACTATGTATGTATGTATGTATGTAAGTATGTAAGTATGTAAGTATGTAAGTATGTATGTATGTATGTATGTACGTATGTATGAAAAAATGTATGTATGTATGTAAGTATGTATGTAAAAATGTAAGTATGTACGTATGTAAGTATGTAAGTATGTAAGTATGTAAGTATGTAAGTATGTAAGTATGTATGTAAGTATGTAAGTATGTAAGTATGTAAGTATGTAAGTATGTAAGTATGTAAGTATGTATGTATGTATGTACGTATGTATGTGTGTATGAAAAATATGTATGTACAAAGCATCTACCAACTTGACTAAGGCCCCCAGCAAGGCGGCATCATAGGCCGAGGCCAAATCAGTGGTCGGCGGCCTTTGCGGGATCGTTGAATGTTGAGGCTGCGCATCCCGGAATGTATCTATCTATCTGTCTGTCTGTCTATCTACCTATCAATCTACCTATCTATCTATCTACCTAGCTACCTATCTATCTATCTATCTATCTATTTATCTACGTATTTACCTATCTACCTATCTATCTACCTATCTACCTATCTACCTATATATCTATCTGCCTACCTATCTATCTGCCTATCTGCCTATCTGCCTATCTACCTATCTACCTATCTACCTATCTACCCATCTACCTATCTACCTATATATTTGTCTGGCTATCTGTCTATCTACCTATCTACCTATCGAGCTATCGATTTATCTATCTATCTATCTATCTGTCTGTCTATCTATCTATCTACCTATCTATCTATCTACCTGTCTATCTATCTATCTGTATATCTATCTATCTATCTATCTATCGATCTATCTATCTATCTATCTATCTATGCACATGTGTATGTATATGTACATGACACATGTCACATGTCATATTGAAAAAAGCACATTATCCTATGTCAGGTCATTTTAGAGTATTCAGATAAAACATAAATTACATATGTGTGTTTCCCTTCCGGATGGTGCCACCATGTATCACCATGGCATCATTGACAACGTTTCACACACACACATATCCCATCAAAATTATGTGTATACAGTATATATATATATATAATGTTGAAATCAGAAGAAGAAGGGATGGTTAGCATTTCCAACGGTTGAACCCCCTATACAAACATGATTGAAATCAGATCGAATATGCAGTAACTTGTCAATACCATGTCAATAAATGATCATCCTTCGCCAAGCCGACATCCAATGACGTCTTGGTGCCGCTTGGTTGAGAACTCGATTCCGCCGGAGTTTGTCTGAAAATAGTGTTCCCCCCCATTCGATACTCATTTCTTCCCATTAAAATGGCCATTTAAAGGTATACCATGGCTGGTTGGTGGTTTCAACCCCTCTGAAAAATCATAGTCAGTTGGGATGATGACATTCCCAATATATGGAATGTCAAAAACATGTTCCAAACCACCAAGCAGATGGTTTCTCCCGGCCCCGCCATTTTCAGACCCATATTTTGATGGTGAACATGCCGAAAAATCACCTGAGGCATCCTGCGGTATGTCTAACTTCTTATCAACTCTCTCCTGTGGCAGCGCCTCCTCAAAGGGGGCAGATGAAAGTGCTGGGAGTCATGGGAGTGATGGGTTTCAAGGGGAATCTCCGGTAAAAAGAACCCAAACAAATCAAACAAATTGGAAATTCCTAATTTAATAATAATGCAAAATCACGTTGAATTTCAATTTCATTCACTTCCCCAAGTTTAGTGGTTCGGACTGCTATTGCATCCCCAACTTTGAATCCAAAAATGAAACAAGACCCAATGAAACCCGCTAGCTTCTTTCTCCCTACGCCGCAAATTCATCTATCCCATGAAGCCCTTCGCCGTTCCTCTTCATCTTTCTCCATGCTAAACTCGCACTTCGGAGAGCCGGCACCTCGAAGGCAACCAAGTCCGGTGTCAACCTCTTTTTGTACACACAAAAGTTGCTTCAAACCCGAGCGATCAAACACCCGGATTTTAGTGGATTCATGAGTGGATGTGTATTATGTTTCAATATGTTTCAATATGTTTCAATATGTTTCAATCTGTTGTACGTATTTCGAGGCCTACACGTGGAACTAATCACAAAAGCGGCAGCGGCATGCTTAAACAATGTCAGACCACCCTAAAATGATCAAACAATGCAGATCTGACCCCAAAAAACCTTGGATGATCATGTGGCTGGGAAACTCGATTCGTTGCTCCGCCTGTGGCCCCCAACAGGTAGCAGCTCCGCAACCAGTCGCCCGCGAAAGGTGCTTTGAACCAGGGGTCGTGGCAGTGCTTTGTCACTGAGGTAACGGGCCCATCAGATCTTCAAAATGAATCATACCTAGCCTAGACCCTCCAAGTAGCCAAAGCAATTGTGGTAGTTTACCCCAACAAATACAAGAGTTTTATGTGTAAGCAACTTGCATGTGCTTGATGAGGGTCCGGGTATGCCAAGCATTCAATCATGCAGAGTTGACGAGCAAAAAACATTTGTCCAACTGTCCAATCATGTCCAATTGCTCCGCAACGAAAAGCTGATGCACCGCCAAATCAGTGCTGCAAACACACTCAAAAAATCGCCGACTTACTTTCAAGACCCAAGCACAATAGGCAAAGTAAATTGGATGGTTCTTGGAAACTGGCCATCCCAAACCCAAATGGTTTATCATCATATTCCATCATTTTGCCATCAAGATAGCCACTTTGGGTTATCCCCCATTGTAAGCCAAACCTGAGGTGGAAAACCTTAGGTCCGTCGCTGAGGATGTATTCTTTGCTAAACGTCGTCCTGACCAAGCACATGTGGCAATTTGTTCCCACAGCGCTGGAGAAAAGGATCCTAATTAACTGGAGTTTTTTCAAGGGTCCTCTGAATTGGGGGCCCTTCATCCTATAAATTTTATCGGTGACAATCCCCAAGTTTGCCTACAACATCCCATTTTGGTGTGCCCGCGCAGCTTTGGTTTCAAGGTCGCTCCTCTTGCTCTCGGGCGAAGCGGACAAAAACCTGTGGATTTGTCAAAACTCGTGACAGCTCCCTGCAAGCTGCAAGAACCACACCCAAGGTGAAACAGATCTACGTAAACTGAAATCTGACATCGAACCCTGCAAAAAAGGGCTCAGAAAATCAACAGTTACACACATATTTATAAACATTCAGTGGTTCATTCAGTGAGCTGCGCATGGATTCTTTATGATTCGTTCATTTCATGGTCATCTTAACAACCATGTGCTCATTTGTTGATGCACCTCACAACTTCAACACTTCATTGCTTATACATAGCAAAAGCTTTCCTATAGGATATTGATTTCCGCCATTTCAGTTTTTCGCAACTTCCACCCCAGCGCGTGCCGGGCACTACTGGTAAACAATTATAAACAACGCACGCATATAAACACCATTGAGCAATTTGCACATCGGTTACGCCATCTTTTCTTGCTGATCCCAGCGCGAAACGCACCTGCTCCAGGGAAGGCTGATTGATAAAGTAGTATGAGATGCCCAAAGCGATTTTGTTTTGTTCGACCTGAAATGGAGATAAATATGGAGCCACTGGGGTTATGTCAAAAATATGACTAGATTCACAAAAGGGGGAATCGGATTAATCACATTTAAGTTATCCTGCCCAAAAGTTGCAAGATCAAACTCAAGATTGTTACTGTACTCAAGTTTCCCTGTGCCAAACTTCTGAGAGTCCTAATCTCGTTACTCACGTTTTGTGTTGCCCTACCTGAAAAATTGAGACACAACAAGGTTTTTTGTAAAGATGATGTATCGCGTCAAAACTGTTTGGAATAGAGCACGGCCATCCAAAACCTTTTTGTTTTTAGGTAGATGACGTGCCCACTCAAACTCCCTTAAGTGGAGGTCTCTTTGCAATAGCACCTTAGAGGTTCCAAATTCAAATGTCAAACACGGATCAAAACATCAAACAAAACATAAATTGCATAGACATAATATAAGTCCTGTGAATCTAGATAAGTAGATAAGTACTTTAGATATAGATAGATGGATAGACTGATAGATGATTGATGGATGGATGGATGGATGGATGGATGGATGGATGGATGGATGGATGGATGGATAGACAAGTAGACAAATACATCTTCCAAATAAGGCTACATACCCAATGCCATAAACAATCCTAGAGGTTTATGAAATTGGGTATGGATGATGTTTGGCATGACCCCCAGTCACGCTTAGTCACTGAGACGGTGACTCTGGCATTGGGTTTACCCCATTAATAATGGCCAGCAACGGTTCAAAATGGTTCGTAATGGATAGTAATGGTTAATGAGAAGGCTGAGAAGGCATACAACCAACAATGATGTGATGCATCACCCATATTTCCTAGTAGTGGTTAGGGTAAACTAACAGTTGGATGTGGGGAAAAACACTATGTCTGTGTAGTTTCCATGGCTTTCACCATGGGTTTTTCATGGTTTTTCCACATCTTTGTTGTTCAAACGGTGACCGTCAAAACGGTCACCGTTTGTTTGAGATGAACGGTGCCGCCAGAGCCACTCCTAGGAAGATCTGGCCAAGGCTGGAGTCCTCGGCAAATCACGGCTGGGCAGGTATCATGAATCATGGCAATTGTCTAATGATGGTAACCATAGGAAAATGGTGATTTAATGGTGATTAATCCATGATTAATGGTGATTAATGGTGATTTACCATTCTAATATAGTTAGGGTTTTATACCACCCATTTTTGATGATCCCATTTTTGATGATTTATACCACCCATTTACGGTGAATTTGGGAATGACAATAGTTATATATAGTAATAGTTACCATCTGGTTATGACTAACATAGCCATGGTATAGATGGTCCATAGAAATAGATGGTTTACCTATTAATAGCATGGTGATTTTCCATGGCTATCTTAAATAACCAAATGGTACATACAGTTATGATATGCAACATGGCAATTGGTATAGTCGCTGAAACAAAGTATAATTATGATTGTATACCGTTTACCTATTTATTACGTAGAGTCACTAAAACATATTATGCGGTATTCTCATAGAGTATGTTATAGGGTGATGAATGTGCATATGATTCCTAATAATACCCTACAATTGTCTGCTATAGATACTAATACCCAGTAAGAAAGAAACAGTACAGTGTACTATCGTTTGTTCTTTGATATTTCTGCAAGCAGGACAGAATCATGAAGAATCTACCCTCTGGCAAACTAACACAACTATGGAAAATCACCATTTTTAATGGGAAAATCCACTATAAATTGCAATTTTCAATAGCTATGTTAAATTACCAGAGGGTAGTGACTGTGGCCATCAGCCGCAAATATGTCATGCATCCCTTGAGCGCCGTGCTTTGGGCAACTGGAAGAGGAACCTGTCAGGGACCGGCTCCGGCCGTGCTCCAAGGGATGAAAGTCACTAATTGTTTAAACCGTCAAAGCCAAAGACATCCACAATGTTCGCAATGTTCATAACCCCGGTTGATTTAATATACAATGATATGGGATGGTACTACTAAATTCTTACCTGGTTGGTGGTTTTAACCATCTTGAAAAAATAGTTATTAGTCAATGGAAAGGATGACATCCCATATATTGTGGAAAATAAAACATGTTCCAAACCACCAACCAGTTACGGTACTTCTGGGCATCCCTATCCACCTGGTCCATTCAACCCTCATCCGCCTGCCCGTGCCGTGATGCTCCAGGCGATGTCCGCTTCCAGGGGCCAAAGTCTCGACAAAGCCCCGGAGCTCCTGCAACGGATTTCCCGGTCCATTTTGGGCAGGAAAAATCTACAGAACACATGGGAAGATCATGGAAATTGGATGGCAACGGCTACCTAGAAAACACCCACTTGAAGCTATGAAAAACCACTGGGTTATACCAAGCCAATGATTTTTGATGATGATCTCCAGGAAGAACTTGTTTCATTGTTTTTGGCACATTTTGGCACCCGTTATGCTCAAGTAATGAATCTGTATGCCACAAACATCGCTCTCTTCTCCTGCGCTTTGCTCTCTGCATCTGCGCCTGACAACACATCCATGAGTGCATTGCCAGTTCAGAAAAACACAGAGAAACTTTGTAGCCCTCAATTCCCCACTTCACGCCCCTTAAAAGAACACACCCATGGTTTTGGTGGTTACTCTGTTACTCTCTTCGTTTCGAGATCCTAAAATGGCAGCTTTATTGAATCCTTGGATGGGATGATTCCACGCTCCACTGCTTCAAAACGCCTCTGCAATCACAGAAAAGCTCCAACTGGCAACCAGATCCATATTCTTTCCTCGGCACGATGTGGGCGGCAACCAAGACATCCAAAATGCTGCTGAAAGTTTCATGTTGAATGATTCTTTGTATCGGGACCTCTTGTAATGTAACTTAGCTATGGGAATCACCATGTTTAATAGGTAAGCAATTGAACTAAATAGGCGTTTTTTCTTCAACAGCAAACTGTTGAATCACCAGAAAGTAGACACTCTGGTACTTTTGACTTGGTCAGTTCCCCTCTGGGTCAAGACTGTCAAACTTTTAGACCTTTAGACTCCGCTGGGCCCCGCAAATGTTGCTCATTCTGTGTATTCGACCACCCGGACTTTTGGATCTCCAATGATTCCAAAATCAATACACCACCACAGCCCAAGAAAACACACAGAAAAGGAGTCAGCACAGCCTCTAAAAATACACAAAGTCGGTATATGGAGTGATTTTCAGAGTGACCAATTCTGACAACAAATCACCATTATTAACCATGATTAAACACTACATACTACTATTTTTCACACTATGAAGCACTACTTCTAACTAACCTTGTTTCACGCCTGTTTGTAAACGTCACGGGCTCCCGGGCTTGATGTGGTCAGGGGATCCCAAACAGCGCAGCTGCCCACGGACCTGTCGGACTGTCAAACTACCAAGACATACTTACAATGAATAGCTATCATAACTGGACATCTATTAGTTACAATGAAATATGGTTGTGAGTATCTATAGTATTTTTAGAGTATCTATATCAATAGCATCTATACCTAGAAATAGTTACAATGGTTGTAAGTCCTGTAGGTTATCTATAGTTAACATTGTTTTTAGAACAGTAACTATAATTGCCAACTGTCTGCCAAGAACTGGAGTATCAGTTATTCAAATTATCAGCTATAATTAGTTAGAAGTTAAACATGGTTGATTATAGTATCAGTTATTGTCCAACAATGATAGTGATAGTTGATAATCAAATTATACCCTATTATCATTGTCTTTTCCAGTCATAATCAGAATTGTCAACTATATAACTACCAATAATTATCAAATTAGTATGTATCAGCTAGTATCACTTAGTATCAGTCAGTATCAGTTAGCATCAGTTAGTATCAACTAGTTGATAGTTGGTATAGTTAACTATTCTCAATAATTTGATTTAGAATATCAGTTGGCATCAATAACCATGTAGAGTGTAGTATAATTATCAACTATTGATAATATTCAGTTATAATTTAATCAACTTCTTTGGCCCCTGTCATTATAGTCTGATAATAATGGTTGATACTCTAATTATGCTCTGTTATTGTGGTGTTCCAGTCATAATTACAATGACCAACAATATAACATTATGTATGAGGGATACTAGAACCGTTGATAAAACTGGACGTATAACTTTAACTTTAACAGCTGGTTTCAAGATATTGATATTGGAACTACCAATAGTGGGTGTATAACTAACAATAAAAGATGAACATGCATAATTCGTTGGAATATGTTGGAATATTCTCGGAAACCCTGGCTGCCATAAACAGCCGGGGATAGGTTGCACCCATAAGGCCATGCTGACTGTGGCCACTGGGGGATGGTTTATAGCAACACCCCAGATGCCGAAAAGCGGTTGAAGGATGTTATAGATTATATTGTTGCTTCATATGATTCATATGTCCATGTTTCTCACTGTTCTATCTTTTTCAGGGGTTGCCGGGTTGCTATAACCTATTTAAATAGTCAGTGGTTTAAATAACTGGTATTTGTTTGCAAAAAAATGGTAAGGTCTCTGTTCAGAGTGTTCATAAAAAGTAAGTGTCACGTAATAAAGACAATAAGATCAAAAACAATATTATATATATATATGTATAATGGTCACAATATATAAAAGTAATAGGCTACTAGTTACCATGACCTTGAAACTAACTCTCAACTATCATTGGATTGGTTTGAGGAAATAAATAAATATATACATAGGGTTCCTGCGTCCTTTTGTTTTTGTTTGCATGTTTTTTCCGCAAGTTCATTATGTCTGCATTTTCCAGTCGAAGCCTGTTGCTGCAATACATAATCCTATCATCAATTCTGGGAAACTAAACTGATGTGATTGATATTCGCAATCAAGCTTCTTCTGAAGCGGTAAATCGTTTTTTTAGCCGCTGTTAACCAGTTTAGGTGCAATCATTAACAAGAGTAATAACTTGCCAATTTCTGTGATTAACAACTTCTAACACCAATCAGAAAAAATAGATATTGCAAATAAGAACGGTAACACACAAAAAAAAAACACGTAATAACAGTGATAATGAGAAAAAGTGTAAAGACAAATGACAATAACTATGGTAACAGTACTACTATATACTATACTGTATATAATATATGAACATAATGAAATTATATGCTAATAATACTATGTAAGGGTAATAGTGGTAATAACAACTACGTCAGACCCTCGGAATCAGAGATTGATTGACAAGTTTTTGTAGTAGAACCGCGCAGTAACAATCAACTGTTGAAGCGTGGGATATTAATTATGGACGTGCCAACTGGCTTGTCTTTGGAGAAGATTCCATTCATATCCCATTTATATACCATTAGAAATTAAATCCGCACCAAGTTTGTCAAATGTGCAAAACATTGGAAAACCACATTTATGACCCATACCCAATTTACACACTACTAACCGCGGCCCCTCTGCCTGAATGGCAATTCGGTCGCAAAGCGCTTCTGCCTGGTTCAATGCTTCGATTTGAGGGTTTGTTCTAAACCTTATTCGCCCAACAAATGTGAGGTTTTCCTGTAGCAAATTCCTTCAGGTCCACGATGATGATGCGATAGTTATGGTATTGGCTGATTGTTTGTTTCCTATTTTTCTCTGAGACATCACAGGGTCTCACCCTTTCATACCCCCATGAGAAGTGAGTCATGCATCAAATACCATCATATAAATATACTGTACATCTTAAAATCTCACTGGGTAATGATTCCACTAGCTAGGATAGGATCTAACAGCATCTAATACTTGCGATTCTTATTTCATATATGTTCATATCCTATTGAACACTGAGGTTGTTAGAGAACACCAAACTTCCAAACTTTGGGCTTGACGAGCCACCAGAATTGCATTCCTTGGGCTGTCCAGTAATCAGTGAGAAAAGCCTGGCAATGGAAAATTCCGCGGAAACTCATCCAAAAAACATTCAGATGTTTCTTGAACTAATAAATGCCAATAATGTTAATTAATTCATTTCAGATAAAATAATTCATTCAAACCAGATTTTCGTGGGATTTTCCATCTTCCCACGTCCTGATTTTTCCTTGATGTTCACGGATGTTTTTTTTTCCGATGATTTTCAGGATTTTCCCCATGGATTTCCCATGATTTTCAGGATGCTCCCATGGATTTTCGACCTTCGACCTTCGATCATCACAGCGACTCGCCTCCTCCATGGAGTGAGTGGTCACGACCACCGTCTGCTCTCGGCCCCTTCGCCGCAAGACCTCCATTTTCGCCGATGGGAGGGAAAAAATATGGCGGAATCAATGGGAAAATATCATCTATAGTGGTTACCCTCTGGTAATTTCACATAGCTGTTGAAAATGGTCATTTATAGTGGATTTTCCCATTAAAAATGGTGATTTTCCATAGTTATGTTAGTTTACCAGAGGGTACTAATGGCTATGATGATGGTTAAATATCATCTATATGTGGATCTATATCAACTATTAACTAATGGCTATGATGATGGGAAAAAATGTTGTTTTTTGGATTGTGAAAAAGTGGTGCTCAATTGTTATTCATGCAGATTTATTCTCTGGTTATTGAATACAACTGTGAAAAATATTGTATTTAGTTCGATGATAGACATGATGATTTAGCATGATTTAGCTAATTATAGATGTTCCACTTCGCTAAGTGAGTCATAACCATTGGGTATCATCTGTACATGGTCATATTTCATGGGATATTCATGGATATTCTTGACATTCTATCAGGAACCTTGGGGAGTCTTAAGATCCATGAATCAATGGGAGATATGTGTAACCAAGAATAAAGAATACATAATATATATATAGATGCACTGGGGATTTACAGGAATAATCAGGAATATATGATCAACAAAAGAATTTTGGATAGTTTTGGGCGTCTCGAAATGGGGACTTACACGCCATGAACAATGTTCATGATCATGGGGGAAAAATTGACGACTCTTCTCGGATTTTGGTGTTTTTCCATATAGTTACTTTTCAGTCAACGCCATATTGTTGGAGTGGTTCGAAGGACAAGTCATCTTTGGAACTCGTATTTTTTTCTGTTCAATTTACCGGTCAAAAGTAGTCAAAACAATTCTTAATCCTATGAATGGCGAATATCAATCCATGGGACATGTCATACAAAATAGATTAAAACATCCATTACCATTCGACTAAAATCTTAAACCCATATTGCAAGTATGATCATATTCCTGGCCAAATTGCCTGAAATATCCTGAAATCAAATCCACTGCACCATTGCACTTCATGGTAATTAGGTTTCATTGTGCTCCATCCCTCCCACTGTCAAAAGGTTATGAGAATTTAAAACGATGCAACATCCCAACATACCAAAGTCAATAGATATTCCATTAGATTTTCTGTTCTCAACCTTTTTCTTCCCGAGGATTTACCATCCACTTTGGGGTGCAGTTCCAGTTATAAGATGTTGTAGGTAATATATATATATATAATAGAAGTAGTTGTAACATAGATGTAGGGGCCCCAGATATACACATAATAAAGCTAATAATTAAAGCATATATGTTCTACCGCTCCCGATTCCACCCTGCCCATGGCGGTGACCGGTCGCCTTCCAGAGGTGTCGCTTGGCTCCAGCATCCACCGCGGCCGAGGGCTCATCGAGAAACAGCAAGGGCGAGCGCCCAATCAGCGCAATCGCCAAGCTCAGCTTGCCTTAGGCGGATCTGACCCAGGATTCTACCGGGTGGTGCCCCAGTTCGTTACCCAGTTCGAAAAACTGTAGCTAAGTTGGTGTAACTCCACTTTCCCTATATAGGAATTATACGGCATATACCGCCGGACTGAAAGTTAGAATGCCCATTTGGTGGCGGCAAGTGGATTTAGATATCCATTTCCGCGTACCGCGTGAGAAATTTGGGAGGCATTCTAACCCTATTTATTTAGTCCTGAAACCCCTAAACAAATCCGGGACGGCATTCTAACCCTATTTATGTAGTCCTGAAGACCCCAAAACTCCAAAATATCGAATTTTCGACCGTCCCGTGTCTTCCATGTACTACAAATATGCAGAATATGCATGAAATCTACCCAACAATACAATGAAAAATAATGAAAAACATCTTTAAAACATTGAAAAGTCAATGAAAAATGATGAAAAACATGTAAACACATTGAACAATCAATGAAAAATAATTAAACACATCTTGAAAATAATGAAGAATCATTGAAAAATAATGAACAACATCTTCAAAATAATGAAACATCAATGAAAACCATCTTTAAAATAAAAAACATTGAACAATAATGAAAAACATCTTCGAAATACTGAAAAATCACTGAATGCCGTCCCGGATTTTTTAAAAGGGGTTTCGGGACTAAATAAATAAGGTTAGAATGCCTCCCGGATTTCTCACGCGGTACACGTTTTTTTTTTTGAAATCCATGTCTTTCCACCAAAGTGACATTATAACTTTCAGTTGTACCATATAATTGGAAAAAAACAATGAAAAATAATGAAGCACATCGTCAAAATAACGAAAACACAATGAAAAATAATGGATCTACCCATGATCAATAAAAAAATGTCACAATATGCAGAAAAAATGCAATATCGTCATCCGCCGATCCAAGAACACCTCGTTTACTCACATCTGATATGTATGTACATGGTTGTAATTGTACATACATACAGCGCATATATGTGTGCATAATGCCGTTTTTGGAGGTTACCATACTGTTTAATCAACATTTCATTATCGTGGAGAATACCGTGGGAAAATCTCCGACGGGCATTCTAACCCTATTTATTTAGTCCTGAAACCCCTAAAACTCCAAAATTTTTGACGAACTTTTGACTGTCCCGTGTCTTCCATGTATATGGTACTGCAAATATGTAGAATACGCATGTAAATTGCCAAAAAAAACTACCCAAAACATGATGAAAAATAATGAAACAAATTCAAAAACACCAAAAAATCAATGAAACACATGTAATTAACAACATTGAAAAATCAACGAAAAATAATGAAACATCTTGAAAATAATGAAAAATCATTGAAAAATAATGAACTAACATCTTCAAAATAATTAGAATCAATGAGCACCATCTTCAAAATAAAAAAACACTGAACAATAATGAACAACATCTTCAAAATACTGAAAGATCACCGAATGCCGTCCCGGATTTTTTAAGGGGGTTCAGGACTAAATAAATAAGGTTAGAATGCCTCCCGGATTTCTCACGCGGTACACGGGCTTTTTCTTGAAATCCATGTCTTTCCACCAGGGTGGCAATATAACTTTCGGTTGTACCATATAATTAGGAAAAAAACAATGAAAAATAATGAAACACATCGTCAAAATAACGAAAAAACAATGAAAAATAATGGATCTACCCATGATCAATAAAAAATGTCACAATATGCAGAAAAAATGCAATATCGTCATCCGCCGATCCAAGAACACCTCGTTTACTCACATCTGATATGTATGTACATGATTGTAAATGTACATACGTACAGCGCATATATGTGTGTACAAGGCCGTTTTCGGAGGTTACCATCCTGTTTATTCAACATTTCATTATCGTGGGGAATACCGTGGGAAAATCCGCGACGGGCATTCTAACCCTATTTATTTAGTCCTGAAACCCCTAAAACTCCAAAATGTTTGACGCATTTTTCGACCGTTCCGTGTCTTCCATGCATATGGTACTGCAAATATGCAGAATATGCATGTAAATTGCAAACAAATCTTTCCATGAACAACAAACAATGTCATAATATGCAGAACAAATGCCATATCGTATTATAAATGTGTAGAATATGCAGGTATTCGCCAAAAAAACATGCTCATGATCAGCAAAAAAAATATATGACCACTAAAATTGACAGAATATGCAGAAAACAGGCAATATCGTCATCTGCCGATCCAAGAACGCCTCGTTTACTCACATCTGATATGTATGTGCATGATTGTAAATGTACATATATGTAGTATATACAGCGCATATATATATATATATATGTGTGTGTAATGCTGTTTTCAGAGATTACCATCCTGTTTAATCAAAATTTCATTGTCGTGGGGAATATCGTGGGAAAATCTCGACGGGCATTCTAACCATATTTATTTAGTCCTGAAACCCCTTAAAAAAATCCGGGACGGCATTCTATCCCTATTTATTGAGTCCTGAAACCCCTAAAACTCCAAAATTCTTGACGCATTTTCGACCGTCCCGTGCCTTCCATGTACTGCAAATATGCAGAATTTGCATGTAAATTGCGACCAAACCTTTCCATGGACAATAAACAATGTCATAATATGCAGAAAACATGCAATATCGTACAATCATGTATAATCAATATGTAGAATATGCAGGTATTCGCCAAGATAACATGCTCCTGATCAGCACAAAAAAATAACCACTAAAATTGACAGAATATGCAGAGAAAATGCAATATCGTCATCGGCCGATCCAAGACACCTCGTTTACTCACATCTAATATGTATGTACATGTACATATATGTAATATATACAGCGCATATGTATATCTGTGTATGATGCCGTTTTCGGAGGTTACCATCCTGCTTAATCAACATTTCATTATCGTGGGGAATACCGTGGGAAAATCCGCGACGGGCATTCTAACCCTATTTATTTAGTCCTGAAACCCCTAAAACTCCAAAATTGTTGACGCATTTTCGACCGTCCCGTGTCTTCCTTGTACTGCAGATATGCAGAATATGCATGTAATTTGCAAACAAATCTTTCCATGAACAATAAACAATGTAAACATTTGCAGAAAACATGCAACATCGTATTGTAAATTGTAAATTTAAATATGTAGAATATGCAGGTATTTGCCCAAAAAATATTGCTCATGATCAGTAAAAAAAGTACATGATCAATCAAAAATGACAGAATATTGAAAAATGCCATATCGTTTGTGTGTAATGCCGTTTTCGGAGGTTACCATCCTGTTTAATCAACATGTCATTATCGTGGGGAATACCGTGGGAAAATCCCCGACGGGCATTCTAACCTTATTTATTTAGTCCTGAAACCCCTAAAACTCCAAAATTATTGACGCATTTTTCGACCGTCCCGTGTCTTCCTTGTACTGCAAATATGCAGCATATGCATGTAAATTGCAAACAAATCTTTCCATGAACAATAAACAATGTAAACATTTGCAGAAAACATGCAACATCGTATTGTAAATTGTAAATTTAAATGTGCAGAATATACAGGTATTTGCCCCAAAACACTTGCTCATATCAGAAAAAGAACATGATCAACAAAAAATGACAGAATATTACAAAAATGCAACATTGTCTGTGTATAATGCCGTTTTTGGAGGTTACCATCCTGTTTAATGAGCATTTCATTATCGTGGGGAATACCGTGGGAAAATCCCCGACGCGCATTCTGACCCTATTTATTTAGTCCTGAAACACCTAAAACTCCAAAATTATTGATGCATTTTCGACCGTCCCGTGTCTTCCATGTACTGCAAATATGCAGAATACGCACGTAAATTGCAAACAAATCTTTTCATGAACAATAAACAATGTCATGATATGCAGAAAACATGCAACATCGTATTGTAAATTGTAAATTTAAATTTGCAGTTTTTGCAGGTATTTGCCAAAAAAACATGTTCATGATCAGCAAAAAAAACATCAATAAAAATTGACAGAGTATGCAGAAAAAATGCAATATCGTCATCCGCCGATCCAAGAACACCTCGTTTACTTACATCTAACATGTATGTACATGTACATTTATGTAATATTTACAGCGCATATATATGTGTGTATAATGCCGTTACCATCCTGTTTAATCAACATTTCATTATCGTGGGGAATACCGTGGGAAAATCCCCGACGGGCATTCTAACCCTATTTATTTGTTTAGTCCTGAAACCCCTAAAACTCCAAAATGTTTGACGCATTTTTCGACCGTCCCGTGTCTTCCTGTACTGCAAATATGCAAATATGCATGTAAATTGCAAACAAATCTTTCCATGAACAATAAACAATGTAAACATTTGCAGAAAACATGCAACATCGTATTGTAAATTGTAAGTTTAAATGTGCAGAATATACAGGTATTTGCCCCAAAAAACTTGCTCATGATCAGCAAAAAAGAAACCTGATCAACAAAAAATGACAGAATATTACACAAATGCAACATTGTCTGTGTATAATGCCGTTTTTGGAGGTTACCATCCTGTTTAATGAGCATTTCATTATCGTGGGGAATACTGTGGGAAAATCCCCGACGGGCATTCTGCATTCTAACCTTATTTATTTAATCCTGAAACCCCTAAAACTCCAAAATTTTTGACGCATTTTCGACCGTCCCGTGTCTTCCATGTACTGCAAATATGCAGAATATGCATGTAAATTTCAAAAGAATCTACCCATGACCAATAAAACATGTGATAGTAAGCAGAAAAAATGCAACATTGTATTGTTATTTACAATATGCAGAATAAACAGGTATTTGCCCAAAAAAACTTGCTCATGATCAATCAAAAAAAACACACTATGCAGAAAAAATGCAATATCGTCATCCGCCGATCCAAGAACACCTCGTTTACTCACATCTAATATCATCCAATATGTATGTACATGTATACATATTATGTAATATTTACAGCGCATATATATGTGTGTATAATGCCGTTTTCGGAGGTTACCATCCTGTGCATTTCAGGATGGTGGAGAATACCGTGGGAAAATCCGCGACGGGCATTCTAACCCTATTTATTTAGTCCTGAACCGTCTAAAACTCCAAAATTCTTGACGAAATTTTCGACCGTCCTGTGTCTTCCATGTACTGCAAATATGCAGAATATGCATGTAAATTGCAAACAAATCTACCCATGAGCAATAAAACATGTCATAATATGCAGAAAAATGCAACATCGTATTGTAAATTGTAAATTTAAATGTGCAGAATATACAGGTATTTGCCCCAAAAAACTTGCTCATGATCAGCAAAAAAGAAACCTGATCAACAAAAAATGACAGAATATTACACAAATGCAACATTGTCTGTGTATAATGCCGTTTTTGGAGGTTACCATCCTGTTTAATGAGCATTTCATTATCGTGGGGAATACCGTGGGAAAATCCCCGACGGGCATTCTGCATTCTAACCCTATTTATTTAGTCCTGAAACCCCTAAAACTCCAAAATTATTGATGCATTTTCGACCGTCCCGTGTCTTCCATGTACTGCAAATATGCAGAATTTGCATGTAAATTGCAGCCAAATCTTTCCATGAACAATAAACAATGTCATAATATGCAGAAAAATGCAATATCGCATTTTAAATATGTAGAATATGCAGGTATTCGCCACAAAACATTTTCATGATCAGCAAAAAAGTATAGATCACTAAAAATCACAGAATATGCACAGAAACAATGCAATATCGTCATCCGCCGATCCAAGAACGCCTCGTTTACTCACATCTAATATGTATGTACATGTATACATATATGTAATATATACAGCGCATGTATACATGTGTATAATGCCGTTTTCGGAGGTTACCATCCTGTTTAATCAACATTTCATTTTGTCGGCAATACCGTGGGAAAATCCCCGACGGGCATTCTAACCCTATTTATTTAGTCCTGAAACCCCTAAAACTCCAAAATTCTTGACGCATTTTCGACCGTCCCGTGTCTTCCATGTACTGCAAATATGCAGAATTTGCATGCACATTGCAACCAAATCTTTCCATGAACAATAAACAATGTCATGATGTGCAGAAAAAATGCAACATGGTATTGAACAATTTAGATATGAAGAATATACAGGTATTTGCCAAAAAAATGCTCATGATCAGCAAAAAAGACATGATCAATAAAACATTACAGAATATTGGACAAATGCAATAACGTCTGTGTATAATGCCGTTTTTTGGAGGTTACCATTCCGTTTAATCAACATTTACATTGTCGTAGGGAATACCGTGGGAAAATCCCCGACGGGCATTCTAACCCTAGGTATTTAGTCCTGAAACCCCTAAAACTCCAATTTTTTTGACGCATTTTCGACCGTCCCGTGTCTTCCATGTACTGCAAATATGCAGAATATGCATGTAAAATGCAAAACAAATCTACCTATGACCAATAAAACATATCATAATATGCAGAAAAGATGCAACATCGTATTGCAAATATAAATATGCAGAATTTGCAGGTATTTTCCCAAAAAAAACATGTTCATGATCAGCAAAAAAAAGATCAATAAAAAATGGCATATGCAGAAAAAATGCAATATCGTCATCCGCCGATCCAAGAACACGTCGTTTGCTCACATCTAGATTTCATTTATCTATTTAAAACCTATATAGAATTCATAAGTTTTAGGGGCATATGCTGCGGAGGCATTCTAACCTACAAAAAACAAGGTTTGGTGGCCCCGGCAAACCAAGCTTTTGGACGGTTTTCGACTACGGTATTTTACGGGTTTTTATGGGTTTTGATGAGTTTTTACAGGTTTTCGACGGTTTTTCTACGGGTTGTGGCGAAGCTGCTTCATCAAAAACCTGGTTTTGTTGGCTAAAACCTGTTTTTTTTCGCAGAAACTAGCTCAAAACCAGGTGTTGATACCTCGACCCGCTTTTTTCAGGGATTTGGTTGATGTAGGATATATGATGATGATATCAAACTTTGGTAAGTATTTATCTCAACCGTCATTGGGGACCAAGATTTCATTTATCTATATAAAACCTAGATAGAATTCAGAAGTTTTGGGGGCATATGCTGCGGAGGCATTCTAACCCTACAAGAAAGCAGGTTTGGTGGCCCCGGCAAACCAAGCTTTTGGACGGTTTTCGACTACGGTATTTTACGGGTTTTTATGGGTTTTGATGAATTTTTACAGGTTTTCGACGGTTTTTCTACGGGTTGTGGCGAAGTTGCTTCATCAAAAACCTGGTTTTGTTGGCTAAAACCTGTTTTTTTCGCAGAAACTGGCTCAAAACCAGGTGTTGATACCTCGACCCGTTTTTTCAGGGATTTGGTTGATGTAGGATATATGATGATGATGACATCAAACTTTGGTAAGTATTTATCTCAACCGTCATTGGGGACCAAGGTTTCATTTATCTATATAAAATCTAGATAGAATTCAGAAGTTTTGGGGGCATATGCTGCGGAGGCATTCTAACCCTACAAAAAACAAGGTTTGGTGGCCCCGGCAAACCAAGCTTTTGGTCGGTTTTAGACTACGGTATTTTACGGTTTTTTGTTGGTTTTGATGAGTTTTTACAGGTTTTCGACGGTTTTTCTACGGGTTGTGGCGAAGTTGCTTCATCAAAAACCTGGTTTTGTTGGCTAAAACCTGTTTTTTTCGCAGAAACTAGCTCAAAACCAGGTTTTGATACCTCGGCCCGTTTTTTTCAGGGATTTGGTTGATGTAGGATATAAATATAATATAAATATATATAATATATATATATTATATAAGATTTCAAAAATCTATATATAGAATTCAGCTGTTTTGGGGGCATATGCTGCGGAGGCATTCTAACCCTACAAAAAATAAAGGTTTTGTGGCCCCGGCACAACAGGTAGGCAAGTTTGATCAAACAATTTTTGAACATGTTTATCCACATTTACCAGCATAATACGGACTGAAAGGTAGAATTTTAGTAGAATTTTTAAGACAATTTTCGGGGGGGCATTCTAACTTTCCATGGTTTTTTTTTGGTGGCAGGCGCGTCATTCTAACTTTCAGTCCGGCGGTATATAAATATTATATAAGTATTATATAATAATATGTCATATATCTATGGTTGATGGGGATTATAAACCAACTTATAACTGGGGGGTCACCACCTGGTACAAGGCGAAATTCTCCAGAGTAAATTGTTGTAATTTCATCCGCAAAATGGGGGGGTGTTGATCGACAGAGTTAGCCCACCAAAATTGAGAAGTTTATGACTTGCAGTAGCTACAGGTTCTAAGGGTATAACCCCTCTGGTAGTCATGCACCAGGGTTTTTTCCCCCTTCCCGGGGAATTTGTTTCCCCCTCAATGCCGCATCAATTCCCTCGCTATTTGCAGCACGTTAAACCTCGAAGCTGCCATTTCGACGGTATTTGCAACATTTTGGAACCACTTCTACGGTAATTGCAGCATTTTGGAGCTAGAAACTGATGGTAAGTCAAGCATTTGGGAGCTAGAAGCTCTTATTTCTGCCGGAATCGGAAATTTTGGAGCTAGCAGCAATCTGGGGTTGGTTCAGCTAGAAGTGTTGTTGGGGGGCCTGCCTGCCTGCCTGCCTGCTTGCTTGCTTGCTTGCTGCCTTGCTCGGTTGCTCAGTTGCTCAGTTGCTCAGTTGCTCAGTTGCTCAGTTGCTTGCTTGCTTCCTTGCCTGGCTGGGTGGCTCGCTTGCTTGGCCTGCCTGCCTGCCTGACTTGCTTGCTTACTTCATTGTGAAAGGATGATCGGAGAAAAAAATCCCCGGGGAAGGGGAAAAAATACCCATGGGAAAAATAGTGCGCGGTAAAATATGGCAAGCCTGCAAACCTCATCTGAATGGTGTTTGGTGGCGTAATCGGGCTTTAACGGAGCTTAATAGGGATGTAATGGGATACATAACCAACAATATGCCTAGTTGTGGGGTGTACCAGTGTACCAGGTACCACCTTGTTGCATCTTGTTACTATCGCTGACCACGGCTGACGACAGGAGGGGTGCTTTTCAGGCACAGCATTTTGGGGAAAACCGTTTCCCTTTTCTTGGGGGGGACGGTGATGTGCCAGTAGAGGAATTGGTTTAAAGATAAAATCAGCATCATTGGAATCATTGGCTATTTTGGAGAGATTTGATGAAACTTGGGCCACTTCACACTACTTCACACCCTAGTGCCATTGCCAAAATTCAGGGACTGGCATCATGGTCAAAAGCTCAGCCTCTGACGTTTCATACCGCCGCTGTACCTGTCCACAATGGTCTGAAAATGAGGCATATATACGTCCGAATTGCGACTTTAATAGGGAAATGATGATAAACCATGATAAACCTTCGGTTTTCCATTGATTTCAGACACGCCCACTTGACAGTGACAGACTATAACAGACTGGATGCATGATGCAAAACGGCCCTCCCTTTGACAGTGCTGGTCAGCGCACTCCGTAGACTTTCTGTTCGAATCCTCACCTGCCAGAGTCTTCCGCATCGTAAACCTTCGACTCGATGCATCCCAGAATGATACGACTGTTACACCCAAATGATCAAATGCAGGTAAATATCCCATACATGGAGCATATGGGACAGGTTGAAGGGCTGTCAACAACTGAACAACCCTTTCTGCAAGACGCGTCTTGCGAAAATCAGGTGCCTGCTTCGGCATGCTTGTTCAATTCAAGCGTCATGAAACAATTTTAAGGACCGAATTCAAATCAAGGCCAGAATTCGTCACTCTTCAAACCTGGACGAAAATTCATGCTATTCTCATAGTATTTACAAAATGTATTGAAATCTAATAAGCCTAGCCCTACTCAAGCCCCACTGATGCGCTCATCATGGAAAAACAATGCATTGATGGGGCGCTTCTGAGGCTTCGCTGAATTACCTTGGGTCCCGGATCGCGCTGATCCGTCCACAGACCGCGGACTTCGCGATCTGGAGGAACTGCGGGACCGATGTTTTTGAGAAGACCCGGCAGATCCGGCAGATTTGGAAGATAGACTTCGGGCCTTTGACGGTTTTTTCCCATCCTTCTCCGTCTCCTTTGGTTCGCTGAGCAAACTCTGAAGCAAAGAGGCCAACTTCTCCTGTTCCTCATCAAAGGCCTCCTTGGTTGTTTCTTGACCCTCTGCCGAAGGTTTATAGCATTTAATAGGAAAATAGTAATAATTATAACTAAGTATGATAATAATATGATATGGTGGTAATACCAAATTATCTGCAAATATCTGTAAATTCATTGCCAAAAAGGGCATGATAGGCATCAGAAACCTCAGCAAGTATGGCTCAGGGGTTGGTGAATGTCCTAATTGAACATCGCCCAACTCTTGGAAAAATAATCTCCAAAATCAGAACGTCATCGTCATGTTCCCCATCCAAAACGAGACAATAATCCCAACCCCACAGGGCTTGATCCAATCCAAAGCTCTGCATCAGTCAAGGGCCGACGAAGGCCCATCTTGTGCTGCAGCACTTGGGGTTCCTGCGATATCACAAGATTCTGCCCGCGCGCGTGCCGCAGAAGAGCCGCCCAGTTGGCATCCTCCCGCAGGGCTTCCTCATCGCAGAGCACCACCATACCTTGGACGAAGTTTGCCCAAAGACAAACAGAAATCAACAGTGGATTTGCATGGATTCCCCACTAATTCTAGTGGATTGACTTTCAATTATAACTCTAAACTGTTCAAAACATTCATAAATTGCTTGGGAAAATCACAGAAAAATCGACTCAGAAAAAATCCAAGGAAAATGCCATGCCGTGCTCGTGTGATGGCCACATTCATGGTGTGGGGATCTGACAGCAGTCCCAACTTGCCGCCTTTCTCCGAGCGCACGGTGCTCACCAGGACATAGTCCCATTCGCTGCCTTGGGCCGTGGCGATGCTGCCACAATGGACTTGGGGAAGCCCTTCCTGGCGAAGTAAGTCACTGATCTTGGATACCTGAAGGACAGGACACCATCCACCACCCACCGGGAAAAAAAATAAAAACAACTATCCCCAGATGTGCACACATAAAACGGCTGGTCTTACCATTGTTATACCCCCACGACTTTGTTGGTTAAAGTGTATCCATTATTCCACTGTGGAGTATCCATGCCTATCCCATAATTATCCCATATGATTTCTCATAGATCATCGGCTTTGCCAAATGATCTCGTTGTGTATTCTGAAACTGGTGAGATTCCATAGTTTAGTATTGTGTTGCTAACAACTTATGTTGCTGGTGATATTCCAGATGTATATATGTGTGTATGATATGATATGATATGATATGATATGATATTATATTATATGATATGATTGTATCCGCATGTTACATGAAAAACATAGTGGTGGTTCTTAATTACCAACAACTACGATGCAACTGGCACCCCTGGGTTCAGTCCCACAGTTCTACCAGATTTCAGTGGTCAAACCTTGTTTTAAAAGAAACAGTGAAACCCCAACTTTGGATGGTGAGACCCCTGGTAAAACCCCTGGTGAAACCCCTGTTTTTGGCCCAAAAACAACAAACATATATATATATATATATATAACATAATTAACATATGGAACAACAAACATATAACATAATTAACATATGGCCATTATAATCATTATATAAATCCCAGGTCATGCATTACAAAACCTATGTTCCGAAAAAAACTATCAAAAACTCACGTTGAATCCACGGATTTCCCAGCAACCCCCGACCTGGCTGTTGTACCACGACAGCACCGCCACCGCTCCCTGCCCCAGCTGACCGGCCAGGCGCTTCGCCAGTGCCACAGCGCGCAGCGCCTCGGAGATGTTGGCGCGGGAGCCGACGCCGCCGGCACCCACGGTGCGTAGGCGTTGCCTTAGGCCGATTTCAGATGGACAAGTCACATTTTCGTGTAGGTGGACTAGGTGGACTAGGTGGAGTTTCATGGAGTTCCGAAGTCGCAATTGGTTTTGAACATTTTTGAACACAGTTGGGCACTTCAATTAAAAATTATTGAAATATATTGAACCTACTTAGCCCAGGGGATATATATTCATATCATATTTGGATATATTTGGGCGATTCTTGGGGTGAATGCAAACAGAAAAATCAAAGCATCAGCTACAGCAAGATATCCAAGTTGCAGCTCTTCGCCTGAACTCTGACCCTTCCACACCAAGAATGGACACTCTCGACCTGCCAGGGACCGAGTGATGGACATGTGCGGCTCCTGCAACGTGGGTGGCTTCAAGTGGGTGTGAAGAGTATCCCTAGGTCCCTAGGTTGGTCATGTTGCGATTCCCAAATCTGAAGCGACTCCCCGAGCCTTGGTGACTCAGAACACAGGAAATCCTCTCCAACACTGATGGATGGTCCTTGACCCGTCCTCCATAAAAATGTTCCCTGGAGAAATGGCTGATGGCGGGATGCATCCGGTACTGCTGGGCCAGCAGAGACACTGGGCTGGAGATCCCATTGTGACTATAGGACACCGCCAAACGTTCAAAGAGAGATATGCCCATGCCGGCCTGTTCCGCCACCTGTGGGCCAAACTTAAGGCGCACAAGAATTCCGAATTCCACCGTGAATATTGAAATGTGGGGAAGATGGGGGTTCAAATGGGGCCCAAAACTAAGCCCAAAAAAATGAGAACATGGCAGTTGACCTCAACTGAACCAACTGAGAACCAATTGTTGGCGGGTCAACAACGTTGAGCCCATCCGCGCCTTGCTCCTCAAGATGGGCCGAAGTTGCTTATGATCCCCAAAGAGCACTGCATGATGTGCAAACTTGGCCAAGGTCAACAAACACAACGCTTCAGGCTCAGGTGCTTGGCCCGCTTCATCCATCACCAGTTGGCGGATTTGGGGCGCCTCCTGAGAGGCCGAGAAATCACATGGATTAGTCTTCGATGTTTTTGTTCCTTGTTTTCATCACCACCCCAAGAATGATTTTGATTCCTGTCAATAACCCTTTTAAGAAGTCTCGCCATGTCTCGCCCATGACAAGAAGATATCAAATACTTCTGGACCTACCTTGTACTTGTTGGATAATCTTGGGCAACTTCGACAACTCCCAAAAACTAGCCATCAAAACTGCGAAAATTCTAGTAACCCCCATCTCTGATCTCAAGATCTCATTATGTTTGGTGACTCTACCCACCCAAGATCCCCAAGGCCCGGCACCCAGCACCCAGCAGCCCCCCGTCCTTCTGATACAAGGCCTCCAGCAGGGCCGTCCGGCGCGCCGAGACGCAGGTGCTGAAGATCACATCGGCCTGTCGCACCTCGGCCGCGCGCGCCTTGGTCAGGGCCACGTAGTACTCCGAACGCCGCTCCTGGGGGAAACATCAAGCAGCTGCCTTTGGGTTGGATGAGGCGAGACATCTTCATCAATCAAAGAGTATTTTTTACTACTTGGTGGCATGGTGGTTCATCCCACTCAGTAAGTGGGTTATAACCCCAGTTATAAGTGGATTAACCCTACTTATCCCATTTATAACTGGGGTTATAACCCACGTACTAAGTGGGATAAGCCACCATCTACTACCTATAGATTTATAGTGGAATGGGATGCTTCACTGCAAATTACAGGAACCGACAGAATTATGGAAAAAAAAAACGTTTCAATTTACAGGCGCCGCCTGTCTATGATAGAAAAGTTACGAACCTTTTTTTTTTCCATAATTATTTTTCCATAATTATTTTTTTTCCATAATTCTGTCGGTGACTGTCTGTCCATCGATTCGCAATTTGAATGCATTTTAAGGGGGAATATTGAATTATAGAAAATATGTGTCTAAAGATCTGGTATATGCCCCTAAGTCTTCCATTGATTGGGTTGATACTACATACTTGCATTTGCATACATATTTCCAGAACCCCCAACAAAAAGGGGTTTGAATTGTGGATCCATGACATGTCCAACAGGTGGAGCCCCAAACATTAATTATGGAAAAAATAATTATGGAAAAAAAAATTATGGAAAAACCGGTCAATCTGCCCTAGCCCCCTGATTTTACAGGAAAAATCAATTATGGAAATAATGGCCACCTCCAAGAATTATGGAAAAAAAAAGGTTCGGATCACTTCCGGGATATTTTGAACCCTTATGGGGAAAAACCTAATTCTGGAAAAATCGGACGCAGGCGCCGCCTGTCTAAGTTGAACGTTTTTTTTTCCCATAATTCTGTCGGTGACCATAGATTATTTTTTAGAATTACTTTGCTTCGAGTGATCCCCACCCTGACACACTATTCGGACATAGTTTCTCACATACCATCTGGAATTATAATGAAGTATAAATGGCATATGTATATATATATATATCTATGTATATATATATATATTCTGACATCCGACCCTCACCTGGCAGGTGAGGAAAAACCACATATGGTAAACCAAAGCATTGGGATTTGGTACTCAGCCACACCTGAATTCCGGTTTCTAGTTGAAGTATTATGTACTCATATCCTTTTAAAAGCAAACAACTTGTACAAGAACATACCATCATAAACTAATAACTATAAACAATCAAATCATATCCAATGTCATTTTATAGCAAATATATCTCCACATCCTCCCAGGTCATCGAGGTCTCCTCAAAGTCAGGGCTTCTGACCCCACAGGCCCTCAGCCGATCATAGGCCTGTCGACAGGCCACAGCCTCCTCAGAGGGCTCTTCCCCAGCGGCAGCATGGCAGCGCCAATGCCATGAGAAGCGTCGGAGGTGCGTCGGCACGGCCTGGGGCCGTGCTGCAACACTCATGGGGATTGGACCAGCATGGGCTATGGGAAAAAAACATGGAAAAAATCTGGGGGAACTGAGTTCTTGATGTGGTACAATCGCATTAGACGTTGATATTTCATGGGAGAACAATGGAGAAACGGTGGCACTATTTTGATCCCCTGAGCCTGGACCTTGAAAGTTTGGATGCCAGGATGATCTACCTTTTTGGGCACAGGAAAGTCCTGCCGTTCCGCATCCGCACCATAGATGCGCAGCATTCGCAGACCACCCTTGGGCTGTTTCAGAATTTGCCGACACATGGGGCACTGACAGCCTTGGATTTGCGATCCAGGGGGCCATCAAGAATAGCTCAAGCAGGTTCCACAAATGCTAGATTAACCTGATTAACCTCTCAGAAAATTACAAATATTTACAAATCATCTTGACAAAATCCAGGCAGCTATCTTGCAAGCACCGTGCCAGACAAGTTCGATGAAACACGTGGCAGCAAGCCGTGACCACATCAGGCTTTGCCTCTAAACAAATGGCACACTCTGCATCGCCGTCCTCCTGAACCCGCGTCCTAAGGCGTTCCGCGAAATAGCTTTCGCAGAGTTGGTTGGTGTACATCAGCGCGCAGTCCACAGCACGATTGGTAGGGGCTCCAAACAGGATGGCACATCGTGCCCCCAGATTTCGTTGAGCAAACAACCTTGCATTTTGCTGGGGCTCCAAATGTTCCCCTATAGATTCCCCAAATGGTGGAGTTCCCGCCGCTGGGAAAATTCCAACATCACCTTAACCAAACCCAGGCAACGTCATGAGAACTGCCGCCGTTCGTGTCTTTCCGGTCCCTGGCGGGCCATGCAGCAACTGAAAATGACGCGCCAAAGCACGACGAATGGCCTGCTCTTGCGAGGAGTTAAGGTGCCAGCTGGACAAGTCACCTGGTTGGTGGGTGGCCCGATCCCAAAAATGTGTTCAGTTTGAAAAACATGGGAAACACCGATGATAGTTATGATGGTCAAGTAGAACCATCATCCATCGTCAGGGATGGGAAACAAAAATTGAAACCACCCACTGCCACCAGTCGCTCTTGTCTTCCTTGGACTCCAAATACAGCCGTCCAAGAACAATTTCGCGCGCCAACAGTGGCGGAGGAGGATAACCATCTGCTCGTGGAGGTGGATTGATGTCAGTGAGAGCCATGTGCATACAGCTGTACGACAAGGATTTTGGAACATATTCGGCCACTTCCTTGGAGATACTCTGCAGGGGGCCACAGAAACTACAAAATATTCCCGTTCCACATTTGGAGGTTTCCTAAGATGGGGGTCCATCCATGAAATAATCGGATTATCGGTCCATTATAAACTATCCATTTTGATCCATTTTGGGAATTTATGGAAACCCCCATTTCTGGTGGATCAATGGGGCAAAGAAAACAGCACAAATCATTTTCAGCTGAAATCCAGGCTTCAGGCATGCTACTGGGCAAATGTTTGGGTGCATCAATGGTTTCAAAAACCACATGAATGGAGTTGCGGCTCTTGTTGTTGAGCGCAGTGTCCTCATCATCTAGGGTCAACTGTTGGCCGTCCTGTAGGGCAAGGGGTGATCACTGATGCCTTGACTGATTTATTTGGCTGGATGATGGTTTCAACCGGTCTCTAACGAGTCTAACAAGAAGAAGCTCAAAAGCATGAATCGAGAGGGCACGCGAGCCGATTGAAGCCCCACCTGAGAAGATGTGTAAACCACTGCAATCCCAAAGATCCCCAGGAAATTCCAAAGATCTGGAAAGACCATCAACGGCGTATGTATCAGTATAAATGACATGTTATGTTGCCCTCCAATCTCCTCCCAAGTTCTTTCCCAGCCTCCAAGATACCCGCTTGGATGATTCGAGCATGAGCCGACCAGGAGAGATCATGACAGCGCAGGCAGAGCCAGGAAGATGCAGACTCGCCCCCAGTGATCATGACCCCACGGAACTTCAACTTATGGCCTTGGATCTGAGGGCTCCGAACAGAAACAACGAAGGCAAATTCATGTGGCAAATTCAATATCCATATGCTATCATATGCTCATATACGCTCCATGTAGTGTATTTTTACCTACATTTGGGTGATTTGCGGGGCAAATGTTGGTAAATATGCCATACATGGAGCATATGGGATATCCTCCAACAATGGAGGGTTTATAGTTATAGCATTTTCCGACAGAAATGGCAATGTGACAGTTTTGGCTTCAGTCGCATGATGCCACCAACAAATCCAGGTGACTCTTCGCAAGGCTGGCTGAGATGGTAAAGGAGCCCCGCAAGCTGCGCTGCGTCTTTGGATCCTGAAGGGGTCAAATAAAATGTATCACCTTTTTGTTGCGAGGTTAAAGAGGCAAACAAAAACAACATCAATAAGAGCTGAAAAGTGACTAATCCCAAAATAAAAGTCTCGAGAAGTAAAACCTCAAATCCCCTTGAACATATTGCAAATCCTTTTGATAACTCCCCATGCCAAAAAAGTGAACATGGTTTAGCTGTTTAACTGTTTAACACAATCTTCTTGCCGAGCCGTCCTTCTCTCCCCAACTGATGGGCACATCAAACAGCAGCCGCGAGTCGTTGCTATCCACCGCCGAGGCAGCGGCTTCCAATTCCACCAGCCGCCCCCAGCGCTGCGCGTAGACCTCTGGCGCCGGATGACAGGGCGAAGGCATGCGACGGGCCTCGCGCAAGAGCTGCTGCCCAGCTAGGACCTGGGCCGGGCAACAGGTGACCAACCACTTCGTGCTGCAGGTTTATTCAGGGCGAATGTTATTATCACCAACAACCATTCAGGGCCAAAGCTGAACAATCTTGACCAATTAATATTGGAAACCTGACCGGGGGATATATGATGGGCTGGGTGGTGGGGTGACGTTGGAACATGAGAAGGCTCAGCCCATCAAACCAAACGACAACAATACATAATGCATGAAAAAAGCGTCATCCTCGCAAACAACATGTGTACACAAATCAGATCAGATATTGTTTTCATATTTTTCATTGATTCTCATGAAACCATCATGCTCCTGATCTCTCCTGACCATAGTATTTCCTCCCACTCCATGAATCTCACTCCCAAGGCAGGCTGCAGCAGCTCCCTTATCGAAGCTTTGCCGATGCTCCAGGCAACACGTTAAGGGTTCCGCCAGCTGCAGACACTGCGGCACCTTTCGATCTGCTGTGAGGCTTAGCAGGGCATCGCGCTCCTGAGCATTGATGAACCAACAGTAGAGATGAAGAAAGAATCAACCCACCTGAGCAAACATGAGCAAATTATATTTAAAAAAATATAAAGTAATCTGAAAACAAAACCCCTTCTCTAACTCAGGCCCAAGTCTCCAAGATGCAGTCTAATTCCAGCACCCCAGTTCGTAAATTCACAGATTGCGGGACAATGCAGCAACCCTGCGCAGCCCGAAGGCTGGAGGAATTCTGCCAACCTGCGTGGTAATCTCCAGGCCTACTACCAGGATCTATGCAGTGTATGCGCCATCGCAGGCTGGCAGAAGTTCCACTGGTTCTCACATCCTTGGTGGCTTCTTGATCCTGAAAGTTCGACTTTGGACGAAAACTAATTATAATGACAATCTCAGGGAGTATGAGCACTGTCATTCGCGGACTGATTGATTGGGGTTCTGATAGTTTCAAATCCCTAACAAACAATTAAACCCCCCTGCTAGCATAGTAGATAGTAGTGTAATTATAATAATTTTGGGGCTTATTATTCATCCTGGGTAACACTATGGAGTCACTATGGTCCAATCCTACAAAGCCCAAAAAAACACCGGAAGTACCCTCTGGTAATTTAACATAGCTATTGAAAATGGCCCATTTATAGTGGATTTACCCATAAAAAATTGTGATTTTCCATAGTTATGTTAAATTACCAGAGGGTAACCACTATGGCCACTCCATGCATCTCAGCCTCTGAAAGGCCCAACAGTGGCCAGTTCACCCAGTAGCGTCCCCCGTTCACGGCCAGCGCCATGCCACCTGGGTCGATTTGCTCCACTCGGGCGTTCTCCAACCGCCCCGCCATGGCCGCGGAGGCCCCGGAGGTCCCGGAGATCTACAGCAACCCGTGGCCCGAAGCGGCTTGGGACGGACGAATGTCACCTGTTCATCATGATCTCGTCCAATGTTAGATAACTAATTACTACCCCAACCCCCCCAAAAAAAAACTTAGCTGGTTAATGCTGGTTAGTAGACATATACCATATATATACCTGTTTATGCAAAAAATGATCGCATTGGCGAGCATTAAAGTACCTATCCAAGGTTGAATCAGGTGGAAGTTCAAGTCAGAAACTCTTTGTCAACTTGCCGGGGAGACGGTTCAGACCCAGGCGGTACAGGAGATCATCCACTTTTCTGGACAGCGTTGCCTGCGGATCGATCCAACATCAACCAACACCTCCGAAGGTGACCCCAACAACCCCAACAATAAATGGTCATGGTCGTTCTAAGCCCTTCTTATTGATGCTAAGGGTCACCATGGGTCACCTCAAAGAGGGAGAGAACATGGGAGAACCACAGGTTGCGCCTCGGGCACCCCTTTGATACGTCCAAAAAACCTCGGCGAAACCATGGCAGACCATGGCGTTTTGGAGTGCTGCGAGCGTGAGCTCTGAGTGCAACACATCAAGTGCTCTTTGCCGGTCAAATTCTCCCAGAGAGGATCTACCTCCCAGCTACCCCCGCCCAAAAAAGACTATCATGATGGAAGTCTATGAACATCTAATGGTGCCCTTCCCAACAAATATGGCCGTATTCACCTGCATCAACGGTTACTAGGGGTTTCTTGGGTTTCCATGAGCCTTCATGGAACAGCAAAGCACAACCCACACATCCATAGAAGCACCTGTGGGCACACGCCCAGGTTTTTGTACGCCTGGCTGGGAGATATCCAAGGCCCTGACCACTCCAATCACTGCATTTGTACCGAAGATGGTGGCCCAGAAAATCGGGATTAAACGTGGGATCAACCAATTTCCACTGCACACGAATTGGAGTCAACTTGGACTTGGCCTTGATGGACCTTTTTGAACCTCTCCGCTTCATGCCCACCTCCATCATCCCCTCCGGGGTCGTCACATCGTGCCCAAGGATATGCACCTCGCCACGGTGCAGCTGTTGGATGCTGCCGGCATAGCTGGACGCTGCTGGATGCTGCTGGAAGGGATACCACAAAGCCCTGGGGCCCTGGCCTGTCCAGCAGTGGGTGGCCGCACTTCACCAGTCCTCAGCAAAATCCGTGGCCAGCGGGAGCAAGGGACAAGAGGGGGGTTCTTCAAGCTAGAGCTGGGAAGGCTCCAAAACCTCTGAATGTGTTTTAAGATTAAAGAGAATACCTTCAGGCAATCGAACCGAGCCGAGCATGGTACTGCAACATCCCCCCTTCTTTTGATTTCCACTTCGACTATATAATGCATTACAATGCTATATATCAGTGAGGAAAAACAGAAGAAATAACAGCAGGCGCCTTCCCTTCCCCTTTTTCTGTGTCACTTGCTGGTCGACCGGTTTCCAGAGCTCAGCACCGGCTTCCCCCGCAGCAACTCCTCAGGAAGCACCGAGTTCGTCCCCAAGGTCTGTAGCTCGAAGGCCAGGAGCTGCTTCAGAAACCCCGCGTTGGGCCGCGCCACTGGGCGCTTGGACTTCACATAGGTCAAGGCGTCGGCCAAGGGAATCTGCTTTGAGACCAGGTAGGCCAAACATACGGAGACCTGGGGGATTTCGGGGTTGTAGTCTAGGTCTAAGTGGGAAAATCATGACGAACATGGGGACAAACACGTCAATGTACAGTATAGATCTAAAAGGCTACAAACGGCCAGTTTCTATGCGTCAAGTTGTCCTGCGAGCAGCCAATCATCCTCAAAAAAAACACCACGCACACTCACACAAAGGCTTCAATATTCCTGAAACAAATCTAAACAGATCGCACTCCCCAAAAATTGGAGCAATCTTTTACAAAAAGTGCCACAACTTCTCAGAAATTCATACCTCCATATCACATGCATCCTCTCTCCATGAAAACTGGTTGGTGGTTTGAACCCCTCTGAAAAATATTAGTCAGTTGGGATGATTATTCCCAACTGAATGGACAAATAAAAGCCATGTTCCAAACCACCAACCAGAAAACTCTATGAATCATAGCAGGGGACAGATCGGCTCTTCCCTTCATGGCAATGCACCAGCACTTTGCCGCCAGAGGCCTCCGCCTCCGCAATGATGTCGAGGGCCTCCCGACGGACTACTTGGCATTTATCAGTAAACTCGTGTGCTTTAAAAAATTCCTATCTATCATTAACTGTCATCCATCTATAGTCTATATGAGTCTATATATAATCTACATCCGTCATATTATCCATCTTCTATATGATCCACATCAAATCAATTATTATCCATCTGATATTACTAACCATCTCCTATGATCCATCCATCCATCCATCCATCCATCCATCCATCCATCAGTCTATCTCTGATCCGACGGCGGCTGCACGCTGCGACGTTCCGGATCCAAACCCGGCCTTCTGCAGCGTTGGCATCAGGTCCTGGCGATGAGTTGCTCGAGGTGGTCATGTTCCATCATGTTCTGGCGCATTTACTCCATTTAAATACTCATTCATTGTAAATAAAAGATCTCGTTATCTCATCTTTTTGACAATTCGAAGTGCCCAAATCCAAGGTTGACCCATGTTGACCCTTAAAAAAATCATCTCATTTTCTGACATCGATCCCCCCACCTGATCTTCTCGGTCTGGCAACGGCAGTCGGGACCACTGAATCTCTCCCAACTCGTCCGTTTCGGGTGCCGGGAGATCTTCTGTGCCTTGGAAACCACCAAATGCAGAAGGCGGTGCCCTTCACATTGGCCAAGGTGTGAAAAAATCTCAACAAACATATGAAACAGATAGATACATACATAGATGGATGGATGGATGAATAGATAGATAGCATAGATAGGATAGATAGGATAGATAGGATAGATCGGATAGATCGGATAGATCGGATAGATAGCATAGATAGCATAGATAGCATAGATAGGATATATAGGATAGATAGGATAGATAGGACAGATTGGATAGATAAGATAGATAAGATAGATAAGATAGATAAGATAGATAAGAGCCATACAATAGATTTGATAGATAAATATAGATAAGATAGATAGGATAGATACGATGATATATATAAGATTATAAGATAGGTAAGATTGATAAGATAGATAAAATAGATCAGATAGATCAGATAGATAGGATAGATAAGATAGATCAGATAGATAAGATCGATAAGATAGATAAGATAGATCAGATAGATCAGATAGAACACAAAACATAGATAAGATATAAAAAATAGATAAGACATATAAGATATATAAGACATATAAGATAGATAAAACAGATAAGACAGATAAGATAGAACAGATAGATAAGATAGAGAAGACACGTAAAATACATAAGATATATAAGATAACTAAGACAGATAAGATAGACATGATAGACAAAATAAACAAGATAGACAAGATAGACACGATAGACAAGATAGACAAGAAAGACTAGATAGACTAGATAGACTAGACTAGATAGACTACATAGACAAGATACGTAGATAGATAGATAGATAGATAGATAGATCGATCGATAGATAGATAGATAGATTAGATAGATAGATAGATAGATAGATAGATAAGATAGATAGATAGATAGATAGATAGATAGATAGATAGATAGATAGATAGATAGATAGATAGATAGATAAATAGATCGATCGATCGATCGATTAGATAGATAGATAGATAGATAGATAGATAGATAGATAGATAGATAGATAGATAGATTAGATAGATAGATAGATTAGATAGATTAGATAGATAGATAGATCGATAGATAGATAGATAGATTAGATAGATAGATAGATAGATAGATAGATAGATAGATAGGATAGGATAGGATAGGATAGGATAGGATAAGATAAGATAAGATAAGATAAGAATAGATAGAAAGATAGATAGATAGATAAGATAAGATAAGATAAAATAAGATAAAATAAGGTAAGATGAGATAAGATAGATAGATAGATAGATAGGTAGATAGATAGATAGATAGACAGATAGATAGATAGATCGGTAGATACATAGATAGATAGATAGTTAGATAGCTAGATAATTAGATAGTTAGATAGTTACATAGTTAGATAGTTAGACGAGATTAGATTAGATAGATTGGTAGGGAGATAGATAGATATAGATAGATAGATTAGATTAGATTAGATGAGATGAGATGAGATGAGATTAGATTAGAAAGGTAGATAGATAAGATAGATAAGATAGGTAAGATTGATAAGATAGATACGATTGATAAGATAGATAAGATAGATAAGATTGATAAGATTGATATATTAGATAGATTAGATAGATTAGATAGATTAGATAGATTAGATAGATTAGATAGATTTAGATAGAATTAGGCAGATTTAGATAGATTTAGATTTATATTTAGATTTAGATTGATAGGTAGATAGATAGATAGATAGATAGATAGATAGATAATATAGATAATAAGATACTATAATAAGATAAGTAATAAGATACGATAATAAAATAAGACAATAAGATAAGATAATAAGATAATATAATAAGATAAGCTAATAAGATAATATAATAAGATAAGATAATACTATAATATACTAAAATACGATACCAATATATGATAATAAGACAGGATAATAAGATAGGTAAGAAAGACTATATATATAAGATAAATACGGTAGATAACATAGAAACGGTAGAAAATTATAGATAAGATAGATAGGATGGATAGGATAGATAGGATAGATAGGACAGATGAGATAGATAGGAAAGGATAGGATAGGAAAAGATAGGATAGGATAGGGCAGGATAGGAAAGGATAGGATAGATTAGATAGATAGATAGATAGATAGATACTTAAATATTCTTAACACATGCCATTAAATATAATTAAGATGAATGCAATTAGTGTAAATACAATTAAATACCATGGGGATCAAAACCAACAATTTGATGATGATTTATAGTTGGTAGAGTTGATTTATGTTGGCTAAGCTGGTTCAAAAACTCCAATAACTACAGGGGCACCAACTTGCCGGACAAGCATGTCTGAGGATCTCTTCAGGAAAAATGTGCTCTTAAGAATTGCTATCACGCTATTTGTTCGGGTTCATCACATGCGGAGAAGAAATCCAGGGGAAACCCAGAAGTTGAAGGCGCAATTGTGTTCTCTGACCAAGGCGCAATTCAAAATGTGCGTCTCGCCAAGCTTTCGCAGCAAGTGCAGGCAAAGGCTGGTAGCACCACCAAGGAAGAGTGGAGCCTCCAGGCTTCCCGTTTCACTTCCAAGAGACACCCAAGACTTTGCCCCAACTCTTACAAGGCCAAACTTGGATACTCTGCATCTTTTTAGCCGGGTACACTGTGGTGTGCCCGTGTTTATAACTATAAATCACCATGGACCATCAAGCATATTGATATATATATATATATATATATCTACCATAAACAGTACTTAACCTATAGTTATTGTAGAGTTATAAAGTTATCAGGTTACAATCAACTTAGCTGGCATCACCTTGTAGATCCATTAATCCCCATTTCTTGCAAGAGTTTCATTCACTGGACCCAAAACTGGCCCCCCACCTTTGGTGCTAAATCTGCAGGGCGCGAGACCGAACTCGCAATGTGCAAGACTTTAATGCGGCTGGTGAGCTGTCGCAACCGCACCTCTGAAACTGATTCACTGATGGAAGCGGAAAGTAAATCATAGGAAATGCATCTTACCATCCAAATCTATGGGTGTAAGAATGCATTAATCCGCCGGCCTGCCGGCGTGTCTTGTGGATCTTGCTTGTTCGTAGTTGTACTGTTTGTTTAGTCTTTTGTCTTTGTCTAGACTCTAGACTTTCCCTTGGCGCGGATTTTTGCCCCGTCTAACTTGAACCCACCCCGCCCTCCCCCAATTTCAACCCAAACCCCGCTTACGCAACACAATCTTTTCTGTCTTCTCTTCGTATTTTTCCTCTGTGTCTTTCGTTGCAATGTGCTGGGTTCGTCTCTGCCCCCGCCTTGCACACCGTGCGCGTGTTCTTGTTTGCTCCACTGCGTCCTGCGCTTCACGTTCTTGGTTGGCTAGCTGGCTTGCTGTTGTCTAAGCTTTCTTCTGCCGCCGTTGCTTCGCCATGAATGTGCTACAAGGGCTTTCTAGGGCTGACGCCCCGTCTACACAACAGCCTTGGTTTAGCCAAAAGCTTTGCTGCACTCAAACCCACTCCTGTACAGACCAACCCTGTCTTACACAAGTGCCCTGCCCGGCTTCCTCACCTTCATGCTCTTGCTGGGTCGGCTGCTTTGCTACTCTCTCTCTCTTGACTGCACTGAAGAGCAGGGTTGGTTCCCACCTTTTCAGGGTCTAGGACTTCTATCTTGGTGAGCAAGAGTAACACCAGCCTTTTAGGAACCAAATCCACAAAATGCTCACTTTATCGTGGCGGTACCGCCGAAGCCAGCCTGGGGTTGCAACTTACACTTGTACAAAACCTGTCAACCATCATCGATAAATTTCGATTTCATAGTCAGGTGCTGTTTCGCCCTTTCTCTTTTCGACTCTGGGCTGGGTCATCTGTCGCTTGGCTCCGGCAGCTCGACGTCAGCAAGTTGAAGAGTACCTGCAGCTGACACAAAGCGACCACGAATCGGGGCCGTCAACATGTGCAAAGTTGGGTCAAGTTGCACAAAGTGTCTCAGAATCTCAACGTTCTCAACTCTTGAAGGAACATGAGGGCTGGGTCATCTGGCGATTGGTTCCGGCATCTCGACGTCAGCAAGTTGAAGAGTACCTGCAGCTGACACAAAACGACCACAAATCGGGGCCGTCAACATGTGCAAAGTTGGGTCAAGTTGCACAAAGTGTCTCAAGAATCTCAATGTTCTCAACTCTTGAAGGAACATGAGGGCTGGGTCGTCTGGCGATTGGTTCCCATGTTCGCATTCGCATCGCCGATCTTCTGCGTTGCACAGAATCCGCACCTCCCCCTCTTCAAACCTCAGGGTGCACTGCCATTCTTCCAGTTCGCCTTGCCACACAGCATCCCGCAAATTTGGAAAGCCAGGGCCCAGATTGCCAAATTGCTTCAGATACGTGTCAATACCGAAGAAATCCTCTACCTGCTGCTTGTTCAGCCCCAGAAAAGTCTCCAACACCACATCCCTCCCAGTCCCTGCTGGACCAGCTCGCTTCCACGCCACCTTCTGCCTCGCCTCCCCCGGAAGGTGCGGATGCACACATCCACAGCAGAAACAAATCAAGCCTTGCAATTCTGAATGGCTTATGCTCTCATGAAATACTTGCAATGCACGCCGATCCTGCGCAAGGGAAACCACTGGGGGTCGCTGCTGGCAGACCACACTCACAGCTGAGTTCAGCACAGTATACAACGCACCTTTGAAAGCCACTCCGCCCAAGGATGCAACGGCATCTTGCAATTCCCTGGTGTAATGGTCCTCCCTTACATGGGCTAAAAGCTCATCTACCTTCTCCCCCCTCCACACGCATCCGTCAAAAGGGCAATGCTGCCTAGGCAGGAGCACCCCTCTGTCCAACTCCTCTTGCGTCCACTGCCCTCCCAAGACTTTGCATGGAAGTGTCGGCTGTTTTTTCAACAGCCTGGCAATAGCTGCTATGCCCTTCTCCCAAGCTCTCCTAGGATGCGGTGATGCCTCCGTCACCCACAGCCTTTCCAACACGTCGAACACGTCCTGCTCCATGGCTCCTTGACCAGGTGATGGCTCCATCCTCAAAGCATACGCCCCAAGGATGCCTCACCAGCCCGGACTTAAGCACGCAGTCATCTAATTGACCTGTTCCTGCTACCGCCCCTTCCTTGCTATGTTGGCCTTTGTCTTTTCAGGTGCCTGCATACCCCAAAATCTGGACCCCTATCCTGGCTGCTGCTATGCTGAGCTGCACGCACTTGCACTTTATCTGCTTCTATGTCCTATCTCTGCTATACATGTTTGCGACGCCGGGATCTTTTCAGTTGCGTCCATGGCCCCAAATCTACACCCCTATCCTGACTGCTGCTACGCTTTACTGCATGCACTTGCGCTTTATCTCTCCTATGCCATGTCTCTGCGTTGAAGGTCTGAGAAGCCGAAATAGCTCTGGCCGTGGTGGCCGGCGGAACACGCCAACGGCGGTTAAATATCATCTTGATGCACTTGAGCGAATATAGCCGTCTGCAGGCTATCATAGTATCATCATGCGTATCATCAATAATGGTTTCCTACCAGGTTGCCCCAGACCTCTGCTGAAGCAGATCTTATTCCACCCCAACTGGCTGCCCACTTGCTACCAAGAGACAAGAAGCTCATAGGCATCAGCCACTGGATTCAACACACTCTCGCCCAGGAAACCTCGAAAGGAAAAGGAGCTTTGATGATCCCGGCGCCGAGCCCAGTCATGCACGGCTTGATGTAGCACTTGGGTCTTTTCGCGGAGCAAATCCTGTCATGGTTATCATGGTTCCTACATGTTTCCTCAATGAACATGAGCTTTTTCCGCGGGGCTTTACCCAATATACACTTGTTGTAATCTGGAACCTGTGAACACTATCCACTATGTACATTGCTATAGATGTGATCCTATATCATAGTACTTCGACTGACTCTAGGACTACCAGAAGATCGAAAGCCAAAAAAAGGGAACATTGTGGAGACACACTAAACACCCCTGTCCTGCCATGAGGCCAACCTTTCTTTGAAGGTATCCGGTTTGCTCTCCTCTTTGCTGAGGTCGCGCAGTTCCACGGTGTTGCTGAGTTTCAGTTCACGCGTGGACACCTGAACGCCCTTCATATCCTTAAACACGAGTCGCGTGTGAGGTCCTTCCCCAAAAATAGTGGTAGAATGAGGGGGTACTACTGGTGGGTTCGTGTTTTTCCTCAATGGCGGTAGGATGAGGGTATATTAGGATTGTGGAGCAAAAAAGAAGGTGGCAGGGACCAACCATTTTCCACTGGTTTGTGGAAGAACAGGCGTTGTCGGGAATCATCACCCCAGCTAGGAATGAAGAAATCAAAAACCTTTCCAGTGGATTCCCCATTTCTGAACTGAAAAGAAACCTACCCAGCAAGCTGCCAGGTATCAGCCTTGAAATTCTGAACCCACGAGTCTACCACATCAGTCATCATCTCCAAAAGTCCCTGCTCCTCCACTGCTTGCGCCAAGGCAGCTTTCAGCCCTTCATTGAACGCTTTCACACTGCTCATGGCCCCATCTTTTTCGGCGTTGGCCTGAAAAAGATGGTCTTTCAAACAATTGGAGCCCCCAAACACGGGTGAAAGCCAGAAGAAAGGGGCAGCTGAATGAAGAAGATACCTTCGGACACAATATACTGCAAGAACACAAATCCATATGGTTTCAGAAACAAAAAAAACATCGAAACAAATTTTACTGATAGAAGCGATATTGGCACAAAGTTGGGATATTTTATAAAAACTTCAGTTGGATGATCTTTCTCTCGCGCCTTCCCACCGTATCGCTCCAACCAGGCGCCCTCGCTGGTCGCCCAGTCCTTGCGGATGGCGTCGTGCGCCGCAGCGTTGCCGTGGACCGTCTGCAGGAGCAGCTCCTGTGCACTGCTGCGATCCAGCAGGGCTAACTCCAGAAGCCGGGCCGCCTGGACATGGGGACTGGGGACTGGTGGACCTGGGACAATCAAATTGGGAGAAACAAAAAATAAATGATATAAGAGATAGATAGAGATAGTAAAATTGGGATATATTGTTATATATTGTTATAAATATTGGGATATCCCAATATATTGTTACTATTTGTAAGTGATATATAGCAACAATAAATGCGAGGCAGTGTGATTTTTGGGTGGATGGACTGATATAGAATGGGATAAGTCGGGATAAGCAAATGGCAGAGAAGTTGACTCGGACTCTCTGCCAGCAAGAAAACATGCGACTGTCTCTCAGAATCAGGTGCTCCAAGCCTGTAGTCTGAACATGTCTGAGAAAAATGGATCGATCACTTCAATAATCATCTGATGAGTCCCCATCTTTGATCATCTTTGAAGCATTCTGAAGCCCTTCCGTGGCCTTCTGATCCATGTCCCGGACCAACAGCTTTGGAGGCCTTCGCGCCACCGCGGCGTCGATGGGAACGCAACGTCCATGGGTCCAAATGGTATTGGCTGGATTGCCACGCCAGCCAAGTGACTGAATGGGCAGCCGATCTGCGTTTCCCAGCAGCAAATCCTGGTTGGTGGTCCAGCCACCCACATGAAAAATCGCACTGAAGGATCATCCTTTTGTTTTCCTGGGAAAACGAACAATATCGTGCCACTCACTGGGGAGTACAAATGATCATGACACCACTAGATGAAAAATAAGAACACACATACCACATCAGCAGCCAGAATCTAAGGTGAACAACTTTCCCAAGGCCTTGCATGCAGAGGGAAGGTTCGGTGGCAGAAAAGCCTCCTCCTCATGGTCCAAGCTTTTGCCGGGAACATATTGAAGCAACAGCATGGACACCTTCAGGGTTTCCAATTGTTCACCACCCCCAAACCAAGGCCCTCCGCAAGTGCTTCTCTCGTAAGAATGGTAGTTTGAGGCCAAAACCATGGTGATAATGTGATCGGAACCCCCAATGATACTATATCATGCTGTTAGAATAGGATTGGATCCCTCAGAAGGTCCGAGTTTGAATTCAAAAAATGATAGGCAGAAGATTGGATGAATTGATCAATACAAGATTCAGGCGCCTTCTATGTTTGCAGATTTCAAGCCAATCAATGCAGGATTCCATATTTTCATACAACTTTTGGCAGCAAATTGGATCCTCAGGGCTGTCCAAAGTTCCAACATGTTCCAACATGTTCCAACCTTCTTCTCCAACATCTCCAGCAGTGCCGGGCACTTCTTGGCCGCAGCTTGCGTCAGCTCCTGCCACTCCGCGACGTCGTGCTGCTTCAGCAGGATCCGCGACGCGGGGCCGGGGACTCCCAGGTGTCGTGCAAGCTCTGCGGCCATCTGCTCCGACTGCAGCAGGTAGCGATTGTTGCAGAACTTCAGCACCACGGCTTCTTCGAGGCCGAAAGTGGAGCTGAGGAGGCCAAAGAAAACCTATGGCTTTCGTTGTGACTTAAGGATGAAAGAAAAGGGCGAGGATGAGGATGATGAGGATCAGGATCAGGATGGGGATGATGATGATGACGACGACGACGACGACGATGGTGATGGTGGTGCTGCTGCTGCTGCTGATGATGTTGATGATGATGATGATTGATGATGATTGATGACGAGGATGATGATGATGATGACGATGATGATGATGATGGTGATGGTGATGATTGTGATGAGGATGATGATGATGATGGTGATGATTGTGATGAGGATGATGATGATGGTGATGATGATGATGATGATGAACATGAACTTGAACTTGACGTTAATCAAACCTTCTGAACCATCAGACTTGAACATCCCATCATCTGGTTGGGAAACTCTAAAAAAAAACAGCTCGTTAGCTTATGGCTAACAGAGACAATTGATACAACCATTGCTCTCGAAAAGCTCCTTCACCAATCGACAGCATCCATCTTTTGGTCGGGGGCATCCCACCAGGGATTCTGCAACATGTCCAGCTCCTGACCTGCCAGGTACCTTCCTTTGCCAATCAGCATTGCCAATCTGAAACTTGGATGACTCCGTGATGCTTGGCTCATATGACCATACGGGTCTGTAGGGGCCCCTTTGAGCACTTGATGGTGCGATTGTACGCACACCCGCTGTGCATGGAAAACATTTGCTGAGCCTTGCGCTCGCTTCATTTGCTGTGCTGTTTGATTGGTGGGGCTGTGGAAACCCCATTTGGTTGAGAGCTCAATCTGCTACCAGTGTGCACCCGCTACACTGGTAGCGGAGCAAGTGTTGCTCCAGCTGCTGCGCTACTACATCCTCAAGGGACCTAGACAATCGTTTCGACCAGATGATGTTGTACATGGGTTGTTTGGCCATTTGTACCTGAAAAGGTTGTGGGCCCAAATGAGCGTGAAAAATCGTGAAAAGCTAGAAATACAAGAATTAAGCCTTTCTTGCCTGGCTTTGCCAGAGCAGATGAGGAAATAATCAGCACATAGAAAGGCTATATGCTTTCGAACGGAAGTTTATAACATATAGAGCTAGTTTGGCTTTTGCAAGGTTTATATAATTTAGGTCTAACCCAGAAAAATTCGTTCCTTGCCAATATCATGTGGTATATCAATTAGTTTTACCCCAGAATTTTATTTATTGCTCAGTTATATTTCTTGATTCAACACATGGGGGCAATAATATATATATATATATTTTTTTATTTATTGGGGCTTACTATATATAGGTAACACTAAAATAATAAGGGAAGCATTGGGATCAAACTGCCTTAATCTGCCTTACATAAGGCAATTATCGTGGTATTTGCAAATATTTTGGTGATTTTCTTACATTCATATCCCTTAAAAAATTTAAGGTTCCATCCCAATTTAAGGCTCTCCAAGGTCCATTCGATCCACTTGCTGCGCCTTGCCTTTTTTCACGTTCAGCATTCTCCAGGTAGCGAGTTAACTATCTATAGGTATGCTCCAATATCCCTATATGACCACAAATCATTTCATTCCTAGCTTGGAATCCCATCATATCGGAGCATGCCTTGATGTGACACGTCAGTGCAAAATGCAGGTGCAAAGTGAGTGTTGGAATATTTTAGATATGTTTTTTTTTTCGGACATTGCTGCGTCGATGCCCATGGCCTTCGTGCGCCATTGATTGCCTATGAAGGCGCCAGCTGCTTATATGGGCCATTGCATCGAGCATTTTTTCAGTGCAACTTCGTTGATGCAAGTCCTTCCAAGAAACCAATATATATATATATAGCATTGTTTGACAGTAAAAATTCAATTCTGGGTTAATACATGGAGAAATAAAGGGATTTTAGGACACTGCATTAGGACACTTTGCATCTCGCAGCCTTAAGCGCATCACCGCGCATGGCCCATAGCCAGCCACCTCGATCGCGCGATGGCATCAGGGGCTTATGAGGAGGTGGAGGTGGAGGAAGAAAGCCCTCAGGATTCTTGGTCGTCTGTTACTTGGCTGTCATTCTATATAGATGATTTCTTTGTTACCAGAGTCATGTAGACAGTGATGTGTGTGAAGCTTTCTAATTTCAATTTACTATGGACAGATTTGAAATTTGTTCTTCAGATGTGCATATGTATATAGCTTGAAAATTATAAATGTTTACTGGTTGGTCAGTCCCAAAAATGAAGAAACACTGAAGGAATACCTGTTTTGCTTATTGGTCATGTTGCAAAATCTTCTGTTTCCATCCTTGTCTCAATATATTATCTGCCGGTCCCTGCCCAGGATACCCATATTGTGGTGGAGCCTGCTGCTTCTGCAATGCGTCCAGATCCTTGTCCACCTAGGGCGAAACCAAGTGGGCCCATATCAAAGCTGCCGCAGGGTTTGAGGCAGGGAGTGCCCGCGGAACCTTGAATCAATTTAAGGCATTCATGTCGAATATTGGTTGGTTTTCACATCGATGCACATGTAAATCAATATATATGTATATGTATATGTATATGTATGTATATATATATATCAATATCGATCAGTCATCCCTCGCTGCATAAGGTTTCTCAAGAATGAACATCTTTTTTGGGGTTGTGGCATTAATCCAAGGTGGTGCCATCGACTATCATGATAGCGACGCCCAGAGAGCCCCGGAAGATCGGCAACGTGCAGATTCCAGAAGCCTATCGCTTCACCTTTCATGGCAAGTCTTTGCCTTGTCATGGTGGCCGTTGCTTGGCTACTACTTCACAATTTTGATCACATGTTCAGGCAACCTTGTTAAAAACTCTCAGCTGTAGAAATATTAGAACCCATACAAAGATTGATAAATAGGGGTATATAGATGTTTATATGTAAATCAGTATATATATATATGCATATATATCTATATATATATGCATAAATATGTATATATATGCAAAATATATATATATATATTTATTTATTTATTTTGTTTTATTTACACACACTCCACATGCTGAAGGAAAGGATGGTCGCACTCCTGAACTTGATCTGGGACCGCCACTGCAAGAGGATGGGTTTCCTCTCCCAGGGGAAGACGAACTTGGCAATGCGCTTGCTGATGGAGGCTTGGCTCAATATGGAGCCAGTGTGTCATCTAAAAATTGCATTTGACACACACACACACACACGCACACACATATATGTCTATGAGTGCATGTTTTTACTGAAAATAGATCTAAATATAATATATATACATATTTATTTATTTGTTTGCCGTACGCACGGAAATATTAATTCCCTTGATGCACATCTGAGATGCCGATCAATCCCCAGCTGGGTCCATGACGGATGCAGAGCGGCTTCAAATCTCGAATGGTCCCTGGGAAGCATTTGTTTGTAGAAAAACATATGTACAGATGCAGTTCGGTGATATATCTGTGCTTTCTGCGTGTTTTTAAAGCATTGCTTATAGTTGTATATAGCTTTTTTTTTAATGAGTTGATATATAGATGATAAATATTCAATCCAAATCAGGACTTAATTCATTGACCCTTAGTTGCATACTGCATCAAGAGATCTCAGTCCCCTCTGCTTTGATATTTTGACCCTTAGGTACCCACCCGGACTATGTGCTGAGAACCGTCTATGCAGAGAAGTGTGCCTGGGCTTAATTTTGAATTTGACAAGCGTGATGCATATATATATATATATAGACTAGTTGTTTGCCAATATAGTTTCATTCGAGCATTGCCTCCCATGGATTTTGAGGTCAGGAATCCTACAAGAGGGGCATCATCAACAAGCAGCGATACAGCATGGTGCGACTGGCAATGGCCATGATGGAACCTTTTTTCAATTACTTCATGGACACCATTTCAACTTTGAAGCATTCAATCACTTGACTCAATGTAGTATATGCACTGTCCCTGCATGCATGGGCTTCAATTGGACCTCAAAAACTATTCAGATACATATAGTATCCCGTCTTTTGGGCCCAACTGAGGAAGCGCACAGCCTCCGACTGGAGAATGACATCTTGCAGCTCCTGGAACGACAGGAACACATCAAGGACTTGATCGCTAAGTTGAAGACAGAGAATGAAGCTTGTGTCCATGCCCGGGAAGTTACAGAACAGCCTGAAACCAGCGATCATGGCATGGCTGATTGAGAATGCTTTTAGGTATCTTCACACATGCTTTCAACCAAGAATCTATTGTATTATTTGTTGAACAGAATGTTTGAACCAACCAACGCATATGATGGAAATCAGCCAGCGGCCCAGGTCCCTAGTTTTGTTCAATTCCAAAATCAATCTTGAAACTCTTTCAAAGAGAAAAAAGGTGCCAGTGCATGCACTATGATTGCTGATCTTGGAATGTGGGTTTTTGCATTTAGATAGAGTTTATCAATTTCTTTTCTCAGACTCTTCAATTCTTCAATGTCGGGATTCTGTTTGCAGGTGCTCGTGCTCAATTTAATTGTGAACTTCGACATCGATCTGACCATCGTCGCTGGTTGAGGCCGGCTTGGATATATGGCTTAAGCAATATTCGAAAGTCCCATGAATATATATATATATATGTATATAAAGGTAATTACTCACCATCGCCACAATTTATTTGTCCAATGTGGCATGGAAAATTCACTTGAAGTTTCCACTTGGAGCTTGGCTTTCATAAATATATACATATGAATATATATATATGCCTGGAAACTGCAAGGTATAAACCTATGTCTGGAGATATCTTCGTGTGAAACTGGCCCGGCCCTCATGCATTCGAACCAGACGTACAATATGTGCATTTCTTGGGTCCCTTTAGTTTGCGATGTCGTTGATTGGTTTTATCTGAGGCATGAGGCTATGGCAGATCAGGCAATCAGGTGCCACCCCCTGCCCTTGCTTGCAGTGACCTGCCTTGAATCTAGCGCCACGGTTGCAAGTGCAAGATGCATTGTCCGCAGCCTTGGGTCGGTATACAGTACAGGCACCGGGCACAAGGCACAAGGTATCATATATCGCCTATATTTTCTATCTATATCGCAATACATAATCATATATATATATAACCTTATTTATGGTATATGTCCTAGACATAGATACATACATATATATATATATGATCTACATATCATTCATTAGGTATATGTATATGCACGTATATGCAGCCATGTTTAAATCCCCAAGGAAACATCGTATGGATTTTGCTCTGAATTCCCCAAGGTTTCCAGACTAATTGGACCCTGATATCGCTGATATACTCTTTTTAGAAATGCCATCGCCGCCATGTACGCTATGTGTGCCAGAGTACATACAAGAGCTGGACAAGTTTCCATCTCTACGACAAAATGGTTTTAGCTTCTTGGTTGACGCTTCCAGCAAGCTCTTCACATCTGTCAGACCAAGTTTGAAAGACGTGGAGACCAACATAGAGGCAGGAAGATTCTGCGCACCTGCATGCCTTCATGTTTCTTTGCATTCTTTCATCTTAATTCTGTCTTCATGGCCGCTGGAGGCAGTGGAGGGCATCATGAGGGCCACGCGTGGCCGTGGAAGGTTCAGCTCCCACCTGCTCAAGATCGTCATCATCCAGTGCTACGAAAAGCACAAGCTGCTGCCCAAGGGCATGGTTAGCAGCATGGACTGTGTGCAGACTTGGGCCCTTAAAATGGGCTTGGCGCTTCAAAGGCTAGCTTCTTGGCAGCAGTCTATACATTATGTGCATGAGTCGCTTTCGTCTTGCAGAGCATTCATATTGCATCTTAGCCTTTCAAAAACAATCCTGTTACCATCTTAGGTCAGCAGGTTTCGGAGACTTGCGCAGCGATCGAAAGGCGCACAGCAGCCTAAGACTAGGGCGCTCAAGGACGCATTGCGTGGCATTTGTGAATCATGGCTGCATATATTATCATATACATAAAATTCCATCCTATGAATCATAATATATATCTGATTATATATATATATATATTTAAATCAGTACATATATATTATATATACACAGACTGACCCTCAGAACCCTGAATATTGATCCATATATTAACCATGTTGCAAATTAGTGATAGCTCTTCTTGGGAACCCCACGGAATTGAAAGACGACTCGATCTGATCCGATAAGATGGTCATGTGGTTCCCTCATTTGCACCAGTTTTTGAAACAAAGGATTTGTTTGCGATGGGTGTGAAAACAGTACGTGTACATATGCGCACGCATGGAAGTCTGTGAAACTGATCCGAAAACCACATGATCTAATTTTGCTCCCTGCGATTTGGTGACGTCTGAGGACTTTCACTCCTGCATGAGGATGACGTGGATGGCGAGTCGGGTGATGAACGTGAAATGAAAGCGGTTGACACCTTGTCCGAGCTGGGTTCCCAAAGCTCGTCCTCGAAAAGACTGGTGACACCTCAGTGCAAAAGGGACAAGTTGCTGCAAAATCGAAGCTTGCAGGTTGAGGCATGGGACAATGTCCAAACTCCTAGTCCGCCTTCAAAACCACGCGCTGATCACATCATGGCATTGGCAGAGGCATTGAAAAATGCAAGACATGGTGCCTCCTATGAGAAGCCTGTTGAGACCAAGGGTCAACTCCCTGACCATGTGCCTAGGCCATAAATTGTCCCATGCCACTTTGAAAATCAGCTTCCCATCAAATCTGTATATATGTGGTTTTTGCGGGTACAGTATACAGTTGTTATAAACATGTTTATACATGAAAGATTCAGATATTGGAGATGTCCCTGTGCACAGCATTACAAATATACCGCGACAAACTTCTGAGGTCTTGAAAGTCTTGGAAGAGAAATGTATGATGACTGCTCCAGCCCCGTTTCCGCAGTCCGCCCAATACAAGAAAGCTGATGAAGCTGATGTGGACAACCAAGATGAGCCAGGAACTGAGAAGCCGCGCCAGAAACGAAAGAAGAAGTCGAAGAACAAACGCCGAGCTCCTGCCCAGGTGGCCAAGGCTTCCAAAGGAGACCCAAAGGCCGAGCCAGCCGTTGTTGTGCCAGATGAGTTCAAACCGGCCACACCTGATGAGACATACACCCCAGCGCGCTATTCAGAGCTACGGAAACATTTTGTTTCTGAAAAGATGGCAACTGGGATGTCCTGGAAAGATGCACAGGCTGAGTGGAACAGGGGCAACCTGAAACGACAACTTTTATCTAGTTTGGATTTGCCTGAGTTGAAGAAGAGGCGATTTGTCTCCAAAGATTGCACTACTAACCCATGGGCATCCTAGAACTGCAAATATCAAACCCCAGAATGATTAAGTTCCTTCAAATGTCATTGAAACTACACATTCAGCTAATTGAGAGGGATAGATAGATAGATAGATAGATAAGGAACGACTGACAGACAAACAAACAGCTAGATAGAGAGAGAGATATATATATATTGGATACGGGCTAACCCAACTTGATGTGATTCAGTTCAAGCGCATGGGTGGTTAGTGCACTCACTAGAAATTCAATATCGAATTATGGCGAAGCATATTTTTCACACATCACGCAGACCTAAATTTTGGTCTCATGCATGGAAATGTGTGCATGTGCTATTTGCACTTCGTGCACCTGCATCGGTGGAAAAAAGTAATGTGGGAGGGGGCCGTGGCTGCTTTCATGTCTATACAGCATGGATCAGGGATGTGCATCAAATCAGCTCTCCATTCAATGGCAAGACAATCGTACCAAAAGTCCTGCAGCGATAATTTTTTTTGACCGTCTATATATACTAGTCAATTGCAGCCTGGATCGAAAGCCCTAGCTGGTGCGCTGATAGCAGCCTTGCTTTTGGGTGCCATATGGTGGTCGCATCGCTTCTGAAATGGCAGTCGCCAGCGGCGCTGATTTTGCTGGTGGTGATGCTGGGACAAAGCCCTTGTGTTGTCCAGCCACCGGCCTTGCAGAATGACTTTGTGGAAGTCTTCGCAGGTGATGCTGCGGTGACACTGGCTTGCTGGAACATGGGGCTGGTCGGTAGCTGTCATGACGTACGTTACACCAGTCTCATGGACATGAGTACCACTCACGGGTTCCTGTTGCTTAATTGCAAAGTTGTTTTCAATGCACAGTTGTGGAATAATCGGGCAACTTGATCAGTGCTGTTTTCCATTTTAGAATATGTGCTCATATATATAGCGTCTTAGGCTGGTCTGCAGGGAGATCTGGAACACGAAGCCTGGCGGCCTATGTCTCTTTGGGATTTGCTGCAACAGCTTTACCAAGATGTGCCTTGGCTGAGTTGCATGGTATCTACACCTAGCGCCGAGCGCTGTGATTTTGTTGATTACAGTGACCATTGTATCAACTTGTTTTTTTTGGCAACGCTGGCAGTTGCTTCAGGTCATGCCATACTGCTGGCCGAGATGTGTTCAATTCCTTCCTCGGTAACCAGGGGTACAAATTTGTGGCTCTTGGGAACTTATTCTGTTCCAGGCTGGCTTTGGCCCTCATCTTATGCTTCGCCAGAGGCATAAGGTTCGTAGTGGAGCAGCCGGAAGGGAGCTCTTTGCCTATGCACCCGAGATTTCAACAGGTGTTGGCAATTGGACGTGCACCTTGGCTCAACTATGTATACTGCATTCTGGCCGATATATCAGTGCATGGTGGTGCTCTGTTGCTGTTGCATTGTTGAATGAATTCCTAGGTGTTCTCTGGTTCTTTTTGGATGGGTGCCTTCAATGGAAACACCGCCAAACGGCATAGACTTTGGTCCAACTGTCGAGAGTTGCTGGAAGAAGTGGTGAAGCAAGGCGCGGGAATGACCTACACTTTGTTGGGTTTCTGCATGTTTGCATTTGCTGACGTCATTATATAATTATAATATTATATATACATATATATATATATATACATATATATATATATATGTAGGTCTATATATATACACCTGCATTTCTCATTGGTCTGGCCAGGTGGACAGCTAAGTCGTGAGGCCCTACGGTCGCTACCGGGCTCGTCTCAGGGGCTGGTTAGGAAATACATCGACAAAGGTGGAAAGCGCCGCCATGTGGGAGTGGCATCCAGGCTGAAGAGGAGCCAGTGCCTTATCTCAATTTAAGTTGTATATAGTGCATTTCATGATGGAAACCCAGTGCAACTGTGTGGCTTAAGATTTCAATCCTTTTAGATCTTAATTATCAATGCTCAGGTCCTACACGCCTGAGTTTGGACAATGCATCGCTTCAGTGGCTGTGACGCCCCGTCAGGCGGGCTTCGATGGGGATGGGTTTTACTTGGTTGTCAAACTTGGCCATTGTTTGATTCTTGGAAGGTACCTTTGCCTGGACCTCGCATGGAAGTCAACATTGACTGGACATGCAGTGATGCAGAGCTCTTCGCCAAAGTTTTTTCTCCCATGGGGAACGTCACCATTGAATGCCTTGGTGACTTGTGGCATGATGCAGCTTGGCATTAATTTACATGGGTCCAATATATGCAGTGCACGGCAAACTGTTTCGAGCTTCCCTTTGGTAAACACTCTATTTATTTTTATATATATATATACATCCAAAATCCCATAATATAATATATCTTTTATTTCCTATATATGACTGTGACTGCCTCATGCCCCGTCCTTCGAGGCAGAACTTCCTGCAGCGCTTCGCTACCTGGCTGGTGGCCGTCACTTCCAGCCAACGGGGCAATGGGTCTGTTCCCCAGGGTTTCTTATGTCTGATTGCATCGCCAGCCAAAAATCAAAATGTCAGCGCATGTGAAAATCAAGAGTTGAGGCCGAAATCTTTCAGCAGCTCAACCTCAAGCGTGGCATGAAGCCCTATGTGAAGTAATCCAAAATGGATTTGTGCAAGATTGAAATTAAGGGCAGTGTGCAAAACTCCACATTGCAACCATGTCGGAGAACTTAGGCTGGACTTTTCAGCGAAATCGTTACCGTGAAAAAACGTGAATTGAGCGTGAAAAAGTAGGTGATGACCGTGAAAACTCCGTGAAAAACGTGAAAAAAAATCTGAAATTCCCATTACATTTGAGCTATATCTGGAATTTCTGATTTTGTTTTTCACGAAATTCACGGGCTTTGAATGCAAGATCCACCCTGCCATGATTCATGATTGTATCCATGGGTCCTATATATCATACATAAATCGTGCAGGCACATTTTTGGTGCACAGCTCTGGGTGGATAGTAGATCTGGGTGGTAGTCGCTATGGCTGCTTCCTTGAGCAACTTGCCCTTTCCCATTGATGAGCTGGCCTGGGACAAGTTGCACGTTGTGGCCAAGCACCTGAAGGTCAACAGGGCGGAGGCATTCACAATCATGCACCATGTCCTTGGGCCACCTCCTACTCCGTTGCCAGCCGCTTTGTTGCATAATGAGAATTCCATGATGTGCCAAAATTGGTAAGTTTATACTGATATATACCTGATAGCCTTTAAACGATCTGATATTATACCGTATGTTTGCTGTCGAAATTCACCATTATCAACTGAGATCAGAATTGTGCGATTGCTTTAAAGATATCGCCATTAAGGGGATATAGTTATATAATATGTTAATATATTATAGCATATATATATATGACCCGGTACCACGGCCTCGCTACCTATCGTGCCTCTGTCTTGAGGACATGGAGAATGAGACGAAGCCTAAGCGCAAGAAGAAGGATATCAATTCTGCCGAATCTCCAACGCCCAAGTCGCAGCCCTCGCAGCCCTCCAAGCCCATCAAAGCCAAAGCGACAGCAGCCAAGTCAAAGCCGAAAGGCAAAGCAAAAGCCAAGAGCGGTGCATCGGCATGCCAGCCCAAGAAGGTCAAGAAGGTGCATGGGAAAAAGGCGAAAACGCAGAAGCAGGAGTCTCAGAATGCGTCCAAGTCAAAGAATGTCGACAAGAAGGAGATGACAAAAGCTGAAAGAAACGAAAGGTCGATGCCAAGAAGAACAAGTCAGTACCTCCTGAGGAGGCCGAAGATGTTGAGACCCCCGCCACAGAGTACTATGCATTATATGGCCCTGAACATGCAGAAGATGGCCCTGAACATGCAGAAGATGTGACCCGGAAGCGCAAGCCGCCAGTGCAGGTGCCGTTGGACGCAATTGCTGGGGATGGTTTGGTGACGCCTTCCCGTCGACGCGCAGTGGGCAAGCCCAGTGATCAAGGCGCGACCCAACCAGCACCAACCAGCCCCAAAGCTCCCAGTGCTCATGATTCTCAAGATACTGTATGGCCATTTGGCTGCAATAAATGTAAATTGCTGCAACACATGTCACATGTGCAGTATATATCATATTATATCATAATATATACCTGTTTAAAAGGTTGAACCATGAAATGAAATGCTCCGAGCCGAGCCCCATTGCATATATTGTAGAGTACATCATAGAATCACTTTTCGACTTCTTCAGCCGTGTTGTCGCTTCCCGAGGTCATGTGATACTTTGAAGCGCGCAATTGACTTTGTCAACAACCAGGGGCCCCATGACAAGCTGGGCGAGCAGACCAAGGAGTTGGATTCCATCTCGACTGCGAGCACGATTGTGAGCCTTGGAAGCACATATGAACGGGTTTGTTGAAATGGCCAGCTAGCTATCATGTGAATATGTGTAATTACAGTTATTGATATGAAACTTTACTTTCTGGCGTCTATATTTTTTTAGATTTCTCACAGAATTGGTATGTGCTGATGTTTTCTCATATATTGTATATTGACGATTAAGTTTAACAAACGATGTTTCTACATTTTTCTTTGGGCCCTTGTACATAAAAAATCCACATTTACTTGCAAAATGCCCTTGAGGCTTGGTGAGAGCCAGCCTGGAGATCTACAAAATCAATTGTCGGCAGCGCTTGCATACATCAAGCAGTTGGAGTCCTGTCAGGTCGCTGCTGGTGCCCCTGCCGAGCCTTCTAAGCTCCAACGGGCAACTCCTTTGGAGGTGCTTGGAAATACATTCATCATCTATTTATAGATATATATATATATAAATAAATGTGTGGGTATTTGTATATATTTATGCTGTTATAGTTACTGATATTTATAGAATTATATGTGTGTTTAGCCTAAATATATTTTTTCTTGGCACATCAGCTGTCAAATTCCCACTAAGGAAGATGGCCCTTCGAATGTCACGTTGCCAGACACGATCCCTGGAGACATTTCGGCTGCGCCCTCCCCTGCTCTTCCTGAAACTGTGCCTGATGTGCCCATGCAAGAGGAGGAGCCAGACCGCCAGAGTGATCATGAGATGGATTTGGATCAACCAGCCACACTTTGCGACGAAGATGAGAGGATGGCTGACAATGACGTGACTTCTGCAGTGAACGAGAAGAGCTTGGAGAAGGAAGACAGCTTGGCTTCCACGGCCAGTTTGGGGGAGTCGTGGGAGCGAGAGTTCTACGACTACAAGGAGGAGAATGGGAAATGGGTAAAGTATATCAAAGACAAGTATGTGGCCCTTGCCAAAGCCAGAAACTGGAGCCTTGGGCCAATTGATATCACCGCTGAAGCTGCGCCTCCCATGGAGAAGCTTGGTGTGCTCTCCATCAAGGCTGGCCAGACTTCTGACCAACAGCCTGATGCTGCAGTTCCAACCTCTGCTGAGCCAATGGCCCTTGTCCAACAGCCTCCTGCTGCAGCCCCGACCTCTGAGCCAAAGATTCCTGTCCAACAGCCCAATGCTGCAGCCCCGACCTCCTCTGAGCCAGAGATTCCTGTCCAACAGCCCAAAGCTGCAGCTCCGACCAATGAGCCAAAGATCCCTGTCCAACAGCCGGATGCTTCAGCCGTTGAAAAGGAGAAGCCGGACAGGCCAGTTCTTCAGGAAGCGGCTGGCCCACCAGACCGCACACTTGAGCTAGCTGGTTTGCAAGCCTTGATGAAAGGTCAGGTGGAACGAGAACAAGCTGCAGCCCTGGCCGAGGCCACGAGAGTTGAAGGACTTCTGAACCCTGGTCCTAGAGCTGTCGCCGAAACAGCAGGACCTGATCGTGTCGATTGGGTGACGCACAAGAAGGAGGGCATGCGATTAAAAAGGCTTCTGGAGGAGTCGGCTGATGGAGCCAAGTCCTTTCCGCACATGGCCAAGATGTGGGCTGGCTCAAAGGAGGACATGGGTTTCAAACATGTTGATTGTGAAATTTGATGAAGAATGGTGAAAACTGCATTGCCTTAATGTTGCCTTTTGTTGCATGCCAACCTTCAGGACAGAAAGCAGCTCTTGCGAGAGTGGGTTCAGAAGAATGGCGATGCGGCAGCAATCGAGGCCAACATCGTGATTTCGAAGACATCGAGCTCAAAGCTGGGCACGCAGAAGGAACTGCTGACCGTCGCTGAGATGGTTTCACGTGGGTTTCCACGTGAAAAAAATTCAGCCATAGTGGCAAAGGGTGGCATCCCAGATGCTGACTGCCCTCACCTTCCGAGCCTCTACAAGTACTGGGTCCAAACCAGCTGCGTGTTGAAGGATGTGGAAGAAGTGAAACAAGAGTCCAAGGTGAACATTCAGTGCCAACCGAGTGCCGGTGCTTTGGATGCTATGATGAGTGGCCCAAAGGGCCCGAAACAGCGATGTGCCTTGCCTTCAGGCAGCTTGGAGCAAATGATGCAGTCAGTGCAGGCACCAGCTGCAGGACTGCATGTTTGCATTTTTCAAAATTGAACAAACCCATCAGAAGAATCTCCAATCCTCTGTACACATGGATGTATATATATATGCAATATATATTTCATGTGTATGTGTATTGCTATATTGTGTTGTTGTTCAAATTTTAAATACCCACACGTGGTACACACATAAATATATATGATTATTTGTTTAAGTATACATCTAACTCTATATATATGTATATATATATAAATAAATATGTACATGTTTATATATATATATATTTGTCCATCCATCCACCCATCCATGCATCCATCCGTTCCATATATCATGCATCCCCCATTCTGTGCAGGAACCACCACTGCAGATGCTTCCACCGCACCGACCACGGCGGAGCCCAAAGCTAAGTCGAAGGCCAAAGCGAAGGCCAAGGCAAAATCTGGCGCCAATGGACGGGTGGGCGAAGTGGTTGCCAAGACCATGGATGAGATGAAGTCTGAGATGTGTGCCTTAGCTTTCAAAATACTTTTGTTGCTGCCCATTTGCTTGGTTGTAGATTTGGATTTCACACCCGTCACAACCTGCCTGGATTGTGAGGCAATTCCTTAAAGAAGGAAATGAACGCCGTCAGCAACATCAGCTTGGAGTTGCCTCAGAACAATGGACTGCGAAAGATCCTTGGCGACTTCAAGACCCGATTCGAAGAAGCCATCGATGAGCTACTCATCTCAAAATAACATTATCATGTCACCTTTGAACACTCTTTGGTCATATTTGGTGATGCTGGTTCTGCCCATGACTTTGGTTTTGCAATGCATTGCAAGGCTGAAGACAATCGACACGGAGGCCAACTTGCTTGATCTCAAGAATGAACTTGATGCTGAGGCCAGCTTATGAGATTTATGGATTTATTGCTTGCGCACTCCAAGTCTCAATATGTCTCAATCTCATCGGATCCATGCATGCCATTATCATTAAACTATTTATCTACATTTTTAGTGGTTGTTAAAATCCGATATATCTCATTTTTAAATATATGCACTTGATTCCAAAGATGTTCTTTGTGTGTTTATGCAGCCCCACCGGCTCAGGTGAAGAACATGCGTATGGTAAAGGCTCAGGCACGTGCAGTGATCACAGAGATCAAGAAGCAAGCGGCCTAGCTAGGTGAGTGCGCCGTGTGCCCATATGTCACTGGAGATGGCACTCCGGACCCCAATTTTCTTGGGGCAGTTTTTCAATGGGGTTGCGTTGCGTCTAGAACCTTGCCATGGATCCCAGTAACTATTATATATTTTAATATTCAACACATTTCAACACTATCTTCCAATATCACTGCAGTCATTCTCCAAATAATTTTCTTGTGCATGGGACACATGGCAGGGAACGCGCAATTGAAACGCGCACGTGTCGTGCGCACAATCTTGCTGGGATGTCTAACCGATTGATATGATTCAAATTCAATCCAATCTTGAAACCATGGCTGTGTGGGATTTACCTACGCCATCGATGTGTGTGTGGAGAAAATAGGGTGCTCTCGCGTGTGAATGTTCCAACCGACTGCATGCATGCAATTGCCAATCATGGCATGCTGATTCTTGGGCCCGCTCCATCGCAGGTGCTGAATCTGAAGGATCCTGGCGAGATCGAATTTCCACAGTTGAATCTGTGTTCTTTGGCCGGCATATATTTGTGTGACATGTGAACGATCAGTTAAAATATGTTAAAATCTCGATTTGATATATCTCACATGTTTGTCACTGCCTTCAATTGAAACCTTTCAAATCTGACTTAGGCTGGCCTCCGGAATTGGCACTGGAAATGCAACTGTTCAACATGCACGCGAAATAGGTGATGCAATAGGAAGTGCTGCTTGTTTGCAGATACATGTATGTACATATGAGCAATTATGGCAATATATTAAGTTATTGTGCCTGCATTGCTTCTTGATTTTGTGGCATGCATTAATCGTCGAATCCCTGAGGCTGTCTTCAATCAGTTCCGTGGCTGGACTATTCTGCATTGCTTTATATATTGCATTATGGCAGGCAAGAACCCAAATTGTCCCGGTCCTGCATCAGGACAAGGGAAACCAATGAGAGCCGCATCCACAACCGAGCGATGCGGAGTGGGATCGGCCTGGATTGCAACGTGGCGTATCGCGAAATTCCTATTTGCAGTGGGTATGACGACGAGGGGAATCCTATAGTGGAATTGGTGGAGTGGCCGTTTGTCCTTCCCCATCAATTGGTTACTGGACAGTTCTTGACAATGTATTTTTGCATCAATTTCCACATAAAGGGTTTTTCTAGATATGTGGTAGTGATCTCAATTGAACTCACTAGCCCTGATATTTCCCAAAAGAAATCAGGTAGCAGCAATGATTCAGAACGGCTTCCTGAACGTGCTGGTGCAATTGGACAAGATGGTCGACTACTGGCATCACATGTTGAAGGAGTTTCCTGACCATCCAGCTGCTTCTATGGTTTCTGCATCTGCACCCCTGAGCTTATATGGTGCCTTGGTGTCTGTTTTTCTTATGATTTTTTGAAATTTGGAGACCAATATATCTGTATATAAATAATTATATATATATATCTGTATATATATAATTATATATACATATATATATATATAGCATGACAGGTTTTCAATTTCCAAGTCATGTGACTATATATGCAGGTGACGAAGGGCAAGCTCTTGGAGGATCATATATGGCCTTTCATTTTCAATCTGATCTATCTCCATGCCTCAAAAATGCTGGAGTTAGTCGCTTTTTGATCACCACCATCCCATCGAGTTACTATGCATCTCGGTGAAATCTATGGGTCCAATCTTTTTTGTGAAGTTGTTGCAAACGTTTGGATGAATGCTTCTTGAAACTGGGAAAACTCAGGTCTTTGCTGGAAAAGTCAATCTGACACTGCAATCTGCTGCAAAAATCATTTGTGGATCGCTGAACGAGCTGTCACGCAATGGTGTGGCAATCCCTGGTGATGTATCGGCACCCTGGCTTCAAGATATTATATATATATACACTTTTTGTCTGACCTGCACATCAGTGTTTGCGAAGCATTGCCCTTTGAATTTTCAAATATTTTTCATTACTTCACAGTTGACAACATTGATATGATACTTCAGGACCATGCTGTGAAACTTCGATTCTACGTGATGAACTTTAAGGGTGATTGGAAGTACCTGGTGCAGCTGTTCAACTTCCGAAAGAACCCATCAACGGAGAAGGCCCGACCCACGCAGCTCTAGGGCCCGGACATGGCTCTGGACCCATGGTCTCCATGGCCAGGACATATGTATGTGTTATGTATCTGACTCTATATATAAAATGTATGTGTGTGTGGCTTTTGGAATCAGAAGGATCAATATCAATATCTACAGACCCTAAGCTGTCCACGAAAAATTGTGAAAAAACATGCATAATTTTGGAATCATTGATAAATTGTGTATTTATACCAAAAAACATGTGGGTAGAAAACATCGATGTTGGTTGAGCCCCATATGCGCATGCCTGGATGTATTTTTCAAACGCTCTGCAGGTATGTTGGAAGTGCGAAGCGACGAAAGGGAATACGGATATGACCAATGCCTACACTGACGTGGCGGAACATGCGCCATGGAAGGCTACCCTGTGGACATCTTTGCCATGGCCTATATCCGAAGTTCCCGAGCTGACTAAGGTGACTGGCTTTGATGTCAAGATGATATCAGCAGACTTGTTGCATACCTGGCATTTAGGGTGTGGCCGCGATTTGGCAGGCAGCTGCATCAAAGTGCTGGTGGGTCTACGTTATTTCCATGGAAGATCAATTGAGCGAAGCTTGGCGCAGGCCACGGTTCAGCTGAAGAGATTTGCAAAACTGCACAAACACAGTCTTGTGCTTCGCAAGCTGACGAAAGCGAACTTGAACTGGTCCGACTACCCAGAGCTGAGGTGCAAGGGCTTTGACACATTCGTGGTTTTGGCGTGGCTGCAACATGAGTTCAGTGCCCGTCCTCCCACAGCAGATGACCCCGAGCTACAATCGAAGTTAGATCTGATGACTACAGCGGTATGGTGCATGGATTCTTTGATGCGAATGTTGGCACACAGTGGCATGCACCTGTCAGAGATGCAACAGCGACAAAAGACCATTCTGGGCAGTATATACATGAACTGTTACATGACGCTGGCTCAGAAGGCAATCGAAGATGGAAAGAAACTATGGCGTGTTCGCCCGAAAATTCACATCCTATATCATTGCATACTGGAAGACCGCGAGTCGAGGTTAAACCCCCACTATAGTGCTACATGGATGGATGAGGACTTTGTGAAAAGGACCATGCGTGTGAAGAAAAAGACACATAAGCGTACTGCCACCTGTGCGACGCTGTGTCGGTGGCTCATGGGCCTTCCAAAACAGATGCAAACGTCCCTTGACCAGCTCTGATGAAAAATGCAATATGCCTCATGGTGGGATCGGGTCCGGTGCACACACAGTATACTATCTTTGATTCTATGACATCCTTAAGGGAACTTCGGCATATATATATATATACTATATATATACACGCGCACGCACACACACATATGTATATATGTACCCCATGAATCTAGAAATATTTTGTACATGAATTATAATATATATATATATATATATATATTCATCTATAGAATATGAGCATGGCAGATGCCACAGTGTCCTTCCGTGGATTTTACGACGTAAATTATCCCAACTCATGCACAGCCATAGGGGGACGCCAGGGTTTCCAGGGTTGCTGATTTTAGTGGGTTCCAATGGTCTCCAAAAATATCCATTGCTAGCTCCGGGTGTTTTTGGGTGATTTATCACCATGGTATGGTTGTAAATACTTACCTACCCCTATATATAATCAAAAAATAGACCTATTAATAAGGAATTTTGGATGGTATGTATTATGTACAATATCTGGGTTTCAGGGGTATAGTGAGATGTCAGGAGTATTGCCATGGATATATATATAGGCCAGCCCCTATATATTATACTTATTCATTTTTTCTGGATGTTAAATAGGAACCCCATGATAGTAAATATGTCATAGTATTGTATATAGATTGATACATAGGCTAGTTGGAGAAATGGGAAACACATCTTTGGTTGTCAAAATATGTTGGCTTGGTACAAGGGCATGAACATAAGAGAATGACATTCTGTCAAAGATGTCTGGCTCAAGCAAAGGGATGAGCATGAAACAATGAATCTTGGCAAAGTGTTGGCTCAAGCATGGGAATGGCAATGAAAACATTGTCTTTTAAGAGAAGATAGATTCAGGCCTAAGCATGGCCATGAGAAATCAAAATGTATAGCGTGAAAAATCGAGAATTTTTGCTAAAATCTTGTTTTGCCAAGTACAAGAAAAATCAAGCACGAACAAGCCATGTACCACATAATCTTGCACGAATGATTGTCTAGGATATACGTACGAATATGAAACAGAAGAGGAGTCAAAGAGGGCGTCGTCAGAGGCGTGCAGTGCGGACTGGGGCGGCTCAGAAGAAGGAAAGGGCGGGCTGGCAATCAGAGATCGCCGGGAGCAGCCAGACAGCTGGAGCACCGAAGGGTGGACGAGTCGCCGATCGCAAGGCTGCGATCGAAGCGGACATGGAAGAACATGGAGTGGTGATCTGCTCTAAGTGCAACAGTCAGAACGCAACGTGGAGACTGAAATGTTACAAATGCGGTCTGGCGAGGCCAAACCCAGAAGAGATCCTCCGAGAACACGGGGACCGGCATCAATCCAGAAATGCCAAACGCCGAGGTGGAGGTAAAAAGAAGAAGACCTGGCAGGACGATTTTAAAATGTCTAATAAATATATTTTTATTATGGAAAAACCGGTTTTTAATTTCATAAAAATAATTTAATTTTATATATCCTTAAAAAAATAAATATGTTTTTTTATTAAATAATATAAAAAATTATATAAATAATTATAAAAAAATTCAATCAAAATAACCAAATCCCAATTAAAATATATTCTAAATTAGTTGTCCTTCGGGAATTATGTAAAGTAGATACCCAAAATTCCACAAATCTTTTCATGACGGGCAAGTTCGAGGGTCCTTTGATCAAATTGATCCAATGGTGACGAAAATCATAAAAATGAGATATCAACCTGGCAGGGGCTTCTCGATTTGTGCATATCATCCAAATCAATGTAATGACATCAAATTCAGATTGGAGGAAAAGATTTGGGCAAAAATAAGCATTGAAATTTGTAACCATTGCTTCATTATTCCAGCTGTAAAAATCCAATTCTGCCAGCAGTTGTCGGCACGAAAAATTTCAATCAGCTGTCACACATGGAAAATTGCATTGCATTCATAGGTAGGAAAATTCCAATTTGCCGAATATATATAAAAATTGTATTTTGCAAATTCTTGTATATTGTAGGATGGGAAAAATTCCAATTTATCCATTCTGAGTGGGAATTATTCCAGTCCATTCAGTGCCATTCGTATTGATAGTTGTCCATCTCGACATTCTCCTCCTCATGGTGTTCTTCACATTCCTTACAGATATACATAATATATAGTTACAGGACGCGTTTGCATGAAAATTGGGCAGTCATCGAAAAGATGAAAGCTGTTCGCCTTATGGAGAACATAGACCTTTCTTCTGAATTCCAGCTCGTGGTCGTGGAACTCGCACATGTTATTATTGGCTTAATTTGCTCGATCCAGGGAATTTTGAACCTGCTAGATCTTGTGTTCCAGTTCAATTACTTCCTGAATCTTTGCGGTCAATGAGAGTTCAATATCTTGTAGTCGTAGTTTCAGAGTTTTGAGTTCACTTAAGAATTTTTCAGTATCTTCTTTGTTTCTTTTATTTGTATCTTTCATTACCTGTGCATAATTTTGCAGAAGTTCGATTTTTTTTGATTTTTTTTTAATTTTGCCTTGTTTCCCTTCTCGATATGGAGTTAATAGAATATATATGATATCTCCTCATACTCCATTTTATATTGTATATTCTTGTCGCGCTTGGGAAGGCGAAATGCCAGGTGTTTTGGTTCTGCATGTTGGAAAATGTTCGGAAATCCCAGTAACATCCAAACACAAAAACATCCAGTGAGGAAAAAAAATATTATATTCACCAGGAGGCGCATCGCATCATCGGACCATGAGGCATCTTCGGAAACGAAGGAACTTGTCGCAGGCATGACTTCTTTTTTTGCGTCCAACGCCTTTTAGCTTCCGCCAGATCGTTCTCCACGCTAGACAGCATGTTACATATCGGTTAATTATTTAATTAAAGCAATGACATTATCCATCTTCGCAGAAGGTGGGCTGCAAAAGGACCAGTACACAATCCAATTGGCCGTCACAAAACCGGTGGAACAAAACAGGGAAAAAAACTAAACCACCTATTTTTACGGCAACGAAATCTTTATCTGCTTGTAATTTGAACATGTGAGTTCGAAGGCGGTCAGTAAGCAACTGACGTGCTGAGGGTTTGGTCATGCCATCGACATACTGTGTTTTAATTAAAACCCATCGTAAAAGTTTTTGGTATTCTCATATATTTTTTTTAATAGTTATTACCTTATTTTTCCCCACCTGCCAGGTAAGGGTTGTTAGATTTTATGTCAGTTGCCTCCTCCTCCTCCTCCTTCTCCTCCTCCTTCTACTCCTCCTCCTCCGCCTCCTCCTGCCTCGTCCTCCTCTCCTCCTCCTCCTCGTCCTCCTCGTCGTCCTCGTCGTCCTCGTCGTCCTTGCTCAACTGCGACCCGCGATCCACAGTGTTCTCTGCCGGACCTCAACCACGACCATCCACGCCCAGTGTTCATTGCCGGACCTCAACCACGACCATCCTCGCCCAGTGTTCCCTGCGGGACCTCAACCACGACCATCCACGCCCAGTGTTCCCTGCCGGACCTCAACCACGACCATCCTCGCCCAGTGTTCCCTGCCGGACCTCAACCACGACCATCCACGCCCAGTGTTCCCTGCCGGACCTCAACCGCGAGTATCCACGCCAAGTGTTCCCTGCCGGACCTCATGTAGGAAGATATGGGACAAAGAATTTGCAGAAGAAAGTTAGAAAGAATGTCAGAAAGAATGTCAGAAGATATGCCAGAAGATATGCCAGAAGATATGCCAGATAGAATGCCAGATAATATGCCAGAAGATATGCCAGATAGAATGCCAGATAGAATGCCAGAAGATTTGCCAGATAGAATGCCAGAAAATATGCCAGAAGATATGCCAGATAGATATGTCAGAAGATATGCCAGAAGATATGCCAGAAGATATGCCAGAAGATATGTCAGAATATATGCCAGAAGATATGTCAGATAGAATGCCAGAAGATATGTCAGAATATATGCCAGAAGATATGCCAGATAGAATGCCAGATTGAATGCCAGAAGATATGTCAGATAGAGTGCCAGAAGATATGCCAGATAGAATGCCAGAAGATTTGCCAGATAGAATGCCAGAAGATATGCCAGAAGATATGCCAGATCATATGCCAGAAGATATGCCAGATAGAATGTCAAATAGAATGTCAGAAGATATGTCAGATAGAATGCCAGAAGATTTGCCAGTAAGAAAATGTATAAATGTCATGGTGGGGATCACACGGAGTAAAGTAATTTTCCGTTCATTGTTTCTTGGCTTTCGCCAGGTCGATCAAATCATTAGTGCATGATATGAATTAATTAATTAAAATAATTGGGTCGAGTTACAACAACCTTCACGGCATATCAGTAAACCCAACCATAGTGCTGGCATAAGGACCGGCTACACAATCCTGGAAGGCAGTCGTAATACCGTAACAAAAACACAGAACCAAATAATAACCAAAAAAAAACAGAACCCAAACAAAAAACAACACACCAAACAACCAAAAAAAAAACACACGAAACGCAAAACGGGCATTGTGAACATGGCCATCTCAATTGAGGAAAAGAGATCTTTTGTACATCATAGTAGAATTATCAATATGGTGCGAAAAAATAAAACACAGCAAAGAGCAAAAAATATCGCCATACATAAAGACATGTGAAAGAAGCAAGAAGACTCTGAGCGGAAACCAGGGCTCCCCACAGCCAGCAGCCCCGAGATCACCCAGGGTGAGCCGCACGGGCATAATAGATCATATATCTGAAATATTCCTGCGGAGTAGCAGTGACACAGTCACGTAATCATTTTTTTTCCCTCTGTTGCGGCTGATTTCGCTCTGAGGCTCGGTCCTGACATTGGGAGAAGCGAGTTAAAAAAATTACTGGGGGGAGATACATGACATATCAGAATTTCAATGCCTTTTTGGAACCAGTTTTTGGGAGCCAGCGAGTGCACTGTTTTAGGAGTCTTTAAGCATATTCTGTGTCCAAGCGGCGCTATCCATCATTGATCGGTGATGGCCTGTGATTGCAAGTGTGGGCAGGTGCTGCAGGCGGAGCTGACCGAGCTCAAGCAGCGACGACAAGAGCTGCGCGAGGTGCTTCGTGTTTGGGTTGAATGGGTGTTTGGTGCTTCCAGTCTGCAACCTTTCTCTGCTTGGCGTGTGTCAGGCCTTCAAAGCCAACAAAGCACACATGAAGGCCGCGCAGAAGCGAAAAGACCAAGCTGGTCAAGGCGCAGTCTGGTTTTGTTCTTGCCTGTTGATGACACCATGTATGTGCTTTCTGAGATATATCCAAAAATATTAACCATATATTGAGATATTGATAATCTGATAAGATACCCCCAGCACTCTACACCCTTGATCCCTCCTTCAGGCAGCTCGTCAACTTTCGGTGTCGGACTTGCAGAACTTGCTCGGATCGATGACGGCCGAGCGCACAGAGTGAGTGAAAACAAGAAAAGCTGTGCAGGTGCCTGCAGTTGGCACACCTTTTACGGGTATTATGTACAAACAAATGACATATACCATAGAAAATTGTATACAGAACGATTAAGTAACCGTGTAGCGCCTCTGCTCCAGCTCCCTCATGAAGTCTCTCAGCCAACGAGCCCTCTTGAGAGATATGCCAATGGTCTTTCGGTAATAATCCAATTCGTAACCAATGAAAGGAATCTCCAGTCCCCCTTTGAACTTGTGGTATCCAAAGGGGGTGCCCACAATCTTATAGGTGGTAATTATCATCCACAACCAAAGAAATTTGTCAGGCCCCCAAACCAAAATCTGCAGGTACATAAACAATCTGCAAGTTAGGTGCCTGTCTCAAAACTGAAGTGACCAACCTGCCCACCAAGGGAAACAGCCGCGTCCACCAGTACGATCCGGAACTGACTCCAAAGGTGCCCACGCAATTTTTTTGTGGTCGGCGCCTGTTGCCTTTCGGCGGGTCGCACTTGCGACTCCCGAGTGGACCAGCAGGGATTCGAACCACCACCGGCAGTCTGTCAGCGTTGGCAAGACCAACGCCATACCAACTGAGCCATCGGGTCGCCTCAAAGGTGCCCACGCAGTTGACCCACACCACCGGTGAGTCTGAGTGTGCCCTGCAACAAAGCAGCCTCCAGTAACTAGCCGGTGTGCAGCCTGAATGTCAGCCGAAATGGCAAAGCAAGACTCCCGCACCAAGCGAGATACCGAGGATCGAGGGAAGAACTAGAACACGCAGTAGGGTCAATACCGGACCACCAATACAAATCCAATGAAACATGTGAATGGTTGAAGTTGCCGTAGAGTTTTACATTTTAAGACTTGTTTCATCTCTAGAACTTGCACGCGCCGTGCGCGACCCAGGCCCGTGCGCGCGCGCTTCTTGCGAACCTGTTGCGCTGTTGCTGTCCAAGAGCATCACCTGCACACGACCACGTTGCAACGCAATACCAAGCGACGCTTTGCGCTCCAAAGATCACACTTCACACTGCACTCTTCACACTCCGCACTTCACACAGCTCATGTTGCAGCTTAGTTTTAAACATTTCCGGTGTGCAATGATGCAATCATCAAGTTCTAAAGACTGGTTCGCGCACCATTCCTTCGGGCAACAACGGAATAGTCCGTGAACAAAATTTCCGAAATGGCTCACTACATCAAATGTTTCTAGTACAGTATGTTTCAGAACTGTTCCCAGAGCTGTGTTTCAAACCAACATTGAAGAGAACCAGCGTGACATGAAGTTATGCGAAGTGCGTGCTGGGGAAACATTGTTGTGTGGAGCTTACTGGGACCGCTGGCGACTGAGCGTACTGAGTGATTGAGACACGCCAGCTCTGAGTTTCTCACATGGCAAGTGAAGCTCTTACAGCAACCACGTGTTTAACGTTTCATCAATTTCTGTGAGACCTTCCAAGAGCTCTGTTGCAATCGATCCTTCAAGGACGACCAGCGTGACGTGAAGTCATGCAAAGCATAGCTTCAGAGCCACCAGTCTGTGCGAATGTTGGAGAAACACAAATGTCTGGTAGAGAAAGTGCTTGAACGAACAAACGTGGCTCTCTATAGGCCTGACAGCAACTAGTTTTTTTTCCTCGAGTTTGGCCGATGTCGCGCTAAGGCTCGGTCCTTACATGAACATAAGCTGTCGAAAAGACGTTTGAACAAGGACACAGTTGGTCCATATGAGCAGGCAAATCTAAGTAGAATAACTAAAAAAACACACAAGACCACCAAACCACGACGACCCGCAAATCCCCCAGCCAGACTTGCGTTTCGCCAGAGGAAACAGCAAAACAGCCAGAAAAACAAATCAAACACACAAAAAGGGTCGGAGCCCGAACAAAACACCCACAAAATCGATTTGCCAAGGGACACAGTGGTTTGACCACTGCATCACTCTCAAAAACATGCGAACAAAATGAATTAAGAACCACGACGTTCAAGCAAACATGAAAGCCTAGCCAGCTTGCCTGTCTACTCAGGCATAGATGTGCCAAAACTGTACATGAACACGGGGCTACAACTTATGCCTCTCTCAGCGTCCTCTCAGATCAGCTTGTCCAGAAGGCCTCCATGAACAGAGTCGTCACCATATATCAACCGTGAGCAGGAAAGCCGTGGTGGTCACAGTGCCAGGTACCCCCCTAGCAGGGGGGGCGGACGGTGATGGCGCACGGGAAGCTTCGCAGGCCAGTGAAAGAACTTCCAAGCCATCGCAAATGTAGTGCAGACCCCTAATTTCATAGGGGAGGAATGCAAACCTGCAAAATGATTGATCTCAGCCAGCGAAGCTTCGAGGCAATACTCGCAAAGATGAGGAACATGCAATAACATTGTCGTTGTGCAGACACTATGAAGCCAAACAAGGCGGTGCCTCCACACTCTTTTTTTTCCGTCCAACGCCTTCATGGCTTCCGCCAGGTCGTTCAACATGTTTTATTGCATGTTGCAAATTGGGATTAATTGATTAATTATGTCATGCGTAGGCCGTCTGCGGTAGAGTGGCCTCAAAAGTAAACTGGTGGAGGACCGATACATAGTCCTGTGTACTGTCACAAGTCATCACCAGATCGCAAAACGAAACAAAGCAAACCAAAACACCAAAAACCACCAAAAAACAGAAACACAAAAACACACAAACCCAAAACCAAACAAGCCAAAAAACAACCAACACAGACAGAGCAGTGACGTGACAGGTACCAGTTTATGGGTGAAACGGATAAATTAATGCAAGAGGTGATAGCTAAGTATCATCTCAGTTCATGCATGATGACAGCTTGTGTGCCATGACAATGATGGCCCCAAACAGAAAACAAAAACAAAGAGACACGACAAGAAAACCAGGGGCCAATCCAGAGGGTGTAAGAAGCAACAAAGCTCAATGCAGAAACCAGGGATCCCCCCAGCCAGGATCCCCGAGATCACAAAGAGCAGCCATCCAGGCATGACATTCACCCTGACACTTTGAAGCAAACACAGACAACGCCGGGTCGCAACGAAAGTGGTGAGAAGAACTAGCGCAGTGAAACGGGAGAGTGAAACATGGTCTAGTGTGAAAATGACAGCAAAAGCTACGGCACTCAGGGCGCACTCAGAGTCCGCTCAGTAGTTCTTTTTCTAGCATCAGCATCAGAGAGTTGCGGTTGCGGTAAGCGCCACTGTGCTAGTGTTCTTGCAAGTAGTCCTCATGGTATGGGAGATTGTGCTCGTCATCAGTGCGTGGTGATATCTGTGCATTGAGCTCTTCCGATGACGTGCTAGCTCCTTTAGCTGTATGATCCAGCAGCAGTATGGCTTTCTGCGCTTGGGCTACTTCGTAGCTGGCAGAGATTGTACAACTATCTAATATGCAGCCAATTTGGCGGAGTTGGCGTATGGCAGCTTCAAGGTCAGTAACCCTCTGGGATGGGATATTTTGGATGCCTTGAAGCTTCTGAGATGCTTTGTCCAGCAGCTTGGTGGCGGCTTCTACTTCACTGGTAGTGACCTGGCACAGGGTCAGTTGAGTAATTGACTTTGCGAGGCGATGGACAGCAGCATCTTTAACAGGAGTCGGTCGATCCATACCGCAAGGCTATACTGTACGCAGGGTATTCTGCGGGCGTAGAGCAGCTGGGCGGTCAGGCCATCAATCGCTGTGTTGCCACCTCGTCGGGGAAGGACATGGGGACGTCTGGTGGAAGTCATATGGCCGGTCGGTATGTTGGTTGAAGGAAGGTCAAACGGCAACGGGCACCATGGCTTGATGTACTTTGACATCGTCCTACGCTACCATAAAACAACCGACGGTAAATAAAGGCCCCTTAAATTTACTATAATCACCCCCCACCTCCTCCCTTCCCCTACTGACACAGGCAAGCTTACCACTGCATTAGCTACAATGGGTAGTGGTCAATCATGGGTACCCCATGGTGACAGCACCTCTCATACGGTCGGAACAATAGCTAAATGTCATGCGTGGCAACCGTGGGTACCCCTCGTTAGCCCTAGGAGCCTACTGAAACTGCACGGGCTGACTGGTGCGGGGGTTTTCGCGGCTACCAGTGCTACTGGCTGTGGTATTTGCAGGGGGTGAGTCACCACTTCCTGCTGGTTTCATCATTTGGGCAATAAGTGGATGGCTCTGTTTTTCGCGCAGGATCCTAGTCATTTCGCGAGTGAAGGCTGCAGGGTCATCGACCAGTGCCTTCGCTTCCGCCAGTGGCTTATCAAGGACAATGGCAATGAGCATTTCGCCACCGTCTTTCTGGATCAGGGCTGGTCGGCCGGCTTGCATCTCTGCAAGGATCGCCACTGCCTTGTTTTCACACAGGGTGCGTTCCCATTCCTCTAGGGCTCTTTGAGCTAGGGTGTCAGTTTGTGGTGAGGCCTTGTGAGCTGCCGGTGTCCCCAAAGCACGGATGAAGGGGCTGTCAGGCAGCGTGGGAGATGGCAGATTTGCGATAGCCGCTACTGCACGTAAAATGTCACCTTCTTGAATTTCATACGAAGGGGACGACTTCTTTTTTTTTCCTCGAGTGTGGCCGATGTCGCGCTAAAGGCTCGGTTAACTTACATGAGCATAAGCAGGAAAGACATTTGTACAAGGACATATCAAGTCCATTGAGGCGGCAAATCGATTAAAACAACACACAAAAAAAAAACAGAAGCCAACCAAACACGACGACCCGCAAATCCCCCAGCCAGACTTGCGTTTCGCAAGAGGAAACAGCGAAGCAAACGGCAAAACACCAAAACAACACAAAAAACGGGGCCAGAGCCCAAACAAAACACCCACAAAATCGATTTGCCATGGGACAGTGATGGCATACGGGAAGCAATGCAGGCCAGGGAAAAGCTTCCAAAATACCATCGCCAATACCCAGCATGCCCCTAGTTTCATAGGGGAAGATGCAGCCATCAGATTGATTGGTCTCAGCCAGCGAAGTTCCTAGGCAGTACTCGCAAAGCTGAGCGACATGCAAAAAACCATTGTATTCGCAAATTTGTATTCGCAAGTTCCACCATACATGTGCTGTCTTAGGCAGCATAGCTCTCTTTGATGTAGGTTCGCAAAACATACAAACTACAGAACTGTTCAGGACATTTCAGGATGTCATCGTCCCTGAAAGACCTGCAGTGCATTGCAGTATGCACAGAAGAAGATTGTAGCGAAACCAAGGCCGTAATGCCACTCACCCACAGAATAGGCAGGCTGCAGAATCACCACATCTTTCTACCAACTGACGAACCATCAGTCTTGTGCTGCTCGCGGGCGCCCCAGGTTGTCCCAACGAAGGAGAAGGATCCCGAGATGTGGGCGGCTGTGCACATTGCGGTGCTCC